ATTAGTCTTAAAATCAATATTTCATAAATTTAAAGTTGAACATGTACATAATTAATAAGTTTTTTAAATTAACTATAGTCTATAATTAATAATTGAGAGTAGAGCCAATCAAGCATATGGAAAAGTAAGTATTAGTAAGTTTATTCTATCAATTACTTAGCAAGTTTTTATAATATCTAAAGAATTAAATAGAAATAAAAATTACTCTCTTATATTATATTAATAATGAAGAATTAAATAGAAATAAAAATTACTCTCTTTCACACACAATTAATGCTTGGAATAGAAATAAAAATTACTCTCTTTCACACACAATTAATGCTTGGAATGGGTAGATGAATATGTAGTTGCACTTACATTTCTAAAAAAACAAAAAACTGTCCAATAAGAAAACATTATTACTTTGGATGTCTAAACTGTCCAATGAAAAACTATCCACGAAAAAATTGTCCAACAAAAAACTGTCCGTAATAATTCATGTAGATGTATAATAATATTGAGATATAGTATATAGAATGAGAATAAAGGCAAAATGAACATGGAAAGAAATGTAACCATCTCAAATTTCACATAAACAATGTAACCAACAAACAACCATTGAGTAATATTGAGATATAGTATATAGAATGAGAATAAAGGCAAAATGAACATGGAAAGAAATGTAACCATCTCAAATTTCACATAAACAATGTAACCAACAAACAACCATTGAGTAGTGCATGTTGATTGACAAAAAATGATGACGGTAATAGTTATAGATATGGTTTTGCAATTGCAGCAGAGTATACAAAAGAGTCATGTGGTTCGGTCTTCTTTTGTTGGGTGCTTATATAATTTCTTTAAAGCTTCATAGAAGAGTCAACTTTTGTAAATGAGTTAGTAAAAAAGGAAATTTATTTTCTTGTCTAATATTTTATTTTTTTCCATTTCTTGATTCAGGTTATGCTTACAAAAGGCCCTAGTGCATTTTATAAGGAGTAAGTTTCTTTCTGGACCTTTATGAGTAGTGCTTTTTTATTAGATTCATAGAATCAAAGAAGTTCCCAGGTATGAAATCAACTCTATTAATTAAAAACAAAAATGCAATTCATCGATCGTGTAAAGAAAAAAAATTAATTTATTATAAGATAAATGTATGAAATCCACAAATTTAAGATTTGCAAAATAAAATTAACAAAATAGAAAATATATAAATTAATGCAAAGAAGAAACATGGATTGATTTATCAAGAAATCATAGATTGATTTTGAAATTACCTCGTTCAAGCAGCCACAAAGAATTGAGCCAGTGAGAGAAGCTTTGAGTAGTTGTTTAGTGAGAGAGGCGTCTTCTTGTACTCTTGTTAGGGAGGGAGAGTGGTTTTAGTCTACTGTCATTTGCAGCATAAAGAAGGAAGAGGGCTGAGATGCAGCATGAGGAAGAAAAGAAAAGAGCGATGAAAAGAGAGAGGGAGAGAGAATCAGTTTTAGGGTTCCATGTAGACTTTTTTTAAGCTGTCGGTTTAGTCGGTTCATCCAATTATTAGTGACTCTTACCGAACCATGAACCGCTAATAAAAAAACACTATTTAATATATGCTGAACCGAACCGGTGAAACCGACTAATTGAACCGATCAAATTGAACATTGTCGGTTCAGTCGGATATTTTGCTCTCCTCTACCTATGATAGGGTTGACTGGGGTTTTATTAAAGTCATAATGCTTAAGATGGGGTTTGCTAGTTGCTGGGTTGATTTGATTATATTATGTCTTTCAACTGTCCGTTATATGATTAAGCTGAATGGTGCTGAGTATGGTTTTGTTATTCCTCAGTATGGTCTCCATCAAGGTGACCCCTTATCGCCTTATCTCTCCCTTATTTGTGCTGAAGGTCTATCAGTTTTATTTCGATAAGCAAAAGTTGCAGGTGACATTCATGGTTGTAAAATTAAGAGCGGGATCCTGAGTGTTTCCCATCTCTTATTTGCAGATGACAGTTTTCTCTTTTTTCAAGCTTCAATGCAGGAAGGAACCTGTGTAAAACAAATTTTAGAAACTTATGAGAAGGCTTTGAGATAATCAGTGAATTTTCAGAAGTCAGGTATTTTCTTTAGTCCTAATGTCTCGAGCGATTTAAGGAATTCTATTTCTAATATCCTTAATGTGCATACCCCTCTTAATCATAATCATTATCTAAGGCTTCCTTCTCTGATTGGTCGAAATAAAAAAGAGGTTTTTAGTTTTATTCGTGATCGAATGTGGAAAAGAATTAATAGCTGGAGTGGTCAATTTCTATCGAAAGCTAGTAAAGAGGTTCTTATTAAGTCAATTGCTCAATCTATTCCTATGTACTGTATGAGTGTGTTTCTTATTATGGTATCGACTTGTACGGAACTGGAACAAATGCTTAACTCTTTCTGGTGGGGATCTAAAAGGGATGAACAGAGAAATATCCATTGGCTGGCATGGGAGAGAATATGTAGTAGTAAACAGAATGGAGGTTTGGGTTTCCGTCATTTCCAAAGCTTCAATTTGGCACTCATAGGGAAGCAAGATTGCAGAATTTTAACCGATCGACCAAATGTACCATGCAAGAGTGATAAAATCCTCAAGTATAGGCTTACAAAGGACAATCAAAGAATACTCAGACCAGTCACAAAACAAATAAGTATCGACCCCCAGAAAAGAGAAAACCTGATTGAACTCAACATAAAACAGCATAGTCACAAAAAAATAAAGCATGAAGGACCAACTCCATTAGGATATTTTTATAGTTTAGACTATTTCATAATTATATACATTTTTTTTTAAATTTGTGCTTTCGAGATCAATAGGCCAAGCAAAGTGCGGTTTTGGAATCAAACTTTTTACAACAATACAAGGCTGAGGCTGCAAAGTGCGCTTTTGGAATCAAATTTTTTTCAACAATAAGTTGAGGCGGCTTACTTTTCAAGTCAACAAGTTGTTGATTATTATTTAATAATATAATTTAATATTATTATTTAATTTTATACTAAAAATTATTTTGATTACGTAGATTATTATGGTTGTTGCTTAGGGTTTACCAAAGGTGTCATTTTTTTTTTCATTATATCCTCCAAGTTTTGGACATTTTTTTTTCCATTTTTTTATTTGAATAAGGGAAAATTATTATTTCGTCCTTGAGGTTTGCCATAATTATTTAAATAGTCTTCGACATTTATACATATATTTATAACGTCCTTGAAGTTTGCCATCGTCATATTAATTGGTTCTTCCATAAAAAAAATACACTTTTTCCGTTAATTTTGAGAGAAAAAGACAAAATTATCATTTGGAAAAATAATTATTTCGTTTTGAGAGAAAAAAGACAAAATTTCATTTGGAGAAAAATAATTATTATTACGTCCCTGAAGATTTTTTTGCCATATATTAGTTAAGTAGTCCCCGGACATTTATACAAATAATTTATATAGTCCCCTGAGGTTTACTTCCGTTCGATATTAATTGGTCATTCCAATAAAAAAATACACTTTTTCCGTTAATTTTTGAGTGGAAAGAACGAAATTATCTTTATAGGGAGTTTTTCATTGACATTATTGTCAAAATTCCTTTCCTCTAAATACCTAATAACTCAAAATTTTTCAAACATCTTCCCTTCAACCCACGCGGTCTCAATTTGCCACCCTTACAGTGTCTCTGTTCAAGTATCATGCGGTCCATAACGTAGATCACTCACAAAACTAAAAGGGAAAAATAATTTATTTTCGTGCTCGAGGTGATTGCCAATGACTCTATTATTTTAAGTAGTCCCCACCATTTTAGGGAGTACCAAAATATTTTTTATACGTCCCTGAGGTTACTTCCCGCTTATTTTTTAACTTGATCTTTCGTCCATATGGAGAAACAATTCACTTTTGCCCTGTTAATAGTTTAATAGAAACTGTAAACCAAACTACCTTTTAAGAATATCTATATCAACGTGAGAAGAGAGATAATGGATGAAGGAAAGTGATGAAATAGGGGGCTTGATTGAGTTTTGGATGTTGGATTTAGTTTTTGGTAGTGATCGGGTGGTTATGGAGAATGGAATGAGTTTTCATTGACAACGGTGGTATTGACAGATAAAGACAGCTTATGGGTTGAGGAAGATGGTAAGGAAAAGAGTGAGTTTTTTAGTGTATTTTTAGAGGAAAAAGGATTAATAATAATCGTTCAATGTAAAAACTTTAAACCCAGGATAATTTCCGTCTTTTCCTACTCAAAATTAACGAAAAAAGTGTATTTTTTTTTTTTATTCATTTTTTTCTGGAAGGACCATGCTTTATATATGAAGCGGAAGTAGAAGGGCCTCAGTGACGTTATACCTAATGATTTAATATATAAATGTCGAGGACATTACTTAAACATAATTAATGGCAAATCTCAAGGGATGAAATAATTATTTTTTTCCACAAAAGGAAAAATTAATCCGTTATTTTCATTTTTAAAAATTAACTTTGGAAAAAAGTGTATTTTTGTTCTTAACAGAAAAACAGACCAATTCCAATATCCGAACAGGTGGCAAACTCAGAAATGTTAACTAAATATATATATAAAATATCAGAGACAATATTTAGAATAATTATGACAAACATCAGGGACGAATATAATAATTTCGCCTTGTGAATAATAACGATGATTTTTTTTTTTTTATGGAAGGACCAGTTAATATGACGGAAGTAAACCTCAGTGACGTTATAAATGTTTATATAAATGTCGAGGACTACTTAATAATTATGGCAAATCTCAGGGATGAAATAATTATTTTTCCAAAGGAAAATTTCGTTTTTTCTTTTTAAAATTAACGGAAAAAGTGTATTTTTTTTTACAGAAAGACCAATTAATATGACGGTGGCAAACCTCAGAAATGTTATAAATATATATATAAATATCAGAGACTATTTAAATAATTATGACAAACATCAGGGACGAAATAATAATTTTCCCTTTGAATAATCGATGAGAACAATGCTTAGCAAATATAATACCTAATTTTAAATTTCAATTTAGAATTGAAACCCTCGTGTTCCTTCCCTGACCTCCTTACAGGCCGTATCGTTGCAGAAAAACGCGAGAACATAACAACAATCTCTCACTTCTACTATACTACGCCATTTACTGGGTTCAGAACAGCTTCATCAACTAGTTAAACCACAAGAGAGACTCAGAGATGCTACACAGTAAGACCTTCAATAAGAAGACTAGGGGAGGCAAAGTTCAAAAGGTTAGTTATTTCTTCATTCACCTTTCTCTTTCTCTCATTCTGAAAAACCCTAAATTTGTTTAATTTTCTCATTGGTGTTTATTTTCTGGCTGCAGCTTGTAAGGGAAGTTTATCTCAGAGACGATATTTACTGTGGAGCTTCATTTTGTAAAGCATGTGATACCACAGGTGCTCGCTTGACTGCTTCTGCTTCCACTATCCTTGTTCTTGACACTAATGTTGTTCTCAATCAGGTAAATTTAGTGAATTTTCTATGTTATTTCATTGAGTTGAATTTTATATACTTGTTTGTTATTGTGATTTTGTGGTGCTTTCAGATTGATTTGCTTGAGAATCCGGCCATTGAAGATGTTGTTGTGCTATCAATAGTGCTACAAGAAGTTAAGAACAAGAATACCTCTGTTTATAATAGAATTCGAGCCCTCTGCAGCAATCCTGCTAGGAAATTCTTTGTCTTTTCTAATGAATTCCACAGGTTTGTTTTTCTATTTAACCAATGTGGGTTTTAGGTGCTGTCTCTCTCTTTTTTAATCCTCATTGTTAGGGTTTTAGGCATTAATCGATTCCTTTTACTTGCTGTATTCTCCATAGGGATACTTATGTTCAGAGCATGACTGGTGAAAGTCCTAACGATAGAAATGATAGAGGTTTGCAATTCTTGTCATGTATTCTCATAATAATGTTTTACTTTTTTGCAATGTTATCTGTTCTTTAATTGTTAAGGTTGATCATGCATAGCCTGTTCATGTTAGATGGTCTCTGCTACATAGCTATAACATGTCATCTTCAGTGTTTTCTGAATTCCAATCTTGATGTCTGGAAATTGTGTAATTCAGCAATTAGGGTTGCTGCCAGATGGTATCAGAGTCATCTTGGTGATGCAGTGAAGGTTTTACTTGTTACTAATGATAGGGAAAATAAGAAGAGAGCTACTGAAGAGGGTCTTTCGGCTGAGACAAGTATGTATAGTTACTACTCATGTGATCCACCCATCTTCTGAATGAGTTTGACATTTAACATATTTGGCTTGTTCATCGTTATGGTGAAAATTTGATGGAATTACTTTTTTGCACCAAGCTTAATTCTAAAATCTTCTTTTTTTTTTTTTTCAGTTGAATCTTATGTGAAGTCACTGGGACAACCAGCTTTGCTTGACTTGCTTGTTCAGCCCGCTTCTGAAGATGTAGTCATGGAGGAAGTTGAAGATTTGAGACCTTCAAAGAGGAAAGTTATTTATCCAGAGGTATGCTCTGTATTTTGCTTGCCTTCATGGCTGCCAGACTTTTTTTGTATGAAAGAAACATGCAGCTTATGAATTGCTTGTACCCTATTCTTTGTTCAGCACAAGCCCATGTCAGAGATTACTGCTGGTTTGACCAGTGGAATATATCATCAAGGAAAACTTCGTGTTAATCGTTATAATCCATTTGAAGCATATGTTGGAAGTGAAAGTATCGGCGATGAAATAGTTATTTATGGGCGTGGAAATATGAATAGGGCTTTTGATGGTGATATAGTAGCAGTGGAAATTCTTCCCCAAGATGAATGGCGTGAGGATGAATCTTTGTCTATAGCAGATGAAGGTATGCTAAGGGCCATTTTTCATCTTGAATTATCACCAACTGTTTTACATTTCTAAACTGCAAAACTTACTTTTGCAAATGCTGATCTTGATTTGTCCTAGTATATGGATTTCAAAGAATTAGAGTGTAGAAAAATACACCTCTGCTTTGTATTGTGATCTATCAATCTTATTATTACTATTATTGTTTTTGTTGTGTATCTCATCTTTGGTTTCCTTGACAAGTTTCTCTTCCCCTCGTAGATGATGATGATGAAGAAGTTCATCTAGTTCCAAGCAGTGCAGATGATGCTCCTAGAACTACAAATCCTGTATCAAGTTCTGCTGCTGACACTAATCCAATCTCAACTCGACCATCTGGCCATGTTGTTGGCATAATAAAGCGTAATTGGCATTCGTAAGTACTTTTTCTGCATGTACATGATGCATTATTAGTTTATCACATCAAAAATCAAATTCAATTTTCTTGTAGCTTCATTTGACAAGCCTTCTGATAATGATTTTTTGGCAGTACTTCAATTGTTTACATCATGCTTGAGGCAACATGCTTGCATCATGATTCTAGAATGCTTTGCTTCTGGATCACAATCATATACAATTTCTTTTTTCTAGGCATCTAATGTTCTTTCTTTGAATTTCTTTCATGCACATGGAATGTTATTTCTAATCTGATAATCTTATAGAATATAGTCTTATAATCTGTGGCAAAATCTTTGCTTTTGTCCTTTTTTTTTTTAAAAAAAAAAAAAGATCTTATCGAGTTATTGATTCAGTTTTTTATTTAAATTTTATGTGCAGCTATTGTGGATCTTTGGAGCCCATGCCAAGGCCTGCTGGGAGTGGTAGTCTTGTCTATGCTTTATTTGTCTCTAAAGATCGGAGAATTCCAAAAATTCGAATTCAAACCAGGCAGCTTGATAATCTTCTGGACAAAAGAATTATTGTGGCAGTTGATTCTTGGGACCGTCAGTCACGGTACCCTTCTGGTCATTATATACGAAGTATAGGAGAGATAGGTGATAGAGATACTGAAACTGAGGTTTGTAATGGTTATTTCAGCTACTTGTGTGCATGCATGTGTGTGAGGCAGAAAGGGGCTTTTTTCTTATTTAAATTGTTGCTGCTGATATTTGAGACTTGTGAATATAATTCTTGAGGCATATTACCGTGGAACTACAGGTGGTCTTGATAGAGAATGATATAGATGCAAGACCATTTTCTGCCCAAGTGCTGGCATGCTTGCCGCCTTTACCATGGTCAGTCTCTGAAGAAGATTTGGCCAATCCTATTAGGACAGACTTGCGACATCTGCGTGTCTTCAGTGTTGACCCTCCAGGTTCATGATCCAATTACACTCACTGTCTCTCAATCTCTCTCTCTCTCTCTCTCTCTCTCTCTCTCTCTCTCCTTTGTTGCATATAATTATCTTCTGTACTAAATTGACTAAAAATGGATGTGCTTATGGCATATGCAGGATGCAAGGATATTGACGATGCACTGCACTGTACACAGCTTGCAAGTGGAAATTTTGAAGTTGGAGTTCGTATCCTTCATATCCCAAATTTAATTTTAGCCAAAAATGGACACAACAAACACAGAGTAAACATATACAAAGAACAAGCAATACAACTGCGTGTGTCAATTTTATCATCCTCTAACTTTTCTCAGCATTTCTGTTAAGCCTTAGTCCAGTCAGTCTCTCCATAAGGGTGACATACTCTTTATTTGTTAGAATTGCAAATGAGAACCTTTGTTTTTTCGTCTTATTGATATTAAATTAGACATTGCTGATGTAACAAACTTTGTTCATGTGGGCACCCCACTTGATGATGAGGCTACACAAAGAGGCACATCTGTGTACCTTGTTGAGCGTCGTATTGACATGCTTCCAAAACCTCTAACAGAAGGTGCTTTTTGTTACTCCTCAGTTGGGCTTATTTCATGTTGTTGTAGCTCATGGCGGTTGCATACTGTTTTTATTATAGGAACTAGATTTCACATACTAGTGAGCTTTATTTTGCAGATATATGTTCTCTTCGAGCTGATGTGGAAAGGCTAGCTTTTTCTGTCATTTGGGTAAGTGCCTCAATTCTGTACCATTATGGGAGATCTGCATTAGCAAGTCCATTTCCTTTTTATAACGGTAGTTATTTCTTTGGTAATGAATGAAAATAAGTCAAAGCTAAAGTCTGCAACTACACAATTTTTGATTGGTTCATGGACTGGTTTTCTGAGCTTCCAGGCATGTAGAAGCATATCTGTAGCATGTAAGTTTTGGAGATCACTTGAATAATTGACTAGGCTTCCGTCCGAACTTGTTAGACTTCGGCTGTATGGATCCCTTTTCTTTTCCCCAGTTGATATGCTTCTCTAGCAGATGTGACCTAATCATGGTTTTAAGAATTCTAGAAGTCAGGTGGGCATTGACTAATACATCTCTCTTCCATGTACATAAACATGTAGAAGAGGGATACCCCTCCAAACTTCTCCCTGCTTTTGTGATTTACCATATAGCATAGACATACACATATATACATACATCAAAGTGCACTGGAAGTCATATTTTGTTTCAACTGATAGACATCTGGGGATATGTTTTGGATTTTGCTTCAATGGTTGGCCCATGTTGCAGGAAATGACCCCTGAAGCAGAGATTATTTCTACAAGATACACCAAAAGTGTCATCAAATCTTGTGCAGCATTGTCTTACATTGAAGCTCAGGCTAGAATGGATGATAGGTACCTTTTGTTCAGCATGATATTGTGTTTTGTTTTTCTTTAATTATGATAACAAAAACTGCTTCTCTGAATCAGAAGTCACAGAATTTTGTCTGGTTGGCCGTCTTTCTTGCCCCATTGACATGTAGTTATGTTGCTTCACCATTCTGCACTTTTAATAAAACTTTATAATTTTGAATGATGACATGGTTACAATACTTCATCCAGAAGATTGTGCATACCCAAATCCATGAGATGGACTGGGAGTTGATGGGTCCTAGTGAAAATATTCAGAATATGAGCTGATTAAACAGATATAAGTAGAAATAGAAGTAAAGATCTTTGAAAATTCTTTAAAGTATATGTGATTTGAGCTAGTTGTGTGTGCCTTTTTTTTTTTTTTTCTGAAGCTTCAGGCCTAGAATGGATGAATAAGGTACCCCGTTTTTTCAGCAATGATATTTGTGTTTTAGTTTTCTTTTAATTATGGATAACAAAAACTCTTTCTGAATCAGAAAGTCCACAGATTGTCTGGTGGCCTTTGTCTTCTACTTGCCCCATTGACATGTAGTTATTGGTTGCTTCACCCATCTGACTTTTAAATAAGGGAACATATTATATTTATTTTTTTATGAAAACTTGAATTTGAACATGGTTACAATACTTCAATCCCAGAAGAATGTGTGCATACCCCAAATCCCATTGAGAATGCGAACTGGGAAAGTTGATGGGTCCTAGTGAAAATATTCAGCAAAATATGAGTCTTGAATTAAACTAGTAGATATAACTGGACCGTTTTTTAGATTATATAGTAAAAGTCAAAGATCTGTTGGAAAATTCTTTAAATGTATATGTGATTTGGAGTTTCTAGTGGTGTGGTGCTTTTTTTTTTTTTTTTGAGATTTAAAATGGAAGGTTTTGGGATCTTTTTTAAATTTATGGTTTGTGTTGTTTTCATGCTTAGTTGGACTTATAGCCATGGTAGAACAATCACTGACACGGGATAGTTTATGTGCCTTTTTTTTTTTTTTTGAGATTTATGGAGGTTGGGATCTTAAACTTTATGTTGGTGTTTCATGCTTATTGGACAAGCCATGGTAGAACTAATCACTGACACAAGTTTAATATTAATGACCAATATCTTATTATTACACCTTGCTTTTTAGTATTCATTTTTTGAAAAATGCTTATTAATCCAGGAAGGAAGCTTAGCTCTGTAGGTTTTATGAATGATATAAGAAACCATGAGCAATCTATGCTGGTTTGATCAAGTCCCTCATCTGTAAACTGACCTGCTCAAAGTCTGAGTAATGGATAGATGGCCTAGGTTGCCGTATCTTGCCTTAATGATACCATAATGTCAATGTTCATTTGTAAAAATCTTAATAGCATTTTAAATTAAGATTGCATCGATGAATTGCTGTGTACAGGTGACATCATAATTTTCTCTTCTCAATTTCCATTTGAAATTGTCTTACTTTATTTGGGCTTATGGATCTAATTATTCTTATGCTATTTGCAGTCGATTGATGGATCCAGTAACTAAAGATTTGAGAAATATGAACACTTTGGCAAAGGTGTGACTACCTGAAGGCTTGCTTTAGTCATTCGCATCACTGGAGTCTATGAAAATGAAATCCATTTGCATTTTACTGACTGTGCTGTTCTAACTAGTTTGCTATTTTGATGATTCTGCAGATAATGAGACAGAGGAGAATTGAGAGAGGAGCACTAACTCTTGCTTCTGCTGAAGTGAAGTTTCAGATTGATACTGAGACTCATGACCCTCTTGACATCGGTATGTCGTCAACAGCAAGTTATTTCCTTTCTTAATTGGAAGAAAACCAAATATAGGTTGATCCAAAATCTTGAATTGTGAGTTTAATTTTGCTGAGGGTAGTCATACATGCCATTTTCTGGAACAAATATGAGTCAATTTAAGTCCATTTGTTCCAGAATTTAGTGGTATGCTGCTGCTTTATAAATATGGAAAAGTATTTTCTCTATTTCCCCCTCTGCTACTCTGCTTGCAGAGTGAACTGTATTCAGGCAATGTAATCATAATGGCTGATAACTCCAGCATCAAGCCAAATGCATTTGCGTATGGATTTCTGTATTCTTTGCACATAATAACCTCTAAGAACAAAAGGATCCGAGGAACTTCCCATTTCATACTGTTAACTTGACATGAATACAAAGTATTGGATTTGGCATCACAGATGTAGGGTACAAGGGAAGCTGTCTATATTGTACAGCTGAACTTTATGAAAAGGATTAAGAACAGCAGGATTGTTTTATGGAATATAAAGTGCTTGAATTGAGCAAAAAATTTATGGAAAATGCTAAAACCACATGTTTATGCTGTGTTGCTTTGATTTGGGTTGGTAAAGACCAGCTAGCCTATGTTAGATATATTTGTTACTTTGAGAAATACTATTCACAAATTATTATATTGAGTATTGACAAGCTTTGTTCATTTATAATAGGGTTAGAATGAACAAAGTCAAGTCAAGGTTTACTTGGTTCTAACCTGGTTCAGGCTGCTTTAATAAAAATTGTAGCTTGAACTGAACTCAATTCAGACTTCTCAAACTAAGCTTGATCTAGGGTTTCTGTTAAGTTGTAAGCTAATGAGCTCAACTCCAGCTTATTAACAAGCTCACTTATTCAATAAATAATCATTTAATTACAAAATATAAAGCTCTGAATCAGTTCACAACAGGATAATATTTTAGAATGGGATTCTTACATGCTTGGCTGTATGGTAGTGTTTTGCATTATTCCAAAAGTAAAGAAAAGGAGTTGGCCTTCATAAAGTTAATGTCTTTACTTTAGTTTTTATTCTGTGTAGAAATTATTGTAGTCAAGCTAAACCAACCCTTAAAAAAGGCGTATAAGCAACTCCAATAACAGGCTTATTTGCAAACTTACTTTCATAACTATTCATGATTTTAAATGAATGGAGCTTACACTTAATCATTCTTGATTCATTTATTGAACAAGATTAAAATTGAGATCAAATATTTTGACTACTAGTAAATGAATTAGTTCTTATGCAACCAAGTTCTGGAATTTTTTGAGTGATTTTATCTGTTTGCAGCCCCAATATATGCTCGGCTTTTGTTCTTAGAAGTATCTTTTTTAGTATATACTTTTTGTTCTTAGTATCTTTTTTGTACTGAGGACCAACTTTCTACATTGTAAATTTGTAATCCATCATCGTTCCATTTTCTGATGCATTTTTCTTGTTTATTTATTTTTTCTTTTCCCTTTTTCCTCCCTAAATTTTCTTGTTTATTTATTTTTTCTTTTCCCTTTTTCCTCCCTAAATTTTCTTTCTATCATTATGAATTTATATATTTTGATGTACATATTGTTTCTTTAGGTATGTATCAGATTCGAGAAGCAAACCAAATGGTCGAGGAGTTTATGCTTGCTGCTAATGTTTCTGTGGCAGAGCAAATTCTTAAACACTTTCCAGGATGTTCGCTGTTAAGGTCAAGTGAAAGTTTTCTATTATTTTTTAGTATCTCTTGTTCTTCTGAAAATTTATTCTTCTTTTGGATAAGGAACATGGAGCACTATTTTGTAAAAAAATAACCATCCCCAGCCTACGTAGTCCCAGTTGGTGGATCACCTATTATCAAAAATCAAGATTTTGGGTTATTAACTTATTACTTGGCTAGATAATGAATTCACAATCTTAAAATAAGATATGCTTATGAGAAAATGATCCAAAATTATAACTGTTCGACTTGGATTCCTCCTGAAAATATGATCTTACAATGTCACTTTTTGGTTCATTTTGGAAGTGCTATGATACAATAGTTCTTTCTAGTTTCAACTTTTCTTCTTCTTTATTATGATGCAATTTCATGCTCAGAACAATTAGACAGATTTCCTTTGTTTTTGGAATATTATTATAACAAATTTCTTTATTTATTTTATCATAAATATGGGATATTTGAGAAGTGTGGAACAATTGTTTCCTGATTTATTTATTAACTCAAGTAGGCATTAATCCTGAACTAATTGCGACTTTGGCTATATGGGTTTATTTTATTCGTTCTATCCAATTCAGGGCTACATCTTGAGACTGATCTGCTGCTGCTAAATCCTTTGCACTACTTCCCTTAGGCTGTCCCTCCACTTTCTTATCTCTTACAAGTTCAATGTGCTTAACCTTCAAATCAGTGTGTTAAAATCTCCCTTCTCTTAGCTTTTCTTCAATAGGCATCCTTCCTACTTTTATATGAAATCAGTCTATCCTTGTATCTTGTACATTCTCAGCATCTCAATTTCAGCCATGCTATTCTCTTGTTGTTTCTTCATGCCAACACTTGTTGCCATGCATAATAACTCGTTGAGTCACAAGCTCATAAAACTCCCCCGTCGAATCTGCTTGCATTTTGTGATCATATAGGACCCTTTTTTATCCACTATGATTTGCTCATATTTAATTTTGGGTGATCATTTGTATTGTATAGGCGTCATCCTACTCCAACAAAAGATATGCTTGAACCTTTGCTGCGTACAGCTGCTGCTGTTGGTCTGAACTTGGATGTCTCATCATCAAAAGCTCTAGCTGATTCACTTGACCATGCTGTGGTGAGGTTTTCTTAACATGAATCTCCTTTTTTTTGGCGCAGTTGATGTACTTATATCCTTATTATTTACTGATATAAGAAAATCTTTTGCAAAATATGAGTTTTCAAGTTGGAACCAGTGAGAGCTAGGTTGGCTTATCTAGATGTTGACTGCTTTGTGTAGCCTTTCAGTTTGTCATTTAGGACATTTTGTAATCTAAGTTACACAAGTTATCAGTACCATTTGGTGTAGTTTGTTGTCATGAGTGCAACTAAGTTTCTGGTTTTTGATACTTGAGAATTACCATATAAGGTTTCTAATTGTCTTATAAAAACTTTAGCTTATTTGACTCACATAATGCGCATGCTTTTTAAAAACTTCTTTAGTTTCTTATGGGAAATGTTGCAGAATTTGTTGTGGTCATCGGAACTGCATGCACATATCATTGCAACTTTATATTCTTATATCATCCTCATGATTGATTTCTTTCAAAATTGACATTTGCCAGAGTGACGACCCGTACTTCAACAAGCTGATCCGTATAATGGCAACAAGGTGTATGACACAGGTAATTTCATTTGATAGCGAAGTTTCAAAACTGCTACCTATGAAGAGTTTGTAATGTGTGTTCTGACTTCAATTGTAACCAGGCAGTGTATTTTTGTAGCGGGGATCTCAGCCCTCCAGAGTTTCATCATTATGGTCTTGCAGCACCTCTATATACTCATTTTACTTCACCTATTAGAAGATTTGCTGGTTAGTAAGATTTATAAGTTTTAACCGATTAAGGTTCACCTGGTGGAAGAGAGGAATTTTTATTTCGGAGCTTTGTTTACTTGCAGATGTCATTGTCCACAGGCTGCTTGCTGCATCTTTAGGGATATACAAACTTCCAACGATATTCAGGGACAGACCCCAGCTGACTAGTATTGCTGATAGTAAGCAACACACTATTCACCTGTTAACTTTTGTTCCTAAAACTATGTAGATGCTCTATAAGTAGATGTGGTTACCATGTATTTTATTGTTTAAAGTCATTTTTGCAACTGAGCAAGTTGACTATAACTACAATATCTTAGTTCTATCAGTATCTTTTGAAAATTCTGATTTCACTGACCTTCACAACATGGTTTATGCATCTTGTACGTAAAATTCACCTTCCAATTATTTGGGCCAATCAATGATGCTTTTGGTTATTGCATGCAAGTGATTTGTATTTACATCCATTAACATTCAGTACAGTGTTGAATGTGAAGATTTTGATAATTTTACATTGATTAACCCCCTATTCCTGTTAGAACTCCCAGACAAAGTAAGGTTAATTAGCTCTCATTTACATTCTTTTTGATATCCTTCCTTACTCTTTTAACTTACCATTCAATCTTTTTGGAGCTGCTTTGGGTTGGGCATAGTAAAGTAACTTGCTTGTTGAAAATCTCTTCCAGACTTAAATTACCGGCACAGAAATGCTCAGATGGCAAGTCGAGGCTCTGTGGAGCTCCATACTCTTATATACTTCAGAAACAGGTAAGTTGTCTTATAATCTCTCATTTTCATACAGACAACACAATTTTGCTTATATGATCTCTTTTTCTCTCCTTTTCTACAGGCCAACAGACACAGAGGCCAGAATAGTGAAGATAAGATCCAATGGTTTTATTGTATTTGTGCCCAAGTAAGTTGTTTTCTTTTTCTCCTTTTTAGACTTTTTATGAATGATTTAGCCTCTCCTGCCACTTTTATGTTATGTTCCTTTTCAATTAAGCTTTGCTTGGTGCTCCTAAAATGCTTTTTATGTCCTCATGACACACAAATGCAGGATAAGGACCACAACTCTTATATAGCTGCCCAATATTCATTTTCTTGTGAGTTTTAGTTTGGGAAATTTTTGGGTCAGGATTTAATCCTCACTGGATTAGATGCTTTAATAGGAAAATGGTAAAGCTCAACAAGACATACAAGACATAGACATATACTAACTCTTATCTCTTCCTGTTTTCAGCAAATTGATAATCAAAGTGAAATTGGATCAACATCCAAGTTGTTTTTCTAAGACCAGTAAATAAAATCATGTTAATAAATTTAACACTATGTTGACCAGAAATATTAACATAAATCTAAGTTCTTTAAATCTTCAATCTGTTCTTTATTTTCCTTAAAATTCTTTTTAGACTTCACAATGCCATCTCAACTCCCTGAAAAAATGTGGATGATGTTTATACACATTATGAAGTGGGGATTGACAATCACTTTCCACAGGTATGGCATAGAAGGACCAGTCTACTTGACAGCTAGGAGTGAGAAAGGAGGTGGAGAATGGTTTGTGGATGAGCAGCAACAGAAAATCAAGAAGATGGATGGTAGTGTTTCTTATGGTATTTTGCAGTCAGTTAAAATTCACTTGCAGGTTGTGGAGCCTCAGCCCAACCGCCCAAAACTCCAACTTACACTTGTCTAAATTGTCTATGGCATTGTCTCTTAGCTCTAGAGTTGTTCCCTGATTTTGAAACAGTGAAGCCATTACACTGCCATGCCATTTAGTTTGAATTGCTTAGGATAGGATACGATATGGTTTGACTGTATACAAAATTTTGTAACATACTATATATATTTGAGTGAGGATATATTTTTTTATTCTTGTATTTTCTGAGTGAATATTGTAATTTTTTTTTTTTTTTTTTTTTAGTGAGGATATATTTTTTTATTCTTGTATTTTCTGAGGAATATTGTAATTTTTTTTTATTTTTTTTTTTTTTTTTTGCTTAATTTCAAAGTTCATATTTTGATATTTAATAAGAATTTGATTTCTACTCTTCAAGTTCTTTATATTTCCGCTTATAATGTTTCTTTTTTTTTTTAGTATGCATAGAAATAGTTAAGGTTGTTCAATATATTGAAATAGTGAATTGTAGTTTAGATCCATTAAGAAATAGTTATGTAAACAGTTTGTGCTTCCTCAATTCTTTGCCTCCTGCAATTGGGTCTCTGCTTTACTGTTTGAAGTCCAAAATATTAAATAATAAAAACAGACTTGGAAGCTGTGCCTTTTTACTTTCACCCATCAGCATCAAAACATGTCCATCCTCATTTTCACTTGAACAATGCTCAATATGTGAAAAGTCAAAGGGAATTTAAGGTTTTAGAATTGTATGTTTAAAGAATTCCCAAACTGTTTAAAGAATTGTTTTGTTGTTCTGTCTCCAAACAAACATTTTAAGCTAAGCAAATATTTGAATGTAGCTCAGATGACAATTCTCCAGACTTCATTTATAAGCCATGCACAAAATATAATGTCCAATCCAAAAATTTCTAAAAAGATTAAAACAATAAACAAATTAATGAAAACGAGTAAGTTCATGTTTTCTTCTCTTTCTCAGTTCTTTTGGAATTTACTTGACTTCCTTGTCAAAGAATGTTACTCTGCTTTTCAAACAAAATTGTAAATATATCTCAAAATCTATCTCAAATAACAATTTTGTGATCTTTTGTGTATGGCTTAATTTAGAAGCCATGCATAAAAAATTCAATTTAAAAACTTCAAGAAAAAATTGATAATGACTAGAAAATCATAATCATCACATCCAAATCTGATTTTTCTTTTTTAAAAAAAAAAAAAATTGTTAAGCTATATGTAAGCAATTTACAAACAATCACTACAAATCAAGCAATGCATAAAAACTAAGAAAAATAAAAAATGAAACAAATCCCAATTAATGGAATTCTTTTAGGCTATTTCTCCCCTATAATGATTCTCCTATACTGATATAATAGTGGTTTTCTTTTTCTATGAAAAAATAGCTTTCCTCAGGACAATATCCACATGAAGACTGTTGACCAGACAGTAAGTGCTAGTGCTGCACCTAAGTATGTCCATAGGAAGAGAACTGAACATTCTTCTTGACCCACATTAAACAGCTGGGTCATAGTACCTGCATTTCATTTTCAAAAATAACCTTAACATTTCAAAAAATTTATGTATATAATAACATGTAGCTATGGTTGATATTTTATAATTCCTTACCAATATTCATAGCAGGTGGCAATGTATATTGAATCATCAGAACATACTGATATAATGGTTCTGATGGAAGGAATCCAAATTTAGCTGCTCCTTTAACAAGCCATAAAGAGGATTGTAGGTGCTCCTTGTAACCGGAGGGAGGGCCAGTACTCCAATTGGGCAGGAAGTCATCACAGTATCGAACGAAGAAGACAGAAACTATGGATCCATGGGCTCAGTTCTCGATTGAGCGTTAATCCTTTTTGGCGGAAGTCTTATAAAAAACATAGTTGAGAGTTGGTTTTCTTTGCTATGATTTTTTGGAAAAGTAAAGTTCTTGTATTTTGTTACCTTGGAGAAAGGGTGCCTCCAAGTATAAGTGTTATACAAGGTATTTCCTTTCTTCTACAATAAAGGTTGTTGGCTCATTTTTTCGAGATACTTAAAAAGCAAGATGATTGGAATTCGAAATAAAATCGAGGAATTATATTAAAGGATTGATAGGATGCATACCAAGTAATGTGAGAGTCTTGAAATTTACACGGAAGCAGGAGCATTATCACCCAAAACTATTAGTTTTCTGAGGAATGTAATGCTCCAAAAGGAGAAACTCCACAAATCTGTTTAAAAGAAAATAGGTTAAAAAGCTATAGCATACATATAATAATTGGAAATCAATAAATGTATGTTGGACAGTTATACATATATATAATTGGAAATCAATAAATGTATGTGACATGTTGAGGAAACTCACTGCACCGAGCGTGGGCGGCGCCAAGAGCTCCTCCAAAATCTTGTGAAGAGATCCTAGCAATTTATTCAAGAATGGTACTCCTTTTCCATGTTCTTGGGAAACAACCTAAAAGGTTCAACATATACAATTTTTTTCATTATGTCTTTGCATATCATAGGTTATGACATTCTGAATCACAGCCATTACGCGGTCATGATCGTGATTTAGGACACAGTATGTATGCAAAATTCAGAGGATACTTACAGCTTCTGTTTCTGTATCAACAACAGATTTTGCAGCATGTTCTTTTTCTTCTTGTTTGAGAAGGTGAGTTTCTTGACTAGCTTCTAAATCGTTGTTGGGTGCTTTTGTAATCTCCTCAGCTGCTTCAATCACTTTCAATTTCGCAGCAGAAGATCGTATCAGACTGTAAGTATAAGTCCAGATGAAGAAACCACCAAGCTGCACATAGCACGAGTCAAAATCAAAAATAGAAATCATGATGACATTTTCACATTTCAGAAATATAATTTACACTTCCTATGCATTACCGCCATAGAGAAAGATGCGTATGAGAGTCCAACAGATCTGCAGGTGTCACGATCAAATGGACTTCCATCCTCATTACAGATTGCAGGAATAACTATCAGAAGTAGATTTCCCAAATTTCCTGATTTAAAGAACATTTATAAATTTACAAGCATTTATGCAAGAAAAATCCTGGAATCAAATTAATTGTACTAAAAATTTACCTGATGAACATGTAGCAATAACAAGTCCTTCAAGATGAGGTTGTGGTTTCAGTAATTTAACAACAATCCATCCAAGAATCCCTCCAATCAAGAAGGTGAGTCCAATGTTAACAGGCATAAACCACCTAATGAACAAATCAAGATTAACTCTTTATATCAAAATTCTGAGCTTAATGGAGGGCTGGAACTAATTTTTTATATATATTACCATGTTTAACTTTCGCATTGCAGATATCAGAAATTTAAAAGAAAAATACTGAAGATTCAATTGGATATAGCCTACCATGAAATGACATCTTGGAAAGTCACAGTTTTAGCGAGACTAGCAAACATGAGAGAGGGTGTAAAGACTATGAAAACAATCTGCGTTGCCAAAAGGAATTCTCATATTGGAAGTGGAAAAAGAAAAAAGGAAAAAGGAAAAAGAAGATTCACATAAGACTTAATATGTTACCTTGTTCAATGATTTTCGAGCATCAGTAGTAAGAATATTGCAGTAACTAGTAGCCATAAAAGCTCCCAATATACTAATAAGTAACACTTGTAGAATTGGCATAGAAGCTACTTCAAAGAGTGTCCAGAAACCCATATTGTCTTTTTATTTTTTCTTTTAAACTCTGTTTCAGAAATTGATATTGTTTTCCTGCTCTGTTTTTCTTTGTTTGTAGCTAAACTCTTCAAATTTTCTCACTTGAACTCTTACAATGTGTACTTGTAATGTCTTCAACAAAGCAACAACTGGGAAAGAGCATTAGAGAGAAAGAGACAGGACAAAAGAGAAGCACAGTTAGGACAATAAAATTAGAAAAAAGAAAATTTTATTTCCATTATGGACTTTTCATTATCATAAAAGAGGGAAGTGTACTGTTCTGCAAAAACTTGCCTTCTTTCAAAAATTATATATGCAAAAATATAATATATATATAAAGTATAGTATAGTATATATAATATATATATATGCACTAAATGTTGAAAAACTTGAAATACATGTAAAGGTAATATATATGCACTAAATGTTGAAACTTTGAATGACATGACAATGTAAAATCTCAAAAGAAAAACCATAAAATTGGGAGAGGAAAGAACCATGAAGCTAACCAGAAGTTGGCAGCATTTAAGTGTACAGAGCTGAGAGTTGTAAAGTGCCAAAAGATGATATTTTAATAGTAAAGTGTACAGTTCTATTCTAACTCTAACTAGTAGTAGCTTTTTTAATTCCCCTTTAGAAATTAGTTTTTTTTTTTCCAGTTGGAAAATTATTAGTTCTTTGATTTTGATAATTTATATAAGTCCTAATAAGTTATTAATTCAAAAAGTTATGAAGATAAAAAAATTACTAATAAAACTATTTTTTTAATTAATATTTTTATACTATCATTCTATTTATAATATTATTATACAAATTTAATCAATTTATTAAAATGCAAAATAATATATTAACCTGAAAAGATCTAAAATATATATAATAGATAATGACATGTAAAAAAAATGATACTCTTACTAATAATTTTATATTTTAATAAAAAGACCATTACTAAAATTTTAAAATAATTATAAATAGTTAATTTAAATAAGTCCTGATTTAGACATTTCCATCTAGATCTGAAACTAATCTTAGGGAAGGAAAAAAAGAAATTGAAATCAAACCATTAGAAAATAATAAAAAAAGTAATCAACCATATGATAACTTGCCATACACCTATTGCTCTACTTATGTATTAAATTAATAAAAATAAATAATTTTTTTAAATGAAAATATTGCTAACCAGTCACTAAAAATAGTTAAAATAACAATAATTTTTTTTAAAAAAAAATCTCTATATTCATTAATTTGGTGAAGCGCCATAAATCGAATTAGGCAATTATAGGTAGAGGTGAGCATTCGGTCTAATCGAATCAAACCGAATCAAACCGAATCAAATTGATTTGGTTTGAATAAATTTCATAATTGATCAAATCTGAGTGAAATCAGTTCAATTTGAATTATTTCGAATTGAATCAGTATAGCTATGCAAGTGCTTGGGTCCAGATCTGCTCACCCCTAATCATAGATACCTTAAAAAGGAGTGGTGAATAGTAATATCTTTCTTTTTTCTAGCAATATAGTAAATGTTCTTCTTCTTCTTCTTCTTTGCTGCCTAACCTTTCAATGGAAATACATCATATAGCTTCCTTGGAATGTTATATACAATAATAATAAAATAAAATGAAAGGCTTTATAATGAAGAAAAAGCCAAAACCATTACTACTAGCTGGTGGATTGTTCCAGAGGGAAAGGAAATGTGGTCCAATCTTTGAATTTGAATTCCATTATTCAAGATAATAACAACAAATTCTTTTAAGATAAAAAAGAAATTATAATAAAAATTAATGAATAAACATAGGAAAATATAAGTTGAAACCCATGAACGCGTTGGTTGAGATGGTAAGCCCGTGAGTGCGAGAACACAAGTTCGATCTCCGGAAAAAAAAAAAAAGGCACTTTGCTGAGAAAAAAAAAAACAACCTTTACATCTTAAACTGCCTAAAAAGCTCATCAACAACCATTCTAATTAATGAAACATTACTGTTCTATTCTAATCCTGCCTTCTTGATTCATTCTGCTAGTTTCTTTATATATTTAATATTTCATTTCAACATTCTCAAATCTTGAATATTCAAAAGAAAATCTCATTCCTGATGAGATAAATATTAAATTTGATACAGAATATCAAGAAAAGCTTGCTTTTAATACATAAAAATTATATTATATAAAACAAGAAGGAAAGAGAAAGATATGCAGAGGGAAAAAAAGGTAGCAGAAGGGATTGGATGGACAAACCTGGTGAGTTGAAAAAAGCGAGTCAAGAGGGAGAGAAATTGTGGAGACTTGGAGGACAGAGAGAGATGGCAGAAGAAGAAGAAGAAGAAGACGATAATGGCGTTAGAATCGTGCCTATCTTTAAGCTTTAGAGTTTATATATATAGAAAGAGAACGAAGATATATATATCCACGCAAATATGCGTAGGAGGATTAGGATTATATACCAACTCGAACTTGCTTGGATGGAGATCTAAAATTTATCTCAAAACTTTCCAAATTATTAAAAAAAAAATTATAAAGAATGTTTTTTTATTTATTATTTATACACGTATTTCCAAATTCGGAGCAAATTAATAAAATTTTACTTAATCTTTTTATTTATATAATACATTAAAATAAAAAGAATAATGTACTCACTTTAAATTAAAAAAATATATATTACATATATACATTATACACAATAATATAAGAAAATAATTATACCCTTAATGATCATTTTATATATATTAACAATAAACGCTATTAAAATTTTACCAAACACAAACAGTAATCATCAATCGTCACTATCAACTGCTATGAACCGTTGAATCAAATGGACACTTAATCTTTAATTACTTATTATAAATAGATAGACTTTAATTGCGTAATGTATTGCATCATACATAAAGACTTCTTAAGTATCTCTTTATTTTTATAGCAATATAACAATTTTACTTTAGTATATTAGAAGACGGCCTAATTTACTTATACTAAAATTGAGTTTCTTTACTAGATAATTTTAAAAATGTCTTTCTATCATTCACCAAATATACATGAAGTTATTTAGGGATTATAATTCAGTTGGCAACACAGATTAGGCATGTGGGAAAAACTCTCATGTTCGATTTCAAAGAATCAAATTAGGCGAACCCTTATAATAAAATTTGGATCAATATATATATATATATATACACACACACTGAAGTTAACATTTTGATTTGATTAGTATTCTCACATCTTAACCTCATAATAAATTAAGTAATCTAACATTAATCTTAAAGGTTATTGCTTAGATTTGAATTTCATTAGGACTTGAAGAATTATTTCTTTTGTATTTTGAAAATTATAATTGTGGTGCAACAAGCAGTTGTAAGTCACTAGCATAGGCCAAGATGTCCCAAAGCAACAAGCAGCTCCCACTTGCTGGCTCCCAATCAACCTCCACTAGTCAAAACCCAAAAAACACTTAGATTTATAATTTTTTAAAAACTTTTTATTTTTTTTTTCAAAATTTATCTCCTTCTCTCTCCTTACTTTATGATTGTTCTCATTCAATAATAATAATAACATTTGTTAGTTATTTTAAACTAAATGAACTTTATCAGAAATTCAAAATTTAAAAATAACAAAAAATAATAATTTTCTCTTCCCTTTTTCTCACTTTGCTTCATCAAATTCTAATTTTAGTTTGGAATTCCCGCCGTTAATTAGTGATAGCCTTTATTTTTCACTTTTTCTTTTACTTGGAATCTTTTGCTTTTAATAAATCCAAATCTGCTTTCTTCCAACAGATCTATTTTCTCTTTGGTTTTTTTTTTTTTCCGTTATTTGTGAGGGTTTAGTATAAAATAAAAGTATGATATTTGATTTTATTTGGTTAAAAAATTTAGATCTTGATTTGCGGATGGTGTATCTTCGATTAATAATTTTGGTGGTGCGACATATTCCTCGATTGATTCTATTGACACATAATGATTGAAATTTATATTTATATCCATCGTCAATATCATTTTCGAGCGGAAAACTCTTATATTATCTATTTATTATTTAAAAGAATATAGATAATTTTTTTAATTTATTAAAAGATAAACTAAATCTCTATCACTAATGACAGTAATTTCTATATTTAATCTAATTAAGTATTTTTATAATACTTGATATTATTATTAAAAAATTTGTAACAAATCAGTAATTTTATACTATTTTTTTTATATAAAACTCAGAAACATTGCCATAATCAAAGATGAAACGTATTTTTCTATCTGAAAATTTCTGTTTTGCCATTTAGGTTCATGCAACTAGGGTGTTAAGCTGACGTGTCAATTCTGTCCTCCTAATTAATTAAATTAACAGCTAACAGCCGTCTTTGTTGAGATTGATTGTTGTTGACTTCTGTTTTTTGTGTTGTTTTACTGTAATAAAGAATTTTTGTTCTGTTTTAGCATGTTATTTTTAATTAGGAAAAATAAAAACTTGGTACGATAGCCAACTCAGGTTTTGTTTTTCTTATCATTTTCATCCTTTTTTATTGGAAATCGAATCTCCCAAAATTGATTTCCCATACTTTCTTAAAATAAAATTGAATTAATATTCTCTAAATAATTTTTAATATGATAACAAACCAATTACTTTTTTTACAAATAAATATTCAACTATTCATTCATTAATTTTAAATAAATATTTATCATGATGTTATTGGTGTAGCATACTCTGATTTTGTTCGTGCCCTTGTTTGAAATAAATAAAATTTTGCGGAATTCGTTTATAAATTTAAACTTTTGTGTTTGGTACGAAAAAAATAAAGAATTCAATTATATAGATTTAAATATAACTAAATCAAATTATACCAAAAAAATATGAAATTTCCAAATAAATTTCACAAACTTAAATAACTCAAAATTTTATAATAATATTCTGCTTCATCTATACTTCTAAAGTTATTATACTAAAGGTATTGTAAATAAAAAAGCAATTGAATTTTCAATTTTTTAATTTATTCCAAATATGACAATTTTTTTAACGATCTATAAACTTGACTAATCATTACTCCCCCTTGGAGGCAAAGGGGCTGGCCTTAGGAAATTTGCGTTGTGGAGGATTAAACTCATGGCCTAAGTTATGATGATTAATCCCGCAAGTACTCTTTGCTACTGAGTTACTTCCAATCAGATTAAACATGAGAAATTTATTTACAAGTGAATTCTATCTAGAATTTATTTTAAATAAATTCCACATTTTGGGTTTAAATATATCGAACAGAAGTGAGGTTTTGTTCCTCTCTTTATATTTAAAAAAGACAAAAGAAAAAAAAAAAAAAAAAAAAACCCCAATATTCTGTTCATCATATACCTTCTAAAAGTTTATATATTTACTAAGGTATTTGTACCATAAAAAGCAATTGCAATTTTTACAATTTTATATAATATCTTCCCAATAAATGAACCAATTCTCCTAATTATCACAACATCTATAAACCATAATGGACTACACTCATTACCTCCCCTTGGAGGCAAAGGGGCCCCGGCCCTTACGAAACTTTGCGTTTGTTGGAGATTCAAACCTCCATGAACCTAGCTTAATGAATGAATTAATTCAGCAAGTTAACACACCCTCTTTGCTTTACTGACGTTACTTCAAGATCACCACCCAATCAGCAATATAACATCCGGAGAACCTATTATTACCAACCGTGCACATTCTATCCTAGATTTCATTTAAAGGTAAATTCCACATTTTGCGGTTTTACAAAAAATAATCGACACAGACAGTGAGGTTCTATTCTCCCTCTGCTTATATATTTAAAAAAGACAAAAGAAAAAAACAAAAAAAAAAAAAAAACCCCAAAATTGGCTCCAATTCTTCATATGCCAAATGAGTGCAAGACAATAGGGCACACAATCAGAACGAAAAGTGCGTGGGCGAAATGGCCCTCACTACAAAAATAATTTTGGCTACAGACGCCAAATAATAAAAAAAATAAGAAAACCCTATGGACGAACCGATAAACACCTACAAAAAACAAACACACAGCCCAAGCAAACCCACCCAAACCAATTCACCCCCAACATTCACACAACAATCACAAAAAACCACGAATCAAAATCCCAAGCGATATCAACCAAGATTGATCTGAAATTTCATTTCCACCTCTTTTTGCATAAATTGGTAGAAATTAAGCAACCATGGTAGCCATTCTTAAGACACATTCAAATTCAAGTTTGACACTCTTTTAACAAAACTCCCAATAGAGCTCGGGTCTTACTTATCCAAACCATTTAACAAACTCCATAATTGAGCCGTTCCTTAGATAAAGTACCCTATACTAACTATCGATATATTAGCTATATATATATATATATATATATATGCAAATACTTCCAAATCTTACATGACAATATTGATAATTAGAAAAAACAAAATAATAATAATAATAATGTGTCCAATTTGGCATCAATAATGCATCCATATTCCCCACTTTGCTTCTTTCTTTTCAATGGTATATTCCAATTGCTTCTTTTTCACTTTGCCAAAGACCAATTCCCATGTGAATAAATGGTGATGAGCTCCATGTTTGTTCGTTTCTAATTCCTTTTCTTAATTTTTTTTTTAAAAAATTTATATTTAGCTTTCTTATGCATCCCCTGCTATTAATTTATTAGAAAGAGGTTTAACGACTCAAAAAAATATGATCAAATACATAACACAGTATAAGCCTCCCCTTAACTCACCAAAACACATAGTACTAAGGCCTCCCCTTAACACCTCCCACCAATAAGTTGTCGTTCGGTCAAGCAGCCTTATGTTAGTGAATTTTAGTGTTTTGGAACTCGGTCAAAATACCAACGTTATTTTTTATATTTGTCATGGTAACACTAACGTTTTTAAAATCCTAAATTTAGAGGTTAAATTAAAAAGTTAACTGAAACTTGTGCAATTTTAACTTTTAGCGTTTTATGAAAAGCTATTAAAACAAACTAATGGCTAAGAGCTCTTAAAATAGCTTAATCTTTAACCGAACAGACATCCTACACCCCTTGGATAGAAAATTCAATGATGGAGAGGACATCCCACCAATTTTAATCGCTGTTCACTCCCCACATTTTGAGAGAAAACTAAACCAGGATTAGATATCTAAGTATGAACAAATTACTCTCGCTCTATGATCTCTCACATAAAATAACTTGTCACATTTAGAAAATCCAGATTGTCTCCAAAAAATACTACAACAAAGCCCCCCCAATAAATTGTACATATTGGTGGATTTCATAGGAATAAAATATAATATTTTTTCCATGTTTTACCTTTTGAATATTGACCAATATATTACTTCAATTTAAATGGTCTTTTTTTAGGAGAAGTCAGTATTAAAATAAGGATACAATATAGTGAGAATTTTAATAATATAGTGAATTTACTCAATAATTTATTGTAATTTAGATAAATTTAATGTTTTCTTAAGGAAAGCGAAATTTCAAATATGACAAGTATTATGGAATAGAGATAGTACAAATGATTCGTGGATCCCATCACTTATTAATTAGTGGTGATTTGGAAAAAAAAAAAAAAACAATAAAGCTTTATAACATGGAGAGCAACCGTTGATTCAAATTCAACATCAAAAGCTTATCTTGTCACCAAATTAACCGGTTATAAATCCTCCAATAGGAGGCTATCCAGCTGGTCACGTTTTCCAAACTAAATGGACATGCACTCAGCACTTCCTAAGACCTTAAAAATGTCATTATTAACATTTTGATTTTAACTTGAAAAATCTCATATTGCAAAAAAATCATAGTTCATGGGAGTGGATATAAAAGTTGTGCTACTTAGCTGTTATAATATAGCGATTTAAATTAAAAATGATAAAAAATTATATTAGTTATTTAATTAGCTGAATCGGAGAAAAAAGAATGATGGAGGATCTGTGTAAAACGTTAACGTTTGAGTGTTAAACATTTGATAAATGTTTTCTCAAAATTAGCTGTAATCGGACAGCAAATATTAGTTATTTAATTAGCTGAATCGGAGAAAAAAGAATGATGGAGGATCTGTGTAAAACGTTAACGTTTGAGTGTTAAACATTTGATAAATGTTTTCTCAAAAGCTATTGTAAATACTAGGAAAAATTATAGTATGATCCATGTAGTTTGTGAAATACAACTAGTCTGTTCCTGTCTTTTAGGAAATATACTAATTTGTCCTTATATTTTGCTTCTATTAGATTATAAGGTCATTTGTCCAATTTTTGTATCTTTCTCGTTAAGTATCTTATGAAATGACGAAAATACCCCTTTATTTTTAAAAACACAGAGATAGACTTATTGTATTTTTCAAACTATTAGGGATTGCATTGTAATTTTTCTTGTATAATATTTTAGTATCCCTCTTTTGACATTTGTGTTTTCTTATTGACTTAACTGAAAAGATGCAAAAATCGAACATAATGACCTAATAGTGCAACGGAAGCAAAATAGAAGAATAAATTAAAATATTTTAAAAAATACAGGGACGAACTAGTTATATTTTGCAAATTTAGAGATCGTACTGTAATTTTTCCTAAATACTATGCGTACAACTAATAGAGATAAAATTTTAATTTGGTCAAAGCTGCTTGGGCTTTATTCAGAAATTAGATAAATATAAATTGTTGGTGGAGTTCATTTTATATATGCCTATCATGGGAGTGCTACATGTACTCACTAAGTAGTGAATGTGGATGTCAATGTCTCACGTATATAGGATTAATAGCTCAATAATCAAAGAGTTGTGTTAGAAAATACAACTAAATTAAATAAATATTATTTCCAATGAATAATAGAGTATTAATTTATAATTAATTATAAAAAGTATAAGGGCTTTAATCACATTGATTATTTATAAAAAATTTAGAAATTAAACTCATCCATTTCTTTTTTTTTTTTTTTTTTTTTTTTTTTAAAATACCAAACTAAATAAATACCAATATTTATTTTCCATACTGCAATAATTAGCAGTTATTTAATTTATAATTAATTTATAAAAAGTATAAGGGCATTTAATCACGATTGGTATATTATATAAAAAATTTTTAGACAAACATTTTTAAAACTCATCCATTCTTCTTTTTTTTTTTTTTTGTTTTTCTTTTTTGTCCAAACATCTATCCATAAAAAACTAAAGAATCAATATAGTATCACTATATAAAAAGCAAAGCTACTTTATTTTTTCCTTAGGAGAAAGTTCGAACATGCAATGGCATATTCTCTAATTAGGCTTCTCTAACTTGGCATGAGAGTTTAAGATTTGACTTATTTATGTATACTATTAATGTATATTATTTAACATGTATTAATGTATCGACACTTTGGTTTTGAATATTAAGTTGATATATTTGAATTAGATATATTATGTTTGGTTACTGTTTTGATCTTGAGTTATTTAATGTGTTAGTAAAACCACAACAGCAAACAAATATATATACAGTTGGTTTGGATTTATTTCTCGAATTACCGTGTTTATTTCGGAATATATAGCTTTTAGTCTACTTAATAAGTATTGAATGAGCTAAGTAAACTTAATATATTAAATTACAGACTTTTTAAAAATGATAAATCAATTTAATAACATAAATACTATTCAATATAATGTACTCTAAATGTTTTTAAAAAATGATAAAATTTAATAACAATAAATTATTCAATTAATGTATTAATGTATTGTTTTGTAACAAATGTTTACTCTCAAATTTGTGAAGTAACAAACATTTCCTGTAACAACCGTTAATGTATTTTTAACTTTTCCTATCTAAAGGTTTCCATTTATTTATTTTTCTTAAATGGTGTAGTAATGCACCTTTTTTTTTAATTTTAAATTATTTAGCCTCAAAAAACACTTTAGCTTTTTTAGAAATACTATATATAGATTGTATCACTATATTCTTCTGTATTCTTGGCAAATGTGTATTTGTCCCTGCTTTTAAATATATTATTTTTTTCTTTTTTAAAATTCAGAATTTTCGACATTTCAACTATTTCCACTAACAGAGTTACTAGTTCTTACTCAAAAAAAATTTTTTTTTTCTCCTTTTTTAAAGATTATTTAATATGTTTTTGTTAGAATGCCCGTAAACTATTAAATATATATAAATATGTTTTTGTATAAGCAATGCCCAGCTCAATATCTAAACAAAAATAAAATTATTACAATACTTAATATCAATAAAATAAAATAATAAAATATAATAGTAATATATAATAAAATACACCTCCTCAAGAACAATCTAAACAATATATATATAAACTAGGCAAAATTTATTCTTGGTAATATGCCATGTAAGAGATTCATAAATATCAATGAGATACGATGTATGACTATCATTGTTAATCGTATCTTTAATATTTTATTATGAACAAGAACTAAATAATAATTTATGACTTTGAAATAATAAAACCACACCAATAAAAATCAAAGAAAAACCAAAACAATAATCAGTTAGAAAACATCTCACAAACTTAATAGTATTAAAATAAACAAAATTATATAACTTTTAATTGAATATAAATAAATAACAAATTATTTAATTTATAACTTGATTTCATGATTATGGACAGTTATTATTTTATATCTTAAAAATAAAGATAATTTGTATTAAAAACTAAAGTATACTTAAAATACTCCAAATTAATATTAATCATCATAGTATTATAAATAATAGATAAGTTTGAAGAATTATATAAACATCATACTAATTATTATTAAAAATAAATTATATCATTATAATTCAACTGAAGTTAATTAAATATAAACCAGTTAATTATTCTTTTTACATTTAATTTTTAAACTAATCAATCTAAATGACCATTATACCAAACTTTTCCATTTGCTATTTCTATAATTATATCATACTAAATCCATTCAATATTTTAATCAATATTCCTAATAGCAACATGATCTTATTCTACTAATTCATTTTACATATAAATAATTAACATAATCACAATATACTTATAAACGTATTCTTACTACTGATATCTATCCCTATAATCAATTTTTAATTTAGCATAATCAAAAAATATTTTCATTCAAAAAATCCAAACCAAAATATATATATATAACCATATATATAAACGTACTATTCTACACATTTCTACTATTATTACTTATAACCGTATAGCATATCACAGAAACCCGTACGTATAGCTAAGTATTAAATGATATAAATTCTTGTCACATCATAGTAATAAATTAACATATAAACTCATGCCACCTTTTTTTTGTAAGATATATTCTCAATTTTACTTTATTTTAACCGTGCTATCACGGTATATAGCTAGTTTTGTATATTTCTTGTAATTTCATAGTTATTTTAACTATGCCCTTTTTGTAGATTATAAACTTGATGATGAAATAGTTTGTGTAAACTAATAATAATAACCTATGTTGCACAGAAATGGAAACTAAGAAACATAGAGGAACCACGTTTAAAATACAATGTTACACAAGAAAACAGTATTTTATACGAGGAAATGGACAGGCCATAACATCTATAGCTAGAAGTTTCCATGCATCATAGGTAACACCGAAATGAGCTGGGCCTAATTCGGTGCAGGGTGGGCTTATGTCCAAAAAACAAACCTTAGACATGACTTTTGGCCTTACCCGCAAGTTGATCACAAAAACATTATCATTAACATTTTCTGATCAATAACCTTCAACCAAAACCAAGAACACAGGAAAAACAGAAAAGGTTTGAGAGAATAAAATTCTTGAGACATTATATCCTAGTGCTGATCACAAGTAAAAACCTTCTGTTTTTTCATTTTTCAGTTTGTTTTTGAAATCTCAACAAATATGTTTCTTATGTAGAAGCTTGGATCTCATCAGAATTCACTGCAGTTCCATTTGGGGTATCCTCTGCATGCAACTGAGCAGAAACCTCATCTATTGCAGAATTCAACTGTGCAATCTTCTCGGCCAGTACTTTGCGAGTCTTCTGTTGTCATAATATCATAACCGAATAAGTTTTCAAATGCAAACTGTGCTTTGAACCATGAAGGCAAGATGACATGTTTTCTTTTGGTTTGTTTTTTAAAAGGTGTAACTAATCAAAGACCAAAAACTAGGAAGTCTGCGGCTAAACACCTTGTCTATTGATATGAAAATGGAGGGCCACAATCCATGTCCCCATGCATTCACTAGAAGTGATGTATGCCTGAGCATACTCATTTTTTAAATCATCTTATTCCAACCTCAGTCACTCTTATAACTCCCCGTTATAAACCTAAACTCTATTTCAATAAACTTAGCCTTCTTGCATGCAATGATTAATGATAATGAACATGGTTTATATGTATGATAAATCGTGAAACAAGTTCTGACCTCCAATGCCTTTTCCTCGTCATATATGAACTTCGGCAGTTTCCTCATCAAACCTTTTCTGTCAGTTCCAGCTAGTGCCTTGCTGATCTGCATATATGCGTATCAATCAGATGATTCAGACTCAATTTTAATGCATGTGGCAACCTCTTGCACAGACCAAAACAGATCCATGAAAAATTACTGATGCATGGTAAATTGATTTTAGTTAACTGGATAGCGAAATACTTTCACTTTCATTAAGCATAAACCTGAATAAAAACTTTTATCATAGTGGCTAAAAGATCAGATGTTGTACACACAACACAGACTGAGAATGTCTTCAAAATTTTATAATAAAATTCTACGTTCATCTATTCTTCTAAAGTTATTATATATACTAAAGGTATTGTAAATAAAAAAGCAATTGAATTTTCAATTTTTGAATTTATTCCAAACATGACAATTTTTTTTATTTATACACTTGCACGAGGTATGCAAGCCTGTGTTCATTTTAATGATCCACAAACTTGACTAATCCTTGATCCCCTTGAAGGCAAAGATGCTGGCCCTAGGAAATTTGCATTGCGGAGGATCAAATCCATGGCTTAAGTTATGATAATCAACTCCGTAAGTGCTCTTTGCTACTGAGTTATCCCCAATCGGGTTAAACATGAGAAATTTATTTACAAGTGAATTCTATTTAAAATTTATTTAAAATAAATTCCACATTTTGGGTTTAAATACATCGAACAGAACGGAAGTTTTGTTACTCTCTTTATATTTAAAGAAAAAGAAAAAAGAAACAAAAAAAAAAAAAAACCCAATGGTCAATCTTATATGCATGAGCAAGAATAGGGAAAATCAAAAGAAAAGTGGTGGGGAAATGCATACTACAATAATTTTGGAAGAGCCAAATGTGTCTGAATTATTTCATTTTTGCATATGTAGAAATATAATCAAACTCAGCTAAGTCGTCAATTTGCTACTCGTGAGGTTTCATCCCCCAATCCAGGCGTTAACACACATAGAGAAATACTCTAATTTAATACAAAGTGAATCATACTTTTAAAAATTATAATATATAATAATAAAATAAAATTCCACATTTGAGTTCATAAAATACAAATCCCGCAACGAAGCAAAGCTCTCTTGATAAATCTCTTTATATTTAAAAGAAAAGCACCCAAAAAAAGAAACAAAAAAAAAAAAAAAAAAAAACCTCAACCAATTGAAGTACAATACTTATATAGACTGGCAGCAAAGAATAGGGCGAAAATCAAAGAAAAGTCAGGTGAGCGGAAAATGACATAACCTAACATAATTTTGGAAGAAGCCAAATGTGTCTGAATACTTATATCCTTTTTGCTATATGTAGGAAACCAATAAACCACAGCCATCGGGTAGCCATTCAAACAGAACACAATCAACATACAAGTTTGACTCCCTCATTACCCAAACTCCCAACGAGTCGAGTTCATCTATCAAACAAATAAAAATTCCTATTGAGCGTTCCTAGTTGAGGAACAAGATAAATAAACCAACATAAAACATAATCAAAACCTACCTAACAATATATAAAATATATATGCTAACACAATACCAATTAATGTCAAATCTATAACATCGACCAATATTGATAATAAAGAAAAAAAAACAAAAAAATTAATTAATAATAATAATGGTCCATTTGGCATTCAAACTAAATTGCAATCCATTACTCCCACTTTGCTTTCTCTATCTTATTCAATGGTACCCTTATTCCAATTTGCTTCTTTTTCACTTGCCAAACGAAACCAAAATTCCCATTCCGTGAAATAAATCGTTGTGATGAAAGCTCCAATGTTGTTCGTTTTCTATTCCTTTTACCTAATAATATTTTTTATAATAAACAAATTAAATATATTTAGACAATTTTTATGAATTCCCCTTGCTATATTTATGTAGAAACGACGGCAAAATTCAAAAACGACAACTCAAAAAACAATACTAGAATACAAAATATCATAACACACAAAGATCAAGCCTTTCACTCCTAAACTCAACCCCAAAGTTTCGCTGGTTCGGTAAACAGTTTTATAAATACGATTTTTAGTCTTTGCTCGGTAATATAAACGTTATTTTTTACTAATTGCTAGGTAACAAACGTTTTAAACTAAATTTTGGAAGTTAAAATAAAAAAAGTTAACCTCATGTAACGTTTAACCTTTTAACGGTTTTTATGAAAAAGCTATTTTTAACAACAACAAATAGGCGTAAGAAGTGACACAAGCCTAAACAACATAATCCTTCATACAGAGCAAGCGACTTTAAATTAGTGAAAAAACTCAAGTCGAATTGAAGATAGAAGCATTCGAATCTCTACATGCTACATAAAACTCCCCCTTCACAAATTCTGGAGAAAAACACCACCAAGTGATATCTGGTTGAACAACAATTTTACTTATCTCTTTAGTTATCACTACATTCTGAGACAAGATAGTTGTTACCAAACAAAATACTTCCATATCACAATTATTAATGTAGGCTTTCACGGAAATCAATAATCATATTTCTTTTTCACCATATGTTATACCTTATCATCGAATACACATGACCCAAATAATTTATATCACTATCAACTCTCAAAACTTTGATTTTTTTATTAAAGACATTAGGTAAATTAACCATTAATGAAGCGCTAACCCAAACATATAGAATGACGATATTTTACTCACAAAAAATCTACTACTAATATCAACTGTACTTAGATAAATTAATGAGCTTCTTTTTAACAAAGAGAACCACGCTGAACTTGTTCAAAAATATAAATTAAGTACTAAAAATAATTTCGTAGACCCGCAATAACCAACCCATCCAACTCATTAATTAGTTATGTGAACCTTTTTGCGAAAAAAAAAAAAAAAGCAATAACATGAAACAAATAAAAAGCTCAATATAACATGAGAGAAGACAACCGTTGATTCCCAAAACTTCAACAATCAAAAAAGCTTAATCTGCTCAACCCAAAATTAACCCTAGCGTTATAAATCCCCTCAATAGAGCCGCTCTACTCAGTGGTCAAGTCTTCCAAACTAAATAGGGCCGCGAAGAAAAAATAGAAACCACTGTGACTTGTATAAACACTAAACTCAATATATTTTTGCTAAAAAAAAATAACCATTCTTAAGCATGGGACAAGCACTCAGCACCTTCCTAAGCACTATAAAATGTCGATTATATAATAAACATTAATACGCATTTTTACCTTGGGAAATTCTCAATATCGCCATTCAAAATTCATAATTCAATGGATAGTGGATATAAAAGCTTGTCTCCAGAGCTACTATAGATGATAATAAGAATAATATAGCGAAATTTACAAATTAAAAAATGACCCTAAAAAATTTCCGAAATTATTCAGTTATTTAATTTAGACTGAATCGGAAAATAAGCCACATTGATAGGAGACTTTAAAACGTTACATTGAGGCGATTAAACATTTGATAAATGTTTTTCTCAAAAAAGATCTACTTGTAAAATAATACCTAACGGACAAAAATATAACCAGTAAATGATCTATGGGTAGTTTTGCGAAATACAACCCAAAGAGGCACCATTGAGAAAATAGTGAACTCAGAAAGGTCTTTTTTAGCGACACCATAATTTATCAATTCCTTTTCTCCACATTCTTAAGCTCACGTTCATAGAAAATAGAATCTACTATTGGTTTTGTGTGATCTAAAGTACCTGTAAATCTCCATATTATTATTAAAATTTGAAAAAAATTCTTTTGTTGATCAAATCGATTGAAATTAAAAACACCACCTCGCATGCAACTGGAAAATCGCCCTATAGATCTTTTCTAGTGACTTTATATATCCCAAAAATCATACCTACCCATTATGTCCTTATAGTTTGGGACTCCCTCTATCTCGGATAAAATCATAAAAAGGTCATTATACGTAACCAATTTTTAATGAATGTCTTCTCAGAGTCATAAAGTATCTTATTGAATGACGCAAAATTACACATTTCACCTATTTTTAAAAATAAACACAGAGACATCTAGCAACTTATTGTAAATTATTTCAAAAAACTTATTAGGGATTGCATTGTAAACATTCCTCTCTCTTCTCCTCTCTGTTAACTGCTCGTCCTTTCTAAACACTTTGTTTTCTTATTTGAACATATTAAGCCTTGAAAGATGCAGAAAAGTACCAACCATTAATTGGAAAGCGATTTTATCGAAAGGCGAGAGGACAAATTGCCACAATTCAATATTCCACAAGGAACATATCGAGACAACTAGAAAAGCGAACCAGTTTACTGACAGCTAGGCACAGATGAGAAAGAACCGACCAGGTGGGAAATGGTTTTGTTGAGTCATCTGAGACAAAACAGCAACAGAAAATCAAGAAACGATGGACCAACACTGGTAGTGATGTTCTTACAAGTACTTATATCGCAAAAACCCCCACCTAAACCAAACACACCACCAAAAGTCAGATATCAAAACTTCCACCTTTGCAAGCTTGTGGAGCCTCAGCCAAACACGAACCAGACCACACAAAACTCGAACTCTACACATTAACTAAAAAAAAACCCATGTCCATCGCATTAGATAACTCTAATAGGGTACATATAGAGTTACGTTCCGAACTCGAATTTTTGAAAAAAACAAGTAGCGATTTAAATTAAAAATGATAAAAAATGATATTAGTTATTTAATTAGCTGAATCGGAGAAAAAAGAATGATGGAGGATCTGTGTAAAACGTTAACATTTGAGGGTTAAACATTTGATAAATGTTTTCTCAAAAGCTATTGTAAATACTAAGAAAAATTACAGTATGATCTATGTAGTTTGCGAAATACAACCGGCACATTGGAATAGTGATCAAGGTCTTTTTTTCGCACTAATTATGATTCCTTTTCTCCAATCTTGCTAGTCATAGAAATAGAAGTCTTTGGTTTTGGTTGATCTAAGTTCCTGTAATTTATTATTTATTAAAATTTGAAAAAATTTTTTTGATCAATCGTTGAATTAAATAAAATGACTGAAATGGAAATCGCCCTTAGTCTATTTCTGTCTTTTAAAAAATATACTAATTTGTCCTTATATTTTGCTTCTATTGGATTATAAGGTCATTTCGTCCAATTTTTGTGTCTTTCTCGTTAAGTATCTTATGAAATGACGAAAATACCCATTTTATTTTTAAATACACAGAGATAGACTTATTGTATTTTTCAAACTATTAGGGATTGCATTGTAATTTTTCTTGTATAATATTTTAGTATCTCTCCTTTAACCTTTGTGTTTTCTTATTGACTTAACTGAAAAGATGCAAAAATCCAACATAATGACACGTTATGAAGCGGGGATTGACAATCACTTTCCACAGGTATGGCATAGAAGGACCAGTCTACTTGACAGCTAGGAGTGAGAAAGGAGGTGGGGAATGGTTTGTGGATGAGCAGCAACAGAAAATCAAGAAGATGGATGGTAGTGTGTCTTATGGTATTTTGCAGTCAGTCAAAATTCACTTGAAGGTTGTGGAGCCTCAGCCCAACCGCCCAAAACTCGAACTTACACTTACCTAAAATGTCCATGGCATTGTCTCTTAGGTCTAGAGTTGTTCCCTGATTTTGAAACAGTGAAGCTATTACCCTGCCATGCCATTTAGTTTGAACAGTGGGTCTCTGCTTTACTGTTTGAAGTCCAAAATATTAAATAATAAAAACAGAGTTGGAAGCTGTGCCTTTTTACTTTCGCCCATCAGCATCAAAACATGTCCATCCTCATTTTCACTTGAACAATGCTCAATATGTGAAAAGTCAAAGGGAATTTAAGGTTTTAGAATTGTGTGTTTAAAGAATTGTTTTGTTGTTCTGTCTCCAAACAAACATTTTAAGCTAAGCAAATATTTGAATGTAGCTCAGATGACAATTCTCTAGACTTCATTTATAAGCCATGCACAAAATATAATGTTCAATCCAAAAATTTCTAAAAAGTTTAAAACAATAAAGAAAATAATGAAAATGAGTAAGTTCATGTTTTCTTCCCTTTCTTGGTTCTTTTGGGATTTACTTGCTTCCTTTTCAAACAAAATTGTAAATATATCTCAAAATCTATCTCAAATAACAATTTTGTGATCTTTTGTGTATGGCTTAATTTAGAAGCCATGCATAAAAAATTCAATTTAAAAACTCCAATAAAAAAATGATAATGACTAGAAAATCATAATCATCACATCCAAATCTGATTTTTTCTTTTAAAAAAAAAATTTTTGTGAAGCTATATGTAAGCATTTTACAAACAATCACTACAAATCAAGCAATGCATAAAAACTAGGAAAAATAAGAAATGAAACAAATCCCAATTAATGGAATTCTTTTAGGCTTTTTCTCCTATACTGATATAATAGTGGTTTTCATTTTCTATGAAAAAATAGCTTTCCTCAGGACAATATCCACATGAAGACTGTTGACCAGACAGCAAGTGCTAGTGCTGCACCTAAGTATGTCCATAGGAAGAGAACTGAACATTCTTCTTGACCCACATTAAACAGCTGGGTCATAGTACCTGCATTTCATTTTCAAAAATAACCTTAACATTTCAAAAAATTTATTTATATAATAACATGTAGCTATGGTTGATATTTTATAATTCCTTACCAATATTCATAGCAGGTGGCAATGTATATTGAATCATCAGAACATACTGATATAATGGTTCTGATGGAAGGAATCCAAATTTAGCTGCTCCTTTAACAAGCCATAGACCAATTGCAGGAAGCATCACATATCGAACAAATAGAACAGAAACTATGATCCATGGCTTCAGTCTTGATGAGCGTAATCCTTTTCGATTTATAAAAGCATAGTTAGATTTGGTTTTCTTGCTATGATTTTTTGAAAATAAGTTCTTATCTTGTTACCTTGAATAAGGTTGCCTCCAAGAATAAGTGTTATACAAGGTATTGTTCCTTCTCTACAATAAAGGTTGTTTCTCATTTTTTCAGATTACTTAAAACAAAATGATCGGATCGAATCAAATCGAGGAATTATATTAAAGATGATAATGCATACCCAAGTAATGTGATGTAGTATTGAATTACACGAAGAGGAGCATTATCACCTTGAATTACACGAGAGGAGCATATCACCAACTATATACGATTTTTTCTTGGAGGAAATGTAATTGCTCAAAGATTGAACCCAAAATCTGGTTAAAAAAAATAGTTAAAAAGCTATAGCATACACTCTATATTACTTGGAATAACATCAAACAAAACCTCATATGTGAAGCTCGTGAGATACATATATATAATTGGAAATCAATAAATATATGTGACATGTTGAGGAAACTCACTGCAGCGAGCGTGGGCGGCGCCAAGAGCTCCTCCAAAATCTTGAGAAGAGATCCTAGCAATTTATTCAAGAATGCTACTCCTTTTCCATGTTCTTGGGAAACAACCTAAAAGGTTCAACATATACAATTTTTTTCACTATGTCTTTGCATATCATAGGTTATGACATTCTGAATCACAGCCATTACGCGGTCATGATAGTGATTTAGGACACACAGTAAGTATGCAAAATCCAGAGGATACTTACAGCTTCTGTTTCTGTATCATCCACAGATTTTGCAGCATGTTCTTTGTCTTCTTGCTTGAGAAGGTGAGTTTCTTGACTAGCTTCTAAATCGTTGTTAGGTGCTTTTGTAATCTCCTCAGCTGCTTCAATTACTTTCAATTTCGCAGCAGAAGATCGTATCAGACTGTAAGTATAAGTCCAGATGAAGAAATCACCAAGCTGCACATAGCACGAGTCAAAACTAAAAATAGAAATCATGATGACATTTTCACATTTCAGAAATATAATTTACACTTCCTATGCATTACCGCCATATAGAAAGATGCGTATGAGAGTCCAACAGATCTGCAGGTGTCACGATCAAATGGACTTCCATCCTCATTACAGATTGCAGGAATAACTATCAGAAGTAGATTTCCCAAATTTCCTGATTTAAAGAACATTTATAAATTTACAAGCATTTATGCAAGAAAAATCCTGGAATCAAATTAATTGTACTAAAAATTTACCTGATGAACATGTAGCAATAACAAGTCCTTCAAGATGAGGTTGTGGTTTCAGTAATTTAAGAAAGATGCGTATGAGAGTCCAACAGATCTGCAGGTGTCACGATCAAATGGACTTCCATCCTCATTACAGATTGCAGGAATAACTATCAGAAGTAGATTTCCCAAATTTCCTGATTTAAAGAACATTTATAAATTTACAAGCATTTATGCAAGAAAAATCCTGGAATCAAATTAATTGTACTAAAAATTTACCTGATGAACATGTAGCAATAACAAGTCCTTCAAGATGAGGTTGTGGTTTCAGTAATTTAACAACAATCCATCCAAGAATCCCTCCAATCAATAAGGTGAGTCCAATGTTAACAGGCATAAACCACCTAATGAACAAATCAAGATTAACTCTTTATATCAAAATTCTGATCTTAATGGAGGGCTAGAACTAATTTTTTATATATATTACCATGGTTAACTTTCCACATTGCAGATATCAGAAATTTAAAAGAAAAATACTGAAGATTCAATTGGATATAGCCTACCATGAAATGACGTCTTGGAAAGTCACAGTTTTAGCCAGACTAGCAAACATGAGAGAGGGTGTAAAGACTATGAAAACAATCTGCGTTGCCAAAAGGAATTCTCATATTGGAAGAGGAAAAATAAAAAAAGAAAAAGAAGATTCACATAAGACTTAATATGGTACCTTGTTCAATGATTTTCGAGCATCAGTAGTAAGAATATTGCAGTAACTAGTAGCCATAAAAGCTCCCAATATACCAGTAAGTAATACTTGTAGAATTGGCATGGAAGCCACTTCAAAGAGTGTCCAGAAACCCATATTATCTTTTTACTTTTTCTTTTAAACTCTGTTTCAGAAATTGATATTGTTTTCCTGCTCTGTTTTTCTTTGTTTGTAGCTAAACTCTTCAAATTTTCTCACTTGAACTCTTACAATGTGTACTTGTAATGTCTTCAACAAAGCAGCAACTGGGAAAGAGCATTAGAGAGAAAGAGACAGGACAAAAGAGAAGCACAGTTAGGACAATAAAATTAGAAAAATGAAAATTTTATTTCCATTATGGACATTTCATTATCATAAAAGAAGGAAGTGTTCAATGCTATATATAGAGAGAGAACGAAGATATATATATATATATATATGTTGAATGCTATATAAATATACGCAAATATGCGTAGGAGGATTAAGATTATATACCAACTCGAACTTGCTTGGATGGAGATCTAAAATTTATCTCAAAACTTTCCAAATTATAAAAAAAAAAAAAAAAACTATTAGGGATTGCATTGTAATTTTTCTTATATAATATTTTAGGGATTTATTTTTGAATTACTGTTTTTGGTTTGATTTGAATTTATTTTGAATTACTGTTTTTTGGTTTGATTTTGATTTGATTATTCAATGTATTGGTTTAGTTTTGGGATTTATTTTGAAATTACTGTTTTTGGTTTGGTTTTGGTTATTTAATGTAATTAATAACTTTTAAGTAAATTAGTTAGTTTTTTTAAAAAAATGATAGAAGTTTAATAACAATGAATTATTCAATTAATATATTAATGTAATTGTTTTCTGTACCAAAATGTTTTTATTTTTAAATTGTGTAAAGGTAACAAAACATTTTCTCTAAGGACCGTAGAATGGTTTTGGTTATTTTTTAAGGTTTCTATTTAAAAGGATTCTCGTGTATGAGGCAATAAAGCGTACTAAATTGAGCCTGTAATTTATGGAAATATATATATAGTATATATATTATTATAATATATAATATATATTATATATATATAATATATATATCCAATATTCCAAATCTTACATGAACAATATTGAATAATTAGAATAAAACAAAATCCAAATAAACTAAATTAAAGGTAACGAATGTTGTTTGAAGAATGAAGCAGATATTTTTATTTGACGAAATTACGCTTCTTACAAGCTTCTTATCAAGCAAGAATACACTGAATACATGACAAAATAATAATATCCATATTCCCCACTTTGAATATTTCTTTTCAATGGTATATTCCAATTGCTTCTTTTTAACTTTGCCCAAGACCCAATTCCCATGTGAATAAATGGCGATGAGCTCCATGTTTGTTCGTTTCTAATTCCTTTTCTTGATTTTTTTTTTTTAAAAAAATTTTATATTTATCTTTCATATGCATCCCCTACCATTAATTTACTAGAAAATTAATTAAGAGGTCTAATGAGTCAAAAAAATACGATCGAATACATAACCGTATAACTCTTCCCTTGACTCACTATGTTGTATTCAGTAACAGCTTTTTTTAAGTAGATTTTAGTGTTTTGATCAGTTAAAATACTAAACGCTATTTTTTACAATATTCGGTAACATAACGTTTAAACTAAATTTTAGAGGTTAAATAAAAAGTTAACTCATGTAACGTTTAACTTTTAGCATTTTATGAAAAGCTATTAAAACAGCTAATAGCTAAGCTACTAAAACAGCTAATTTTGCCGAGCAGACTCTAAATTGGTGGAAACTCGTGATTGGGAGAACTCGAATTTAAGGCTCTCACTCCTCACACTTAGGAGAAAACCAACCAGATGATATCTGGTTGACAATTACTACCTCTGTTACATAATACTTGTCACATTTGAGAAAATAGCTTGTTCCAAAATACGTGTCATATTTGTAGTTTCAATGAGTAATAAATATTTTTTGGGAAAATTATTATTTCGTCCCTGAGTTATAATTTCGTCCTGAGGTTTGCCAATAATTATTTAAGTAGTCCTCACATTTTATACATATATTTTATAAGATGTCCTTGAAGTTGCCAACCAATGCAATTAAATTGGTCCTTCCCGAAAAAAAAATAACACTTTTTCCGTTAATTTTGAGAGGAAAAGAACGAAAATGATCCTTTGAAAAAAATATTATTTCGTCTCTGAGTTTGCCCATAAAATTATTAAGTAGTCCCCGATATTTATACAATATTCTAATAACATCCTGAAGGTTTACTTCTATTATATGTAATTGGTCCCCTTCCGTAAAAAAAAATACACTTTTTCCCGTTAATTTTGAAGAGGAAAAGAGACGAAACTTTGAAAAAATAATTATTTCGTCTCTGAGGTTTGCCATAATTATTAAGTAGTCCCCGATATTTATACAAATATTTATAACATCCCTGAGGTTTACTTCCATTATATTAATTGGTCCTTTCATAAAAAAATACATTTTTTCCGTTAATTTTGAGCGGAAAAGACGAAACTATCCTTTAGAAGTTTGAATTGACATTATTGTCAATCCCTTTCCTCTAAAATACTTAAAACTCAAATTTTCACCACCTTCCTCAACCCAACGCGGTCTTCATTGACACCACCGTGTCTCTGTCAAGTATCTCCATAACCAGATCACCAACAAAACTAAAAGGGAAAATAATTATTTCGTCGCTGAAGTTTGTCATAATTATTTAAGTAGTCCCCGCCATTTATACAAATATTTATAACGTCCCTGAGGTTACTTCCGTCATATTACTTAGTCCTTCCGTCCAAAAAATTCCGTCCAAAAAACACACTTTTTGCTGTTAATTTTTAATAGAATTACCAAACTACCCTAAATCCTCTAATCAAGGAGAGAGAGATAAATGGATGAAGGGTGATGATGGCTTGATTGAGTTTGGATGTTCGGTTTTAGTTTTGGTGGTGATCTGGCTATGGAGATGATAGTTTTCATTGACATGGTGGTGGCAATGAAGACCGCATTGGGTTGAGGAAGATGGTAAAAATGTGAGTTTTAGGTATTTTAGAGGAAAGGGATTAATAATAATGTCAATGAAAATTTATAAAGGATAATTTCGTCTAAAAATTTATAAAGGATAATTTCGTCTTTTCTACTCAAAATTAACGAAAAAAAAATTTTTTTTTTTATGGAAGACCAATTAATATGACGAAGTAAACCCAAGGAACCGTTTAATATTGTGTATAAATGTCGGGGACTAATTTTAATAATTAATGGAAACCCTCAGGGACGAAATAATTATTTTTTCAAAGGATAATTATTTGTCTTCTTCTCTTTTCTTCTCAAAATTAACGGAAAAAGTGTATTTTTTTTTACAGAATGACCAATTAATATGACGGTGGCAAACCTTAGGGATGTTATAAATATATGTTAAATGTCGGGGACTACTTAAATAATTATGACAAACATCAGGGACGAAATAATAATTTTCCCATATTTTTTTCCATGTTTACCTTTTGCATATGACCAACAATTATTACTTCAATTTAATTATTTTTTTAGAAAATTAGTATTAAATTAATGATAATATAGTGAATTTATTCAATAATTTATTGTAACTTAAATAAATTTAATGGTTTTCTTAAAGAACGCGAAATTTCAAATGTTACAAGTATTGTGAAACAGAGATAAATATTATAGAACACAGATAGTATAAATTATGATTCGTGGATCCCATCAATTGTTAATTACTTGTGATTTGAAAAAAAAAAAAAAAAAAAAAAAAAAAAAAAAAAAAAAAAAAAAAAAAAAAAAAAAGACAATAAAGCTTTATAACATGGAGAGCAACCGTTTATTCAAATTCAACATCAAAAGCTTATCTTGTCACCAAATTAACTGGTTATAAATCCTCCAATAGGAGGCTATCTAGCTGGTGACCTTTTCCAAACTAAATTGTGGGAGAAGAAGAAAAAATAGAAACGTATATGTAAAACTAAACAATATTTGCAAGAAAAATATAATTCTTAAAATGCAAATGCACTCAGCACTTCCTAAGACCTTAAAAATGTTATTACTAACATTTAGATTTTAACTTGAAAATCTCATATTCAAACTTTTATTGTTAGAAAATGAATAAGAGACTATACCTTCTTGGAGAGAATGTGTTCTAATCTCATATTGCAAAAAAATCATAGTTCATGGGAGTGGATATAAAAGTTGTGCTACTTAGCTGTTATAATATAGCGATTTAAATTAAAAATAATAAAAAATGACATTAGTTATTTAATTAGCTGAATTCGAAGAAAAAAGAATTGATGGAAGATCTGTGCAAAACGTTAACGTTTGAGTGTTAAACAATTGATAAATGTTTTCTCAAAAGCTATTGTAAATATTAGGAAAAATTACAGTATGATTCATATAGTTTGTGAAATTCAACTAGTAAGTTCCTATCTTTTAGGAAATATATTAATTTGTCCTTATATTTTGCTTCTATCATATTATAAAATCCTTTCGTCCAATTTTGTACCTTTCTCATTAAGTTCCTTATAAAATGACGAAAATACCCCTTTTATTTTTAAAAACACAGAGATAGACTTATTGTATTTTTCAAACTATTAGGGATTGCATTGTAATTTTTCATTAGGGAATTGCATTGTAATTTTTTTTCACTATTAGGGATTGCATTGTAATTTTTCTTGTATAATATTTTAGTATCTCTCCTTTGACATTTGTGTTTTCTTATTGATTTAACTGAAAAGATGCAAAAATCGAACATAATGACTTAATAGTGCAACAGAAGCAAAATATAAGAATAAATTAATATATTTTAAAAAACACAGGGACGAACTAGTTATATTTTGAAAATTTAGAGATCGTACTGTAATTTTAGTCAGAAATTAGATAAATATAAATTGTTGGTGGAGTTCATTTTATATATGCCTATCATGGGGAGTGCTACATGTTCTCACTAAGTAGTGAATGTGGATGTCAATGTCACACATTTATAGGATTAATAGCGCAATAATCAAAGTGTTGTGTTACAAAATACAACTAAATTAAATAAATATTATTTCCAATGAATAATAGAGGTAAGTATAAGGGTCTTAATCACATTGATTATTTATAATTAATTATAAAAAATTTAGAAATTAAACTCATCCATTTCCTTTTTTTTTTTTTTTCATAAAAAAAGATCTTCCCAATAAAAACAAAGAATATATAATATTTATAATAATATAATATATATATAGTATATAAAGCAAGTATAGCAAGTATTTTTTTTTTTCTCTAGAAAGTTGGCATGTGGCATATTCCTCCAATTAAGCTTCCACTTGACATGGTTTAATTTGATTATTTAATGTATTAATGTATCGGCTCGATTTCATTTGGTTTGAATTTGTTTGAATTTATTTTGAATTAGTGTTTTGGTTTGGTTTGATTTGATTATTCAATGTATTGATGTATTGGTTTAGTTTGGATTTATTTTGAATTACTGTTTTTAGTTTGGTTTGGTTATTTAATATATTAATGGCTTTAAGTAATTATTAGTTTTTAAAAAATGATAAAATTTAATAACAATGAATTATTCAATTAATGTATTAATATATTACTTTATACCAAATGTTTATTTTCAAATTTATAAAGTAATAAATATTTTCTCTAACAACCGTCAATGTTCCTATTTAAACGTTTCTCTATAAACCATAAACTACTAATTGAGCTGTGTTAGGATATATGAATATAGTATATAATATATATATAATATATATATATTATATATATATAATATATATGTGTGTGTGCAAATACTTCCAAATCTTACATGACAATATTGATAATTAGAAAAAACACAAAATCCTAATAAACTAAATTAAGTGTAACGATGTTGTTGAGAATGAAGCAGATATTTTTATTTGGACGAAATTACACTTCTTATCAAGCAAGAATACACTGAATACATGACAAAATAATAATATCCATATTCCCCACTTTGAATATTTCTTTTCAATGGTATATTCCAATTGCTTCTTTTTATCTTTGCCCAAGACCCAATTCCCATGTGAATAAATGGCGATGAGCTCCATGTTAATGTATTTTTAACGTTTCCTATTTAAACGTTCCAATTTATTTATTTTTCTTAAATGGTATAGTAATGTACTTTTTTTTTTTTTTTTTCTTTTTTTTTTTTTTTTTTGAATTATTTACCCTCAAAAAATATTTTGGCTTTTTTAGATATATAAGCTGTATCACTATATTCTTCTGTATTCTTGGTAAACGTGCATTGGTCCCTACTTTTAAATATATTATTCGTTTTTTTTAAAAGTTCGGAACTGTCTACATTTCAATTATTTTCACTAATGGAGTCAGTAGTTTTTACTCAAACTTTTTTTGTCTCCTTTTTTAGAGATTATTTAACATGATATTCCTTGGTATTGCCATGTAGGATTTCAAAGTAATGACATGTGTATGACTTAATTGTTTATTTTTATATTTATTTGAAAATTATTTTTATATTTATTTGAAAATAAATTAATTTATGACTGAATTAAACCATCTTAAATGTAATTAATTAATATAACGTTAAAGAATTAATAATGTGTTAAGTAACCGTTTATATAACTTTTAATGATATAAATAAATTGCATAATTTATAAATTTTAATAATATAGGCAGTTATTATTTTATATTTAAAAACTAAAAATTTTGTATTAAACTAAAGTAGGTTAAATATAATTGATTAATTATAGAATTAATAATATGATAAGTTGAAGATTTATACACTCTTAATTATTTAAAATAAATTATTTATTCATAGATTTTAATAAAATAACAAGTTATTTAATAGCATAATAAAAAAAAATTTCATTCAAGGATCTATAAATTATATATATTTTTTCTCAATTTTACTTTATTTTACTTTTTTAAATTATATATATATATTCTTTCAATTTTTTTTAACCATAGCACGGGTATATTTCTAGTTTTGCATATTTCTTGTAATTTCATAGTTATTTAATGCTTCAATATTTAAGAGTTCAGCTCCTGATATTTACTATGCCCTTTTTGTAGATTATAAACTTGATGATGAAATAGTACGTGTAAACTAATAATAATACCCTCTGTTGCACAGAAATGGAAACTAGGAAACATATAGAGTGACGTCTTATAAAATATAATTTTACACAAGAAAACATCTATAGCTAGAAGTTTCCCTGCATCATAGATAATACCGAAATGAGCTGGGCCTAATTCGGTGCAGGGTTGGCTTATGTCCAAAAAACAAACCTTAGACATGACTTTCGGCCTTACCCGCAAGTTGATCACAAAAACAGTAGTGTAATACAACAGTATCATTAACATTTTTCTGATCAATAACCTTCAACCAAAGCCAAGAACACAGGAAAAACAGAACAGGTTTGAGAGAATAAAATTCTTGAGACATTATATTCTAGTGCTGATCACAAGTAAAACCCTTCTTTTTTTTGTCATTTTTCAGTTTGTTTTTGAAATCTCAACAAATATGTTTCTTATGTAGAAGCTTGGATCTCATCAGAATTCACTGCAGTTCCATTTGGGGTATCCTCTGCATGCAACTGAGCAGAAACCTCATCTATTGCAGAATTCAACTGTGCAATCTTCTCGGCCAGTACTTTGCGTGTCTTCTGTTGTCATAATATCATAACCGAATAAGTTTTCAAATGTGAACTGTGCCGTGAACCATAAAGGCAAGATTACATCTTTTTCTTTTGGTTTGTATTTTAAAGGGGGTAACTAATCAAAGAACAAAAACTAGGAAGTCTGCGGCTAAAAACCTTGTCCATTTATATGAAAATGGAGGGCCACAATCCATGTCCCCGTGCATTCACTAGAAGTGATGTATGCCTGAGCATACTTATTTTTTAAATCATCTTATTCCAACCTCAGTCACTCTTATAACTCCCCATTATAAACATAAACTATATTTCAATAAACTTAGCCTTCTTGCATGCAATGATTAATGATAATGAACATGATTTATATGTATGATAAATTGTGAAACAAGTTCTGACCTCCAATGCCTTTTCCTCGTCATATATGAACTTCGGCAGTTTCCTCATCAAACCTTTTCTGTCAGTTCCAGCTAGTGCCTTGCTGATCTGCATATATGCGTATCAATCAGATGATTCAGACTCAATTTTAATGCATGTGGCAACCTCTTGAACGGACCAAAACAGATCCATGAAAAATTACTGATGCATGGTAAACTGATTTTAGTTAACTGGATAGCGAAATACTTTCACTTTCATTAAGCATAAACCTGAATAAAAAATTTTATCATAGCGGCTAAAAGATCAGATGTTGTACACACAACACAGACTGAGAATGTCTTCAAAAGAACAGACATCATTAAGTTTAACGGATAATATAGTGAAACAGAGGCCTTAATGTATAGAAAATTTGCTTAATGCATAATCCACCAACAAAAGATGATGAAGTAGTACCTGTGGAGCATAGACACAGCCTAATGCGCCAACAACTATTCCTCCCAATACAAAACCACCAATGAAGATACCTGCACTATTTGACCCACTCCGATCTCCGCTGCACTTGCATTAGGAAGGAAAAAAGAAAAAAAGGAATGCCGTTGAGATAAAAGACACTGATTTCCAATCAGCATAAGAAGAAAGATATTGATTCAATATAATACTGACGATAGCTGAATAATGAAACCGAAATCAGACTTAATTAAGAATGGAAGGCAAATGGTGGAAAACTGGAAATTGGAAAAAAAAAAAAAAAGTACAATGAGAAAGAATGCAAACCATTGCTTCCTTTAACCATTTTAAAAGGAACAAAGTCATGCCAAACAAAAAAGCTCTAATTGGGGAAATAAAAAAGAAAAGAATTATATAAAAATGTGATTTTCATCAATGCTATGGCTTTCATGCTTTATATCCACATTGATGGTGCCAACAAATAAAGTATCTGAATCCCTGAAAGTGAACAACTAGTATGCAGGTACTGCTACTACTTTTTCGCAGCTATATGATGGTGGGACAACTTATATGTCACCCAAGACAATGAAATTTTACCTTGCTTGAAGAGTAAATGGCCTTCTATATGCAACAAGTCTTCCTTTTTTAGAGGGATTACAATGGCCAACGGGTAAAAGACTCTGGTTACTTGAATTCAAGGAACCTGGCAATCATCAAACACAATAATCAAATTACAAATTGAAAACACTAGAAGCAGTCACAAGCAGACTGCAAAACATAATTGGCTGTGTTATTTTGGCATTGCAGTTGAAACTAATTTTTTAGAAAAACTGCTGATTTGAAGTTTTTTACAACAAACATGCGCAATCCAACTTCAAACCGTGTTTTAGTTATCTTTTTCAACATATTCAAAGTTTGTTCTTCTCAACAACAAATTAAACAGAAATGCGAAACAGAACTCTAACAGTATGAAATTTTAAGTATAAGACTGAAAATATAACTACAAAAATGCAAATGCAAAATCGATTGTCATTGGCACATAACAAATAATTAGTAGAAAGCCAGCAGGCAAAAGGCATAATAAATAACAGTAAATTTCAAATAAGAGCATAAAAACACATTATGACAAATCTCTAACTATTAAGTATCTCTTTGACAACTTAAACTATTTCCAAGATTTCAGTCTACCATTGGCCGCCAGCATAATTGAAGATTCTTGGGGTTCCACTCTCTGGTTTAGAAATCAGAAGTGAGTTCCCAAGAACAATAACTGGACGCCAATTACACAAATTTTAAAAAACCTTACAGAAATCAAGAACTCAAAATGTTAAAGAAATAAGAGAAACTGATTAGGCGATTTGGGTTTTCATTTCTTGCAGTTTTGATGATAATCAAACGAGGTAAGCTTGTATTAACAATGAAACAACAACGAGTGAAGCCGACCCAATACACAAATATATATATATTTATACACATTAGGGAGACTTGAGGCAAACAAGAAATGATCTTTACCTGATGATAAGAAGTGGGTTTGAGGATGAGTGAATGAAACGTAGGACCTTGAAAGAGTAGTCATGGTTGGTTTTCGACTGTTTCTTGATTTTTGTGTGTCTGTGTTAAAGCTTTCTTCTTCGATAATACCAAGAGCTGACTACGGCTAGGCCGTAGGCCCAATTTTCAATTGTATAAAGTCCACTTGAAAGCCCATAAATAATAGCCCTCCATCAAATTGGCCCAAATGTCAACTTCAGCCATACTACTACAGAAAAATTCTTGAATTTTTAATGATGAAGTCAACAAATAACCTCCCAATTCCAAAAATATATTTTTTCTAAGTACGAAACTCAACATCGGGTCCATTTGAAAATGAAATTAGGTAAGAGTGTCGGTGTAAAACTTTGACATGTTGAGAGTTGCATGGGCTTATGTTTGTTGATTCAATTAATTGAATTTTGATAACGTCACGCGCATGCATTAATGTGTTATACTATGTACACGTGCATACAAGATCTTCTCTTCACTCCCAAATTACAATCGGTCCACATCACTTTACCGGATCTTGCACTTTCAATTTTTTTTTTTTGGGAATTATGATATTTGTTTATTGGTCATTAATATGATAATATATATATATAATCGGATCATAAATGCATATTTTTACATATATACGATATATTATTCCAATTATAGAGTATAATTTTATATTTTATTACTCTCGTTATGCTAATTTTGACATTTTTTGAATTTTTATAAGAATTAAAAAATTGATTGAATCGTTTCAATTTTTAGTGTAAAAAATAAGAATAATTAATTAAATTATCCTCTCATTAATTTCTATAATTAAGAGAAAATAAATTCAATAGAGATAATTAAATAAGAATAAAAATTGAAATGATATAATTAATGCTATTTTAATTTTTTGAAAGTTTCATATAAATAAAATAAGAAAAAAAAATCAAAAGTGTCAAAATTAACGAAATCTATACGGTACTCTCTTTTGTCTCAAAATTCTTATCTTTCTTTTTTTTTTTTCATCCGTCCCAAATTGTTGTCATATTTCTTTTTTAAAAAGTCAGTAATACTGAGAATTAGAATTTTACTCTTTATTTAATATAATTTTTTGTTAACAAATATAGTAGTTAAACTACTAAATTATCATTAATTAAAATCTTGCTATAAATAAAATTTAAATATCAATCTTTAATCTTTCTAAAAAAACCTCTATTTAATTAAATATTTGACTATAGTTTGATTAATTTTAATAAGAATTTAATATGGATTATTTAATTTTAATGAGTCATATTAAATAAAAACAAAGCAAAAGTTATAGTTGCATGCATATTAATTGATTAATAAGTTAATTAATTGCTGGAAATTAACAATTAATTAAAAATTTATCATTTATGATGTTCCAATTGCCACCAAACCGTTGACTTCTGTGATTGTTGACCTTTGTTTTGTTGGTGGTGACTGACATAATTAATTATTGTACTATAATTATCCAAATTTCACCAAACTGACCATTAAATAACTTAACTTATAAGCATGGATTTTCTTTTTTTTATGGTTAGGGCAAAACATCACTCCATTGATTGATGGTTCAAAGTACTATTATTTTAACACAAAGATGAGTAATAATTAGAAAAATTGCCAAAATTATGTAGACATGAGATGGCTGTAGTGAGAAGAGAGATTCTATTTTCTATTCCCATTTACAATTTCACATTATGTGTGTATATTTGTTAGAAATTCAGTTCATTCTAATAGGGGTATGCAAAACATTTCAGCGAACCGAACCGATCTATTTCCATTCAGTTCGATCAATCTGTTTAAAGGGGATTCAGTTTGGTCGGGTTAGTTGGTTTGCAATGAAGTTATTAGTGAACGGTGAGAAAATGACGTTAGTTTTTAACTTTATAAACTTTCACAAATTAACTCTCCATGTTTGAAATTTTGAATGTCTCTCATTTTCATAAAGTTACGAGTATTTTCAATTAAATGCGCATAAATATAATAAAAATGTGGAACTAAAATTTTTTATACTCTCACTATCTTCTTAACTTCTACAAGATGTCTTTATATAAATTTGGAATAGATCATAAATATGTAATTGCATTCACAAGCTTTTCAAACAAAGGGCGGTGGCTCTCTAGAAATATACACAGTTGATTATTTTCACTTGAGGAGAATCTAAATAGGACATAACCAATTCATATTAAATGTTGTTGTTTTGTTTCATTTTATACAACTTATTCAGAATATGAGCACGAAATTTTCATCAGCACTCAGTTAAATTATAAAATTACATTAAGTTAGTCGAAGTTAACGAAATTCGTACACATATTTACAAGTGTAATATCAACATAAAATGATCTTTTAAAACTATAGTTCAACCATCCAACTGCGTATCCATATTTTGACTAATTACAATAACTATCACTCAAAGCTTGTGCTCATCTCCATAAAATCGAGCAAACTATTAAAAATATACATTGAAAAATAGTCGGAGAGCAAACTGTTAAATGAATTCCTATTTTTGTCTGTCACTTTCATTTTTTAGAGAGTAATGTTCATGCAGATTACAGAGCTAATATTAGTTCTTTCCAAAATTTCCATTTTTAAAATAAAATTTTCTGTAGTCTGCTCTAATTAAAAAGTTTCACTATATAAAAAGAGTCGAGGGAGTATAATTTTATAATTAATTCAAGGAGTATTGACCTGTTAACTTGAAAAATTTTTGAAAGCCGTTTTTAATTTATGAATATTTAATATGTAATGGTGATCCCTACTAAAAAACCTTAAAAATTCAATGAAAGTCAAATAGTTCCACTTTGACTTTTAAATTTTTTTATTAAGATTCTCATTCATATGTACTTCAAATCATGTTTACAATAGATTTATAATATATTATTCCTTTCTTAAAAAAAAATTATACTCTCTCCGTTTTTTTTATATAAAAATAATTAAATTTTATCAAGATTAAAAAAAAAAATAGTTTAACCAACTTTTTTGTCATTTTTTTCTAATTTACTCTAATATTTCATTTATTCCTCCTTTAATGTCACTGCATTGTTTAAATTATGTTTCAATCTTCAATGAGATTTTAAACGCTTTGTTGAAATGAAAATTTATACTCTAACCTATAGAGAGAAATTAATTTTTTGTCCTTTATTTGGAAAAGTTATGTGGAAAAATGAAAATTTATGTTCATTTAACCTTCCAACTGCCTTTGATTATTGAAAATATATTTTAAATATTGCGCAATTTTTTAAATATTCGACAAAGTCCGTAAGAATTCCTTTCAATATGGTCAACTTGAAAATTTTGTGACTTTTTTTATTCAAACTCCATTTTAATCGATGCTCATATAATTTATACGAATACATTTTTTTCAACAAAAATTGATGTAAAAAAATCCAGTTTCTAAAATTTATTCACATTAAATACTCATCTATACTTTTATCTCCTACTATCTTAAGAATCTTTCATATTAAATGCTTTACAAAGAACTAAAACAAAGATAAGATAGATTTTCATATTGGCATGTTTTCTAAAACTATCAAATTAGGTAAAATTTGTTATATAAAAAGAATATCCAAAATAAAAAATTTTATTAAAAAGAACCCGGGAGTAAAATATTTTTTTTTAAGGAAAAAAATTATAGAATATCATTTTAAATTATTTGGTGTGGTTTTTGTACGTAAAAAAAAAAAAAAAAAAAAAAAAAAAGATCCAATGACTTGATTAGTTTTAGTTATCCATAAATAAATATAATCTAGAGATTAAGAAAATCATACAAAATCATTAATAGGGCTAGTATTTTACTCAAATGCACTTTTTATAAAAAAAATAAATAAATAATCAGTTTTTGACTTCTCTATGATACTGTCAGGGTAATAACGGGTGTGTGTTCTTTGTATCATCACTTATTTTATAAAAACAAAAAAAGAGAAAAAGAAAAATAAATAAACTATTTAATTTTTTAATTATTTTCAAACAATTGTATCATTTTAAAATTTAATTTCACACTATGAATGTTATCTTTAATACACATCAAGATATAGTTTAGTAGTACGCAATGGCAGATCCACTTTATAAAAGGAGGGATGAATTGATTCATTCTAATTTATACGTGTATATTGTAAAATTAATTCACAAAGTTCAATTTATTTATATTTTTACCCACTTTTTTTTTAAATTATATATCAATCCGGGAAAAATATTTTTAGATCCGCCGCTAGCAGTAAGTACATGTAACTTAATTGCGCGAAAATGTTGATATGGTCAATATGATTACATTGGAATAAGAGGTTTATTATAATAGAACTCTTTTGTACTTGTATTTGTTATTTTAATTACCTTTAATTACCTTAATAAGAACTCTATTTGAATTAAACAACTTCACCAAATGTGTGGATATAAATTCAAGACAAAATTGTTCAACATATAAAGTGATTTGAAACCTTGACTTTTTACTTAAATGACAGTGATTCAAATTAAATAAATTCCTAACTACGCTTACCATAAATATATTTTCTCCGTCCCAAAATATAAGTCGTTTTGAGTACTTTAACGAGTAATAAATGATATTCTTCAATGTTATCTGTATTTATATTAAATACAATAACAACATTCTCTTGGTTTTGAGATAAATGATAATTTGGTTAAATTATTCTTGATTTGTTTCAGAATACTTGTCACTATCTCTGTTCCATAATACTTGTCGCATTTGAAAAAAATAGTTTGTTCCAAAATACTTGCTACACTTGTAGTTTCAAGGAATAATAAATATTTTTTTCCATATTTACCTTTTGTATATGACCAATAATTATTACTTCAATTTAGTAGTTTGATTAGAGAATTAGTATTAAATTAAGGATAATATAGTCAGTTTACTCAGCAATTTATTGTAATTTAGACAAATTTAATGGTTTTCTTAAGAGACGTGAAATTTAATGGTTTTCTTAAGAGACGTGAAATTTCAAATGTGACAAGTATATGGAACAGAGGTAGTGTGATTTAGGAAAATTTCTAATCTCCTTGCAAATATATTTTGGGAAAAAAGTATTAAATATGATGCGGTTCATTAATTTAATAATGAATTGAAAAAAAATTTAAAGTGGATATTAAAAACAAAAAATTCATATAGCCGACTTCAATTAGTCTAGGACGAAGGTTTATTTGTTATTATTGTATAGCTACAGATGATTGTGCCGGACACAAATATAATAAATATTATTTTTTAAGATTTAATTTAAGTTTTAATATTTCACTTTTTACTAAAATCATTTTTTAATATATATATTTTCAACATTTTTAATTATGTTCTTAAATGTACATTTGTCTAAATTAGAAGGATTGTCCCAAAATCCAATAATACCTCGAGAAAAAAAAAAAATGTAGCTATTACTGTTAGAGTAATAAAAAGGCAGTGAGAATCGTAGCTTCTAACCCGTTCGTTTCGTTTTAGTTTACGACAAAAGACACTGCTTTTTCTGGTTATGGGATCCACAACCTCCTTTCTTCCTCAATCAATGCCGCCATCAGATGTTACCCTTCGTAGCTGGCCTTCTTGTTCTTACCATTTCGTTTCATCCTTATATAGTAGTATAGTTCTATACACACTGTCCTAAAGGAGACTCTTTTCATTTGACTTCATTTTATCTCTCACCAAATCTGAAACGGCCATAGTTCATATTGAAAGAAATCAAGAATACGCGTGTAACTTGTCTGTGTATAAATAAGGAAAGAGAGATTACCATTTATTAATGCTTCTTTCTAGCTGAAACCGTGTTTTTACTGTTAATTACTTAATTAAGTACTCAAGACTCAAATTTCTTCTTCATTTACCTACGAGCCCCACCACTCTTACTCGTCTTGCTCTGCAGAAACTGTATCTTTTTCTTCTTTTATCTTTATATATGCATAAAGATTCTTTCTGTAACGATAAATAGTTATTACACCCTGTCTCAAACTCTCAATCAGTTTTCTCATCTTTCTTGGCGTTTCTCATCTTTTCTTTTTGTTTTTTGCTCCCTTGTTTAAAATGAAAATGAATTTGCTATTTTCTTTGTATTTCTGGATGGTGGTGGTGTACGGCGGAGGTGTAGTGGTTATGGCTTCTAGTGATAGTAGTTCGACACAGAGGGAGCTTGATCAGACACCCACTTGGGCCGTGGCTGGCGTTTGTGCTGTTATGATCATCATTTCTATTTTATTGGAAAAGGGTCTTCACAAATTTGGAACGGTATGTCTATTTGCCTGTCAATTGATTTCGTGACTTCTTTAAGTATTTTTCACTGTTTTTCAGACATGGGTTTTCGTTTTTGCTTCTTATATCAATAAATTCTTTATGTTTTTTCATTAATTCTTGTTGCTGGGTGGTTTTTAACTTTTATTGCTTTCTGCTCTTCTTTGACTCAGCAGACAAGAATTAAAGACATATTTAATTCAGAAAATGAAAAATGCTTTCTGTTTCTTTCTCTCTGTCTCCTTTAATTTTGGATTTTTCCATTTGCCAATTGAGAGATTGATAATTTTTTTTAATTATTACTTTCTCCCCTGCTTTAGCCATTATAGTGTAGCTCTCAAAGTGAATTTAACATTTGGTGCCAAATTACTTGTAAAGCTTATTCTTTTCCAGTTTTTTTGTTAAATGTAAGTAAAGCCATGTTGCTGATATCTGCTTAATTTTGTTTGAAGAATAGTTAATTGAACCTGTGATCTTGCTATGATGGATTATCCTAATTGTATTTGTTCTAAACTCTTTGAACTTTTTAATTCAGTGGTTGACAGAAAGGCATAAGAGAGCTCTATTCGAAGCCTTGGAGAAGATCAAATCTGGTAAGTACGATAAGAACAATGTTTATGATAATTAGTCAATAGAGCATTAGTTGAATGAAGCAAAGTCAATCTGTTTTAGTGATTATAATTAGCATATGGACCAGCAACATAGAAATAAAGAATTGGCAGAAATTGTCATTTAAATGAAATGTTCTTGATACTCATATTTGTGATTTTTGAAACACTGCTATTTAAAAGGTTGCTAATTTGACTTTGAAATGATGAATGCAGAGCTGATAGTTTTAGGATTCATTTCACTGCTCCTTACTTTTGGGCAGACATACATTACAAAAATATGTATTCCCCAAAAGGTTGCAGACACTATGTTGCCATGTCGGGCGGACGGTGTAAATGATGAAACTGAAGAAGGGCATCGTCGGCGGCTATTGTGGTTTGAACGTAGGAATTTGTCAGGTAGTGAAAGCACTACTATATGCAAAACGGTGAGTGTATATGTTGCCAATTGGTTTTTTTCTTTCCTATTGGTACTTGATAAAGCAATCAAGAATAAAGCAGGTAAGTGAAAACTATTAGTGATAGCTTTCAAGGAATATTTTACTACCAACAATTAAAGAAGCCTTTTCTAAATATTTCTTTTGGTTAGTGGAATGTATGAGTGCGTGCCAGATAAGTGAAAACTAAATTAATATGAATGTTAGATTCCTCAGTATGATTTTTCGTATATGGATGAGCTAATTCAACAAGGCATGCTATAATTGGTAGACCATTGAAGCACACCAAATCCAACGTAATTGTTCTCATTAAACCATGAGGGGTGAACTGGACTAATTATTTTATGGAGAAAATTATATACTTAAATGCAGTGAAGTTCATTTAGGATGCTGAATTAAGATTTCCAGTCAAGAAAAATTCAACCTTTAATAGATATTTCTGTTAATTATGAAATCATTAATTTGTGCTTAAGAGCACCCTGTGTTCAACAATTTCATTTACATCTATCTTGGTTTTGCTTCTAATGTCTTACATTCTGAATTTAAAATTATTACAGTAGCTTTTCTCTTCAATCTGAGTTGGTCTCAAATATAGTTGTATCAGGCATTTCATAAAAGCACAAGTCTTCTTATATGTCAATTGATACTTACTGCCTTAAAAATTGTACATCGCATTTTTGTCAAATGCATTGCATTCGGACCCAGAGAAAGATCGTTCATTTAGTTCTATTTTACAGGGCTATGAACCACTTATATCAGTTGATGGATTGCATCAATTACACATCCTCCTGTTCTTCTTAGCAGTCTTTCATGTGGTATATAGTTTAACAACCATGATGCTTGGAAGACTAAAGGTATGGAGATAATTTTTTTGTTGTACTTTTCTAACAAATCTCATTTATTTAGAAAATGGGCAGCATTAGATATTTTCATTGCTAGAAAGGAAAACCTTCAGAGTAAGGCTTAGTGTAGAGATTTGACTAGACACAGTCATTCATTTGGGTTTATATCAAAATAGGCATGCTTGTTGGTAATTCTATATCCTGCTAAATAATTATAATGAACCAAGTTAATTTTATATCCAAAGGCTCATAATAAAAATGAAGAAAATGACAGTTGATGATATTTAGTTACTTAACAAAGTTACTTTCTGCAGATTCGTGGTTGGAAGGTATGGGAGCAGGAGACTTTATCCCATGATTATGAGTTTTCAAATGGTATGATATTGTCACCCTCTTATGTTGTAGCCTGAAACTTTCAGCCTTTTACACTTAATAAATGGATCTACATTTCATCTTTGATGCCAAATTTTATGAACTTTTATGTGCAGATCCTTCAAGGATCAGACTTACTCATGAGACATCTTTTGTGAGAGCACATACTAGTTTCTGGACTAGAATTCCTTTCTTCTTTTATATTGTAAGATATATTTCACTCAGCAACACTGTTTCATTTTCATTTTCTTTATTCAGAAAATCAGTATAAAATATGTTTATGATGTGGGTTGAATATTGATTGGGATTTTCCAACTCTTATGTCTAAGTATCCATTTGTTTACATAAGATGAGGGTACTTGACAGTTTTTGGAAAAGAAATTGAATGCATGGATAAATATCAAAATAGAAAATATAAATTGTTGATATTATTTCAATCTATGGCATTGCAGGGTTGCTTCTTTCGACAATTTTTTAGGTCTGTTAGCAAGTCTGATTACATGACATTGCGCCATGGATTTATCACAGTGAGTTTTCAAACGCATAATTTACATCTTCCCGTGTTGGACAGGCCACTCTTATTTTGACAGTACTATATTTGTAGGTCCATTTATCTCCTGGAAGTAAATTTAACTTCCAAAAATACATCAAAAGATCATTAGAGGATGATTTCAAAATCGTTGTGGGAGTAAGGTAAGCATTAACTTTTATTCTTCTGAGATATCATCATGTTATGCTCGTATTTGTTGCGGTTTGAACTTACATTAATAAAATTCTCAAATATGTTAGGCAACCTAACTAATTGAATGTTGTTGACAGTCCAATTTTATGGGCATCCTTTGTCATTTTCTTGCTCCTAAATGTTAAAGGTAATGCACTTCTCTCTCTCTCTCTCTCTCTCTCTCCACTTCTCTCTCTCTTCTCTCTCTCTCTCTCTCTCTCTCTCTCTCTACTCTCTCTCTCTCTCTCTCTCTCTCTCTCTCTCTCTCTCTCTCGCTCTCTCTCTTTTCTTTTCTTTGAAGATTTTGGAACAAATAAGCACTTACAAATTGAAGTTGCAAGATTATGAAAAGTCTTAAGAATTTGTTGGTGATTCTTTTTTAGGATGGCAAGCATTATTTTGGGCTTCTATAATCCCAATGATTGTAAGATCTCTGTTCTTGATATCCATTGTCGGAATTAAAAAAGAAAATCAATTTTCTAATGACTTTTTAATTGGTTGCAGATAATCTTAGCTATTGGAACAGAGCTCCAATCCATTCTGACAAAGATGGCCATTGAAATTGCAGAAAGGCATGCTGTAGTGCAAGGGATGCCTCTTGTGCAAGCCTCAGACAAACATTTTTGGTTTGGCCGGCCTATGTTAGTTCTTCATCTCATCCATTTTGCCTTGTTTCAGGTATTGGATCACCTTCTCTTTTACAGACATATTGAATATAACTTACCTGTACAATGACATAAATCTGAAAATTAAAAACGGTACATATATATAAGAAATGTGAATGCTTCTTGAAAAGCTCCATAATTCAAATGAGAGTTTTATGATTTGATTTCCTGCCAAGAGAATTTAATAATTTTCTCTTGACTTGCTTTCTTGTATATGCAGAATGCTTTTCAGATAACATACTTCCTGTGGATATGGGTAATGGATTGTTCCTGCCAATCTTGTCATTCGATGTATCCTTCGTCCAATCCATCTGTGTGTTGCTCATAGTATGCTCACTAACAACTTTATTTGTATGCAGTATGAATTTGGGATAAATTCATGCTTCCATGCCAATTTCAAGCTTGCAATAGTAAAGGTTGCTTTGGGGTAAGCATTTTCTTTTAGGTATTTAATCTTTGTTTTAAATTGAGTTGCTAGATTGAATTTTTGCTTCGGCCTTACAGGGTCGGAGTCCTATTTCTATGCAGCTACATCACACTTCCATTATATGCCCTTGTAACTCAGGTACTCTAATCATGTACTTAGATTCCACAAATGGCTAAATTCCGTTGCTAAACCAGGCTTTAACTGATAATTTTCAGTACCAGGCCAAGCTTACAAATTCTTGCATACAAAAATTCATCCGCAAACCTGGATCATTCCCATTCATTAAGTTGCATTCCTTTTCCTTTACATTTGTTTTATTAATTGAAACCACTGTCGGTGAATGCGCTCAGATGGGTTCGCATATGAAGAAATCAATATTTGATGAACAAACAAGTAAGGCGCTTAAGAAGTGGCATATGGCTGCAAAGAAGAAGCAAAGGAAAGGAGGGAAGTCTCCCACCAGAACCCTAGGTGGAAATTCAAGCCCAGCATCTACACTGCACTCTTCTGGACGGTCACTGCACCGATTCAAAACTACTGGGCATTCTGCTCGTTCGTACGCCTACGAAGACCAGGAAATATCTGATATGGAAGCCGAGGCACTGTCACCGACACCATCAACAACCAACTTGGATGCAAGAACTATTCAGAATGATCAAGCAACTGAACTAAGCGAATCTCATGATGATGACAAAGGAACAAGTAATGAAGATGACTTCTCTTTGCCAAGGCCTGCCTTGACAAAAAAACCTTAATTATATATATCAGTTACAGCTATAGTACAGACAGTGGCTTTTTCCTGTTGCAGTTGCCATTGCACCGCCTTGTACATGAGGTTCTAAGAAAAGATTATAGCTCTTTGAAGTGCAGTTATCTCAAGTCATTTGTTTCATACAATTTTTTTTAAATATATACATGCAATTTATAAAGGAGAAAAGGCATTATGGTTTTAGTCTCTCATCTCTAGCAGTATTTAACAGTTCAGAAATGGAAGGGGAAGGCAGTTTCAGATCTTTAACGTTTAAGTTTTCACATACGGCATGTAGTCGACCATTGAATTATTAAGCTAATGGTAACGATTACTATATCGGTGTTATGAACTAAATGGATTACAAAAATTAAGCTTTAGTTTCAAATTAGTTGTACTTTTTAAAAGAGATTGAACAATCAAGTTTATATTTAACATTTGAAACAATTCTCAAAATTGATTATTCTCGAATTTAAAGTTTCATACCTTTTGCACAAAAAAAAAAAAAAAAAAAAAAATATATATATATATATATATATATTAGCACCTCAAATTTACATGAAATCATCAAAAGCTTGTTTTTACATAAAATAAAATAAAATATCAAAATTATTAGTTTAAAACATTAAACATTAAATCCTCTGCTATTCCCACTTGGGCCAGTCTAGTACTAAGATCCAGGTGAACTTAAGGCCTCCAAGACCCGTAGTGAACATAATTAACTTTAAATATTTAATTTAGCTAAAAGAAAATGAAGATAAATGTAATGCAACCGAGATTATATTATGATCCTGACTACATGCTGTTTTAGTTTAGCAAAACCAGCTATTGTTCTTCCAGAAGATGTAGATCCTGTCGCTGGTGAGAGAATCAGAATTACCAACACATTTTCCAAATTTTGGAACATCATCTTTGAATATGAGCAAGGACCAGTCGTCCATAAATTATACAGTACAGATGTAATTACAACTAGAAATCTACTATATTATTATAATATAATTCATAAGAAAAGCACAAACAATATGCTTATAAGTGCTGCAAATTCATATTTTATGACAGAGTATGCTGGTTAGGCGTCAAAATTCATATGAACTGCAATTTCAGTTGGTTTTTCTTTTTTGTTCTTCATATTGCCCTTACTGCTCTTTAGCTAATTCAGCACCTTCTTTAAGGTTGCATCCTAAAATGCTGTGAGTTGTCTGAGTGTTGTAAATTATGATATATCCTTATTTTTGCACCCCCTATCGATGCAAAATTCAACATTCGTCTTCTGTTCTTCACCTCTTGACGTCCAAGGATCATAGCAGAATGTTCTAACAATGGAAGAACAATTAAAATCTGTTGGTTGTTGTAGCTGATAGGACTCAGGGGTGGAGTGGCGATTCCTTTGATATAGAGAATACAGGCATATAATTGTTTCCAGAGGTCTTTTTTATGCATATTATAATGCTTAGTTATTCAAAACTTTTTGGCTATCAAAGATAGGACACTAAAAGAGAATTACAGATGAAATTTTTGCTACACAATAATATCTTTTGCTATATGCTGAAATTTCATTAGATTGCCATTTGAGATAACCCTTACCTTGCTTTGGCTAACTTAACTAAATGATTTACTTCTTGAAGTGATTTTGTTCCTTGGTTGAATTCATTTGATCAGGTATTACTAGTCCGTGAATGTTACTGCATTTGTATATTCAGGATTTCAAGCTTATGGTCTATATGCTACCATTTGGTCCCCGAGAAACATGTGCTATGCTCCCGCCAAAACCACCACCATTTCACTTTCTTCATGTATATGGCAAGTATGTGCACTTGGTATTTATGTGACATTTCATATATTCTGTGTCGGTCACTATCTTAACTGTTCACAGAATCAATGCCTAGTAAGTCTCTAGCTTCTACCAGTTCGTTAGTTCTGGTGGAAAGATGGATTAGCTAGAGACTTACTAGGTATGGTGCCTTTTAAGCTTAGTACTGATGGATCAGTAAAATTTGGAAAGGCTTATAGAGGGTTAATCATAATGAATGATAAAGGATATTGGATTTGTGATTTGCAACGAATATCGATTGTTGTTGAGTTCCAAATGCGGAACTTTGGGCCTTGTATAATGGTTTAACTCTAGCTAAAACCAGAACTATTTGCCAGTTATTTATAGAGTGTGACAATCTTGTCGTTGTGCAGATGATTAGAGGTGAAGTTGAGGTTCCTGGAAGTTTCAAGCCCTTTTGTGGACTCCATTATCCAGTGGTTAGACTTGTAGCATTTCACATGTCTACATGGAAGCAAACTATTCTAGGCTCTGTGTATAGTTCTGGTTTCTTTGTCTTTTTTTTTTTTTTTTTTTTTTTTTCTGATGTATAGTTTCTGCGTCTGTCTTTTTTTTTTTTTTTTTTTTTGACTTTTTGCTCTCCCGTGTTACATTTTTTTTTTTTTTTTTTTTTTGACATTTTTGCTCTCCCGTGTTACAATAATAATGTTTTTTTCTTGAGTATCAGGGAAGAAATTTAAATATAAATCTATTGTCATATTATATATATATAATATATCTTTTAGTGGCTGGAGCCAGGCGTGACGTGACATATATTTCGTTAAGTTTTGATTGAATTCAATTGCTATCGTCTTCCTACAATTAGATGCTAAGGCTATGAACAATGAACACAGCCTTCCAAGCCATTTCTTCCCTCTTCACATACGTAACTTTTTGGCTTCTTCCATTTTCTAGTATAAGTGATATATCCCAATCATGTTTCTATCTCTTCAGAGTTGGGATTGGTCTTGTCATGATGCTCTCTTGTCCCTTTCAAGCTTCAAATTCATGAATTAATATAAGTCTTTTGGACTTTAATACCAAACAGGATGTCGTTGTATAAATGGGTCAGATTTGAATCCTGAGAGTTACTATCCTAGATTGTCTGCATTCTCAATCCAACTTTAGATTAGGGAATTTAAAATTTAGTAAAATTAATTATTTTATTAATTGTTATATTAGATGTTTTATAGCTAGCTGTTTAATTAGGATTTCATCAAACTTAAAAAGAATAATACGTTTTTTTTAACTTTTAAATCTTAAAAATTATTGTTGAGTCACTCTTGTTTTGAAAATTTTATCTAAATATCAAATCTAACCGAGCGGCAAAATACATGTTCAAATAAAAAAAAAAAAAAATCTCATATTGCATGCGTCTAAGATCTATTTTTTTAATGTTTATAGTTAAAATATTTTTAGAATAAGAAATTAAATATTTATTGTTTATCGATTTAATATTATATTTTAAAGTTCCTTCTAGTAAATCAAACCCTATTTAATAATAAGATTTAATCACCAAAAAAGCTTCAATTTTTGATTTTTTTTTTTAATTTGGCCAATACTTTAATTTTATCGATTAATACTCTATATTTATTTTTTATTATAAATTATTTATGGCTTCCGTCTAGAGTTCGATTAGATGTGATCTACTAATACAACTACGGAAGCGAAGAAACCTATTTGATGAATCTTGGAGTTATGAAGGTGCGAGTTACTCATTGATCAGGGTCTATAAAAAATTTGTTAATCGTAAAAGCATACAAAATTCTTTCGAGTTTGAAGTGAGACAGCGAGAAGATTGTTTCAGCAATGCAATCTTCCAATTTATAGATTTGAAAAGCAAAGATAAAGAATTGAAAATGGCCACATAAATGTAAGCTGGTGTGTTGCAGGCCAATTAACCATAAAAAAACCACAAAACGACGTGCTATAAAATATAAATGAAGGTGGTAACTAAAAAAAAATTCTAAAATTGAAAAGATTAAAAGTATTGGCTAAATTTGCTAAAAACGTGTGCAAGAGCATATCAATTAGGTAATAATTATTTTTCAAAAAAAAAAAAAAAAATCTCATACACAATTATTTGCAAATGTGGGAATTAATTAATTAAACTCCAATTATATCCACAATCCACATGCACACAACTAAAAAATAAATGTCATGTGAGTGGCAGAAGGAAGGGGACCCTACATATTAGACACTGCACATGCTTCTCAAGAACTCTTACATTTGGCGTGGGAAATCTTTTGAAAGGCAATTCTAGCAACCAGGTTGTCAGTTCTTATACTGATTTTAATTTTTAATTTTTTATTTTAAATAATTTCACTGTTATAATTATTTTATGAGGCTGAGGTGTGGAAGAGTTCCATTTTCATCCATTCAATTCTCAAAATATCCATGTCTTCTTCTGCCTTCATTTTAATTAATTAAAGATAACCATTTTCAATTCAGGTCACTTTCATTTTTTATAACAAAATTAATTTTATATTTATGAAAACAGGTGACTATGCTTTCTAAAGCTTGGAATTTCATTTTCAGAAAGAAAACAAAGGGGCTCTTGTTTTCTAATTCCATTTCCAAACTTCAAATTCCAAGAATTTCCAATCATTCACAAATTATTATTATTATTATTATGTCTTAAAGTTATTTTTGCTAGTAGTATATATAATATTGCAGAATATATAAAAAAAAAGTAGTATTCTTTCTGTTTTTTTTTTATTCTGAAACCTTTTTTAATCAGAAAAATATTTTATTTATAATTTTGACAGATAGGATGCATTCAAATAATTACAAGCAAGGCAAGTATCACAAATTCTAATTTAACCTCAACTTGTTTGGTAAGAGAATTTCTTCCAAGTTGAAAGAAAAAGTCAATTTGAGCTCTTCCAAGTAATAATTAATTTCCATTTTCGTAAGATTAAAAATATAAATTTAATGTTTGAAAAGCGCCCTTATTAAAACACGCAAAGAAAAATATTTATACTCTACAGCGCAAAAATAATTATACCTCCTAATTTTGAAAAAAAGAACATATTGAAGATATATTTCTCTGCTCAGACTCAATCGATAATATAAGTTTTAGATCTTAAAATCTAATCTTATAAGTAAAATTCATTTCAAAATATAGTTCACTTCTATTTATTTTGTGAGATTATCGTTGAAATTGTTAAAATTTATGAAACTATAAATTTAAATTTTAGAATTTAATTATCCACTGCTAAGTCATAAATTTCACTCTTTCAAAACTATTGTTTTAGAAAAGGATATAAAATTCTGATTAGTTTCCAGTTGTAGAAAAAGAAAAAGGAGTATCTAAAATACTTAATTATATTTATATATTATCTAAATTACTTAATTATAATATATATATATATATAATTAATAATAATATAATTAAATAATAATTGGAGATTATTAAGCAATTCAACCTTTTCGTATTCTTCTTCCGCGATTTCTTTTTAAATAAGTATTTCGTGTTTCACGAGGGGGGCCTTTTCCTTAATAATGCGATTAGTGTAGTCACATTGATACCAGCTAAATCTTTTTTTTTTTTTTTTTTATACTTATTCTATCGTCAGATTGTACATATACTTACACCTAAATTATATATAATTAAATTATTATCTGATAAAACTAGTAGTATATATAATATTACAGAATATATAAAAAAAATAGTATTCTTTCTTTTTTTTTTAATTCTGAAACCTTTTTCAATAATAAAAATATTTGTTTATTTATTTATAATTTTGACAGGTAGGATCATTCAATTAATTACAAGCTAGGCGAGTACCGTAAATTCTAACTTAAACTCAACTTGTTTGGTAAAGAGAATATCTTCCAAGTTGAAAAGAAAAAGTCATTAAGTGACTTTAATTTTCGTAAGAGTAAAATTATAAATTCAATGTCTGAAAAGTACACTTACTAAAAAAGACAAAAAAAAAAAAATATTTACACTCTACAGTGCGAAGATAATTACACCTCCTCATTCTAAAAAAAAAAAAAAAAAAAACATGCTGAAGATATATTTCTACGATCAGAATCAATCGATAATATAAGTTTTAGATCTTAAAATCTAATCTTATAAATAAAATTCGTTTCAAAATGTAGTTCACTTTTATTTATTTATTTCGTGAGATTGTCGTTGAAGTTGTTAAAATTTGTGAAACTATAAATTTAAATTTAGAATTTAATTAATAAAATAGTTAAATCTTGATAAATTGTTTTTTTTTTTTGGGAACTTATCCACTACTTATCCAGATACAGATTTGTTCATTTATGTGGAGTCTATCCACTAAGTTATAAATTTCTCTCTTTCAAAACTACTGTTTTAGAAAAGGAAATAAAATTCTGATTAGTTTCCACTTTTAGAAAATGAAAAAGGAGTATCTAAAATACTTAATTATATTTATATATTATTTATAATATATATATATAAATTATTAATTATTATTAATAAAAAAAAATTAAAATTAGTTGTTGTAAAATAAAAATAAAAACCAATGGAGGAGGAAATAATTAAAAGTCTAAAAATATTGAGTTCTCTCATAACTTGATGTGTATGACTTTGAATTGTGTGCCATGTGCTTAATTATTATTAATAAAAAAAAATTAAAATAGTGTAAAATAAAAATAAAACCAATGGAGGAGGAAATAATTAAAGTCTAAAAATATTGAGTTCTCTCATAACTTTGATGTGTATGACTTTGATGTGTGCCATGTGCTATAATTTAATTGAGACAAACAATTTATGCTAAAAAAAAATATTTGCCAAGGAAACAAATATTTTTTTAATGGTTTGACTTAAAATAACTTATATATATATTCATATGAATGGACAATAATCAACCTAATCTCAATTAAAATATCTCTTAAAAAAATCTCAACTAAAATGAAATTAATAATTGTAATCTTAGTCCTTTTCCTTGCACCCTCATTATCATTTTCCTTTCAATAATTGTAAAATTGCTTTCATTATTTCAAATCTATGAAGTTCTTTTATGACTATTTTTAATTTTATTTATCATTTATCTCTAAATTATATTAGATATTAAAGTAAATGAAAATAATTTTAATTTTTGATCCGTTGAGACAAAATCATCTATTTATTCATCAAATCGATAAAAACTGAAATTTAAGACTTCTCACTATTTGTGTAAATGAGAAGATGAATGAGATTTTCGTACACTAAAATATATAATTTTTTATAAATTTTCTTTCATTTTTAATATTTTTTTTAGTGTTTTCCTTTTGTAGGGTATAACTTGATATTGGTTCAATCTCTCTCATAGTCTTCACCCTTGGAAACATATCGTTGCCCTCTTTCAAACAACACCCATATTGTCGCAAGCCTTCATCAAATGTTGACTATTCTATAATTTTAGTTTTCCATTTTTGGACATTTATTGCAGAAAAAAAAATATTTCTAAGTGAATTAAATCGTTTTGATCGAATCATATCGGTTGGTTCGATCTAGCTTTTAAATTTGATGCAGTTCGATTTCAACAAAAAGCTAACTTCGATTTTCCATTCTGAACCGCTCATTTGCATACCCTATGCAAAACATATGCTTTTGACATTAGAGCATTCGCCTCCATTAATATAGATCATACTTTTAAGCATGCAAATTCGAATAGAAGTAAGTGTTAATTTATGCATTTGGTTTATATAATAGTTACTCTCTCTTTCAAAATATAAATCGTTTAAAGTTTTTTTATGAAAATTAAGGAAGTAATTAGTTTTCGAAATTATGACAAAATTAAAAATAATTTAAAGATAATTTGATCAAATTATCTTATATTTCACATTATTACTCCTATCTCAATTCTCAATAATTCTATCTAATATAATTAATCAAGAGATAAGATGATAAAGATGATTTAGAAACATATGAAGATAAAATTGAAAAAAAAATATCATTTATTAATTATTAAATGTATTATATTTCTGAATAAAATAATTACGACTTTTATTTTGAAAGGAAGAGAATATAATTTTAAAATAGAATGAATGATATTTTTTGCCATTAAATGGTAAAAATTTTACACATTATTAGCCTTAACTAATTAATGAAACATAATTTTTTTTATTTAAAAGAAAAACAAGAAAATTAAATTAGGCTAATAACTAATTCAATTTATAAAAATTTTAAAATGAAAACATAGAATAGCAAATAAATAAATTGCTTAGCTTTTGGACCACAACATAAAATAAAATAAACATTTCATCATCAAGCTAATGCCTAACAGTCCAACATTATTCTATGAAAAATAAAAATCCAAAATTATGAGTTTCAATTATTATTATTTTTTTATTAATTTTATTTTTTGAGGTACATGTATATAATTAGAAGGGTGAAAGAGTTATAAAAAAAACAAATTGGGCCAAGTTGTCTCCTATTGTCCACATTAGGAAGGAAGAGTGTAAAGTGGTCCCTTAGGGTAGAGGAACCTGTCTCCTCTGGGTGATAATCCACTACATGCTTCTTTTGCTACATTTGCAACTCCCTTTCCTCTCTTATCTTCTTCTTCCTCTCCTTACTATTAATATCACTTTCGTTCCTATCTATTTACTGAACTAGAACCTCCCCTACCAAACCTTATTAATAATTTTTTTTTTTTTTTCAAAATTCTCCAATTCTTGATTCCTACATATACACACACTCTTCCAAGTTTCAAGAAACTGATTCTTGATCTTTCTTTCTTGAATTTTGTTACTTGATAATATATGTTATTTATCAAGAAACCATGCCTCGCTTTCCAAGAATGCTTACCAGCCTCGACTCTACTCCGGTGGCCGACCCACCGGAGGCGGTCAACGTTGAGTCAGACTTTGTAGTAATATTGGCTGCTCTTTTGTGCGCATTGATATGTGTGGTTGGACTTATTGCGGTGGCTCGGTGTGCTTGGCTCCGCCGTGGCAGTGGAGGCAGCACTTCTCGTTCCACGTCGCAGGCTGCTGCTGTTGCTAATAAAGGGTTAAAGAAAAAGATTGTCCAGTCTCTCCCTAAGTTCACGTACGGCGCCACCGCTGCAGGAGGCGGTAGTTCTTGTAAGTTTGCGTCGACAGAATGCGCAATTTGCTTGGGTGAGTTTGCTGAGGGAGATGAGGTCAGGATTTTGCCACAGTGTGGACATGGTTTCCATGTTGGATGCATTGACACGTGGCTTGGGTCCCATTCCTCCTGTCCTTCTTGCCGTCAGATCTTGGTGGTGGCTAGATGTCAGAAATGCGGCCAGTTTCCTGCTATCTCCTCCGGCCGCGGTGGACCTGCGGCTGAGACTAATTGCAAGGGCAGAGAAGACAATAACAATAACAATAACAACAACAACAATAGTAATCAAAACCATAATGTAATTGTTGGGTTTCTACCTTGACAAAGTCTTCAATTAGGACTTTGGCCATTTCTGTGTATTGTATAGCTTACATTAGAGGTTTTGCAATGCATATTATTTTCTTTCCTGGATAGAGGCGAAAGCCAATTACAGGCAAAAGAATCTATTAGCATGAGCTTTTTCCTTTTATTTTTGTGTAAATGAGAGAATTTGAAACCAGTTCTTGATTAACTTGATCGACTTGATTGATTTGATCGCAGCACTTGCTTTTTTCAAGTAAATATATTGTTTACAGCAGAATTCGTAGATGAACTTGATTGATTTGATCACAAAGCTTGTTTTTTTTTTCAAGTAAAGGTATCGTTCAAAGCTGAATCCGTAGGTTCATATTGGTAAGTACAGAAGAAGTTTTGCTTTTGAACTTTGAAATGGGTTTCCTTCAATGAATGAAAATATAGGCATATTGGGTAATTGACTAGGTTCCATTTAAAAGTGATGCTTCACCAAAATTCCAACATGTAAAGTTATTCAGTCTAAAAGAGTTTGTATTCTTCAAGTTCAAGAGTAATTTGATTCCCCATTTTGCATCTTTGCTTGAAGTCTTTTGTCTTTACAATAATTGAAACTTATCATTCACAAAATCACTATTCCTATTCTCTTTCCCTTTCATTCTAAACCTAACAATACTCACTAATTTAACTTGATATTTTTTTTTTTTGTCTTCTTCACTTCCTACTCTTCTTTGGTGCCTCTCATGTGGCTCTTTAGATAAAGTCATGCATCCATTATTCTAAAATTTACCATTGGCTTTAAAGGGGAATAAGGGAACTTGGGGGAGGATGTAGGGATGAAGAGGAATGGGAAAAAAAAGATTTTTTTTTTTTCAAAAGTGAATGATAAATGATTTAGATTAATCACTCTAAATAAATATAGATTTAATTTTTCAAATTTAAATCTAAAATTGTAGTTGTCTAAAACTTATCTTTAGAACATAATTTCATATTAGAACAAAGAAAAATTAGACAATTTATCAAAAATAACCAAATTACAATACTCTTTATATATATATATATATACACTATTGGGAGAGGCGATTTTAAACTTCTATTGTCCGATAATATATAAACTTACTACTAGACTATATTTTATCGTGCAACCTAATTATGAAAGTTACGTACCCACTTTCAATGTATATAACCACCATGCACCAAGCTAATCAACAATTGTTACTTCAAAATTTTTTTACCAATTGGAACTCTTGTATCTCTTTTTTTTCCCAATGAATTTCAGCAGTATCCTTATTTGTCCTATGTGTCATCATTAGATTAGTTTGATATATAGATTGATCTATACATCAAATGCAAATAAGTATCATCAATTATAGTACGAACTAATGTATATTTCTAGACTTTACCTGATTATTTTTGTGATACCTTTAAATTTTATGAAGATCCAATTATGACGGTATATTTTCACATTTCAACAATAATTATGCACTCGCCAAAATGAAATATCTTTATAAGAGTTCAATCATAATTCTATATTTCTCCATTTTATTTAACAAAGGATACAGTGATTATTAAAATGTAAAAATATAGTGTCACAGTGGATTCTTCGTAAATTTTAAGGGACTAATAGGATAATCGCAGAGAATACATATCAGGATGAACATCGACGACCGTTGAACGGGGAATCTTCTGTCTGTGTGAACGTAGGGATTAGAGCTATACCAAGAATGATAAGACAACAAAAAACTATAAAGTAGATGCTTGGAATGGAGGTGGTCTTCCACAATTATCCAATCTAATGAATCCAAGACGCGTGTTTAAAGTGGTGATACATTATTCTAAATGGACTAAAACAACACTGAGTTTACACTGATTTCCCTTTAGACTATTGCTGAAAACTCAGCACACAGCACCTTTTGTTTTACCCTTTTGTGCAAAAAGATCTTAACTCATGGCCCACTATAAATCCGAGGTTATCCTCCTTAAGAATAGAAAAAAAAAAAATCTTATAAATATCTCTTAGTAAAAATTACATTGCGAAAAACAGTTAGTCTGTCCTTTTATTTTTAAAAGTATTCTTAAATTCAATTTTTATATATTTTCCGTTAAATCAATAAGAAAAGACATGGTTAAAAGAGAGATTAAAATTTTATATGAGAAAAATTACAATATAGTCTATGTGATTTAAAAAATATAACTAATCCATTCCCGTATTTTAAAAAACATACCAAAGGTGAAAAGAGATAAAAATAATATTTTCGTCATTTTATAAGACACTTAACGAAAAAGATATAAAAATTGGACGAAATGATCTTATAGTCCAATGAAAATAAATTATATTTTAATATATTTTTAAAAACATAAAAACTGACTAACGGTATTAGAGATTGTAATGTAATTTTCCCATATCTCATTTATCTGAGCTGATGATATCTATCTATCAACTATCACATTTTCTTTCAACTTTCAACTCAAGAGTGATTAGCAGTGCACTAAAAGGACATTCACACCTACTTGAAAAATACAAGACTTTGAGTCTCAATTAGTGCTTTGTGCTAGTCTCCTTCAACATGGCTTTTTATAATTGAAATTTTGAATGACTAGATATAATGGAATTTTGCCTACCTTTCCTCTAACTCTACTAAAATCCAACCCTTTACAAGATCATCATATCCCCTGCAAGTTGCTAGTTTCTGTCATGCTATTCCATTTCCTCAATTAAAAAGAACAACTGTTCATACTAAAGTACCTGTCTGTCTCTATTGTGATCCAGCCAACTCTAGGTATGATATATAAATGAAATATCAACTAGTTCTGTTATGCATAGCTTTATACAGTCAACAAAAGTTCAATATCAAAAGAACCCTACTTCCACATAGAATTATGAACATTATTCTGTTTAGGTATACAGAAAAGTAATGAAAAAGTAATCTAGTATCACTCCCACTCAGCTGCAGCAATTGCAGCGTAGTGTCGGTTATTTGATTAACATGTTAACAAAAGGCGAGTCTTTTTTCTTTTCTTGAAGAATACATCATATCTAAATGTTAAAAAGTTAAAAATCACCGGCGGAGTACGACTTTTCACCCACAGATAAAGCAAATCTGCCCCATATGCAAAACCAACTATAAGCAAACTTAGAATTTCTGCTGTTTCAACTTATATTCATGTTTTGTCCGATATCTTAAGTATTATCCTTGTGCATGAAAAAACAGACACTCATTCCTTATCAACCGCTTGCACTTAAAACTGAAGAAGTGAGCAATACAATTTCAAGAAGCTCATCTGGTTTACCCCGTATAAGTATTTGACTGATAGTCATCATGTAAACTTGTCGAGAATGGGATTCAAGGATTATAAAAATGAACTACTTACTCCACATACTGATATCCTTTCGATCAATCAAGCGCCTCTTCATCATCGCTGCCACCACCAAACATGGTAGCCATTTTCATAGCCAATTTTGCAGCCATTTCTCTCCTTTGAAAATCAGGCATAAATCTTAAGTTGTCACGTATATTTCCAATCTCAGACATTAACTGCTCTAAATCTTCAAATTCAAAAGGTGTAACTTCATTTGTTTCTGCTTCTACATTACGATCGTCTACATTGAGCAGTACTTCCTTATTCTGCAATTCTACTATTGATGTTGAGGGCTGTTGCTCCTTGTTGTCAAACTTTTCCCAGTTTGCATGATCATGTTCTATAATATGATTATTCTGACCAATTGATCCCCTTACATCTGATACGGAACTAGTACCAGTTGCAGAAACCCATTCTTCATTTGTGTCATCCCATTGTTCAGCTGTACCAGCAGACAGCACATGATCATGTTCTATAATATGATTATTCTGACCAATTGATCCCCTTACATCTGATACGGAACTAGTACCAGTTGCAGAAACCCATTCTTCATTTGTGTCATCCCATTGTTCAGCTGTACCAGCAGACAGCACATGATCATGTTCTATAATATGATTATTCTGACCAATTGATCCCCTTACATCTGATACGGAACTAGTACCAGTTGCAGAAACCCATTCTTCATTTGTGTCATCCCATTGTTCAGCTGTACCAGCAGACAGCACTACCAGTTGCAGAAACCCATTCTTCATTTGTGTCATCCCATTGTTCAGCTGTACCAGCAGACAGCACATGATCATGTTCTATAATATGATTATTCTGACCAATTGATCCCCTTACATCTGATACGGAACTAGTACCAGTTGCAGAAACCCATTCTTCATTTGTGTCATCCCATTGTTCAGCTGTACCAGCAGACAGCACTTCATACTCGAATTCATAATCAGATTCTTCTTCTGACAAGTCTGTGCAGGGATATGAAACAATTAGATTCAGATTGTTTCTGTAAAATAACTTAAGGAAAATATTTTTCTAACTTTCCGTTGTTTGAGGCGTTCAGAAAAATAAACCAACGGAAAATATTTTCCTGGTCAAAGAAAAATTAAATCATTTTTTAAGGAAAATAACTTTTCATTTTCATGAAAGCAAAATATTTTCCGGATATTGATAAACTTTATAAATTCATATTTTTTAAAATTTATTAATTATTATAGTCACTACCACTAGTCAACATTTACCACCGGCTACCACCACGGCCATCACCACCGGCGGCTTTCATAATTTATATATATATATTATAGGATCTATATAATATATTATTTTTTTTTTTTTTTTTTGCATTTTTCTCATTTTTAACAATAAAAATTTTTAAATTATAAAATTTATATTATTGTTTAATATTTTATTTGTATTTTGAGATAGAAAACTTTTAATTATTTTTTAACTAATTTTCAAAATTTATATTATTGTTAATATTTTTTATAGTATTTTGAGATAAAAACTTTAATATTTTTAACTAATTTTCAATATTACAACCAAACAACGGAAAATAAGTCATTTGAAAAATATTTTTCATCAAGTTATTTTCCTGCAAGTTTTTTTACGGAAATAATCGGAGTGTTAGCATTCAATTAATGGGGGGAAAAAAGATATGGCACATAAAATAAAACCTTCTATATTAGGTAGTGCTGGCTGAGGTATGTTGTTGCCAGATTTTAATATCATTCCAGGCCACATATGAGCAGAGAGAGCACCAAAAAGGCGCTCAACTCCTTGTGAATCGCCATCAACTGATAAACCTGTAACAAACATTTTCATTATCTTTTGGATACCAAAAGTGACGTTAACATTATTACATACTAATTGCAAATGCAATATCTTTCCTGGTTAATCCTCTGTCATCCAAACTGTGATTCAATCCTACCATAATCTCAACTAAGGGCCTTGTGATGTTTGTTTTCTACTTTTGTTTTACACATATAATTGCAATCTTGTTAATTACTAATCTCAAATCTCAGTCAATCAGCTCGGAAAGTTTCATCAATGTACAATATGCCATCGTTTGTGTCATTTACAAATTCCGCATAATGATTGGCCTTAAAGTATAAAGGATCTAAGCAAAATATTCTCATCCTAAAGATATGGAACATGAGGATAATGATAATTTAATTTACTTCCATTTGTCAATTTTTTATGTGTTGGTGAAGTGGTGGAGGTAAAAAAACAAATGAAGAGTGCAATAATTAATTTACTTGCTAGTTAAATCTATAGATGGGTAGGTAGAACGACAATGTAATTGATGGATTTTGCATATATTAGTCAAGTTGCCAAATTGCATGCTAGTTGATTGACGCTGAAAGTAGACAATAGGTCTTACATTTGTCAAAATCAGCATTGGAGGCACAGGATTCAATGTACTCAATATTGTGCTCAGTGCACCAGTCAAGACATGATCTCTTGATATCCCCTGCTGGATCCTCACCACCCAATAGACTACTTCCTTCAGCTTCAGAAATCCCAAACTCATAGAATTCTGTATAAGTATCAGCAGAAGACTCTTCAAGATTCTTTAAGCGTCTTCTGTATTCAGCATGAACTGGATGATCCGAAATAAGATCCACTTTGTTTCCAATGCATAGTAATATTTCAAATTTTTGAATATCAGTGCGAGATACCCAATCCTGAAGTGCGACAAGAGACGATAACTGCACATAATCAAATAAAAGAACACGTTGCATCAGTATATCGTGCTGGAATACAAATGATAACATATAATTGCAGATTAAAAGCTAACCCCAAATGGAGATTGAAGCATCTGCAACTAATAATGCAACAAAAGGAACGATAGAAAGAGGCTAACATCATTAACGTCAAAAACCATCACTAAGGCAGTGAGGCAATTATAAACCGGAAGGGTCTTGATGGAAAATTCATCATGCAGATGAGCCATCCATACAGAAACATCAGCTGTGTAATACTTTGTATTGATAGTCCACCTATTATGACAAGAAAAGGAAGACAACATAAAATTACTATAATCAAATTAATGAAAAGCATTTGTGGAACAAGCAACATAAAGTCTACGCACCCTTGGGCGAGTACTTCAGATGATGAATCCGAAGTATCTTCAAAATCCACTGATAATAATCCTACATCCAGAAAATAGCTTAAATTGCTAAAGTTGAAGCATTTCCTCCACAAAATAACTTAGTCACTCAACTAAAAGCATGTTTCAACAATATTCCACATTAAGACTGATTACAAATAAACCTTTGAATTAAAATCTGAAATTGGATACAGCTGAAATGTTATTACTTAAAGCTTACAACAATCACAATTTAGCATACCAAGCAAGGAGCTTTCTTATACGAATCAAAATCAATCAATCAATCAATATAGAGAGAATTGAGTGAGAGATTTACGAGAGAGAAGAGTGCGCTTGCCAACGTTGGAGGATCCGATCATGAAGATGGCGGGTCGGTTCTCCAAAGCTGTCGTATCGGGCGCTTCCATTTTTAGACAAAAGAAATTCAAATTCAGTATTAAAATCAGTTAAAATTTTCTATCTCTGAAATTTTCTAAACCCTAGAGGAAGAAAGTGAGAGAGAGGGGGAGAGAGAAATGTGCAACTGCAGCTGGGTTCACCTCTTTGCTCCTCCGGGTTCATTCTTAACCAATCATATTTCGCCAATTCATCACTTTTTCTTAAGAAAAAGAAAAACCACCCTTTTTTTTAATTTAAAATTTTCACAACCATCAATTTTTTTTTTTTAAATGACAACCATCAAATTTTAAAGAACAAATTTTGTAAAATTCGCAAAAAATTTTCGCAATTTTCTTTTTTTTTTTTTTTTTTTTTTTTAAAGAAAAATTTTGTAAAATTCGCAAAAAATTTTCGCAATTTTTCTTTTTTTTTTTTTTTTTTTTTTTTTTTTTTTTTTTGAAAAAATAAAATGTGAAGAATAAAAAACATAAAAGGCCAAGTGAGGCAAGATGACTTGTGTGCAAAAATTCTTTACTTTTTAATGAAAAATGATTTATTTAACACAGTTATTTATGAATCTAAAATCTTTTAATTGGAGGAGCGTCAAAAAGATTTTCTATAAGATGTATTTAATTGTTATCTTAATTATTTTATATTAATCATCTATTAATTTTGATACGAACTGACAAAATTTAAAAATTAATGATCATTTTTTGCATTAACAACTAAATGCAATTTTAAGTTTTAATACAATTTTTATTTTGTTTATTTTAATATAAATTGCGAACAATTTTCTTAATTATTTTGGAGTTACTCCAGTTTTTACGATCTAAAATTTTATTTTCTAATCGTGTTAGTGTTAGGTAGGTTGGTGTCGAAATATGTAAGTACCATAGTCAGTCTCATCTATAATTTGGTTAGGCCTAAACTTAAATCTTTAATATTTAAGGAAAGTCATTCAATCTAGAGGGTGGCCATGGTTCCACTTATAAAAAATCTGAAATCGGAATAAAATTAAAAACCGACGGTTTTGATTACGATTTGAAACTGAATAGTTACGTTTTCGATTTCAGTTCTTTAACAGTTTAAAATCGACGGTTCTGACCGATTTTTCGATTAATTTTCCAGCGAATCGTATAATTATAAAATCAAAAATTAAGAAATATTTTTTAAAAAAATTTAAAATTTAAATATTTATGAAATAATTTTTAGAAAAAACTTTAAGAAAAAAATAATAAAACGACTTAATTTACCTGTTTAAAAAGAAGGCTTGAACTTTTTTTTTTTAGAAAAAGGGCTTGAATTTAATTTATTTTTTTCAGAAAAGGCTTGAATTTAACTTATTTTTTTAAATGAAAAGGGGTATTTATAGTAAATTCAAAAATTAACTTTTTAGAAATACTCTTAAAATTAGTGTTATATAGTTGTTAGAAGGATTAATTTGGAGATTTCACAAAAAGAAAAGGGGTATTTATAGTAAATTCAAAAATTAACTTTTTAGAAATACTCTTAAAATTAGTGTTATATAGTTGTTAGAAGGATTAATTTGGAGATTTCACAAAAATATTTGAAAATATATAAAAAAAATAGTTGTTGGAATTGGGTGAAACTGGTGGTTCCGATAGGTTCTTGGAAGCGCCGGTTCACGATTTCTCAAAAAAAAACCCTCCGATTCCGGTGCTAAAAACCGTGAAATGGCCATATCTGTCAATTTGTGCTCTTGACATTAGTTTTCACCGTTAATTAGCATCGGTAATCCCTTTTTCAATATGTTGCTTTTACAGATGGAAGTGGGGCAAGTACCTGTGAATTTTGAACTCGTAACCGTATTTATTTAAAATTTTATTATCTGTATATCCATCTCAAATCCGTTTAAATATCCATTTAAGTACCGGTATTTAAATCCGTTTAAAATTTTACTACTCATATCCTCCAAACCTATTTAAAGTACTTCTTAAACAAGTAGGGTATCAGCACATTTTAAACTATCCAAATACGAATTTATTTAAAATATATTTTTTACTAATAAATGGATAGGGTACCCATGAACAAAACCGATACCCAAAGTCTAATATCCGTATCCTTATCTATTGCAGGTAGTAATTTCACTATCTGTATCCGTCTAAAATCCACTTATAACTATTCGTACCTCTCGTTAAACAGATCAGAGTAGATCGGGTACCCTAAAATATCCATCTCACTTCCATCCCTAATTGCTTTAGATAGTGACTGTGATTAATTTAATATAATTAGTTTAATTTAATCAAAAGCAAAAGAGAATATTAATATGCAAATAATTGTTCAATAAACATTATAAAAAAAAAATGCAAGTTTAACTGTTCAATAAGAAAAAAAAGCTGACAAATTTCAATTTCCAGACAATTGAAGATCCAATTACAATCATTTTGTTCCAAAATTATAACATTACCATTTTGTTTCCTCTTCTTTTCATTGTTTTTACTGTTGATGTTTCTGCTGTTACATACTCCAAACACTCTTCTAATCACTCTAATAAAGATTGAGCATTTGAATTCATTCATCTTTGGGAATTGCAGTTGCACCAACAGCAAAGAACTCAGAAATCACTTCTAAAGGCATGCCCTTTGTCTCAGGAACTTTCAAGAAAACGAAAATCCAGGAAACTATGCAGCCTATTGAAAAGAATGTAAACACACCAGAAAGGCCAATGGATTTAAGCATAATAGGAAGCATATAAGTGATGGTAATGTCTCCAAGCCAATATGTCATAGCACAGATTGTGATACAAAGTCCTCGAACGCTTGTCGGAAATATTTCTGAACAAATTATATTAGGAATTGCACCAAATCCCATAACAAAAAAGCTGATATAGAACATAACACTTCCTGTTGAGATTATTGCATGCAAAACCGATCCAATATTGACAATATTGCTAAGGACTAATGCGAGGAGCGAGACGATCAAGACAGGAATTGTATATAGCATTATTGCCCTGCAAGAATTGAAGGTACTAATGCTTATATACTGTAACTGCAAATATAAATAATGGAAAGGTGAAAATAAAGAAACCAACCTTCTACCAGCTACATCCATTAGTCTCATGGCAACCACTATGCAAGGAAGCATTGAGAGTGCAGTGAGGAGACTAATGAAGAGAGATGCAGAATCTGATCTCAACCCCATGTTTGCCAAAAGAACTGCCACGCCTGCTTGTTCGAGAATCTGAGGAGTGTAGTAGAGAACCCCATTGATCCCAGAGACCTACAAGAGCAAGAAGATTGCACATTAGATACATGGAAGAGGCAAAATATATTTTTCTTTTCTGGTTAAAATTTGAAATCTCATAGCTCTAGATGTGAATTTGATACAACTAAGCAATGTATTACAGTCAAATGTTAAAGAATCTGGAAACAAACTTGAAGGCCAATAAAAATATTATACCTGTTGAAGTAATTGAAGGCCCACTCCAACAATTAATGCACGCTTAACTCCAGGTTCAAAAAGTTCGCTGCAGCTTGGTCCTTTATCAGGTATTTCCGGTGGTTCAACATTTGCTGATCCATCAGTAACCTGATCAAGTACTTGCTTAGAGCGAACAGCAGTTCGGCTGACAATAGCAGAAGCTTGTACATATTCGCTATCTTCAGGAATATCAGCAGCAGCTACAGAAAGGAGTGATCCTCGTCGAGAACCAACCATAGCTTCTTGTTTCAAATACATCCTTTGAAGCCCTCCTTCCTTTCTGCCATCTTTACCTGTTGTCTCAGAATATTTATATGCTAATTGCCAACCACCTCCAATACCCATAGCACCTTCTTCGCCTCCATGATTGAATAGACTGCTATTACGTCTAATGCTTAACATACTGGTTGCGGGACGAGCACCATCCCTTTCTACGGTAGAAACTTGTGGCGACAATAAAGGGCTGCACATATTATCATCGGAATCAGCATTTGCATCTCCACCATCATCATCATCATCATCATCATCTCCTCGGTTCGCTTCGTCCCATTGTTCATTTCTGCCTTGATTTCCTGTCATATTAAACATGCTTCCTGTGCTTGGAATCAGCATACTTCCCATTGCAGGAACATTCTCATGAACACTTCCAAACAGAGTTACAAGAGGATCCATAAAAGGCACGTTTTGGTTTGCCATGCTTCCATGTCGAGACATAATTCCAAGATTACTTTGTCCTGTTACAGGTTTAGCAACCCATGAAACGCCCTCTTCAGTTCCATATAATTTCACTTGACCTTTCTCATTAGCCTCAACATCACTAGCTGGACCGATAATGTATTCTTCTATAGCTCCTTCTCGCCCAACACCAAGACCTTCAACTAGCAAAGCCAATTCACCTATAGATCAACATTAAGAAACTTCAGAATTAGCATCGAAATTTCAATATGAGAACCTGGCTATGAGAACTATTAGTTTGGGTATGAATGAACAAACCTGAAACATCTTCCCTTCCACGAAGTCTCTGCAAAATTTGTTTAGCCTGGCTCATCTTTCCCTTACTCACAAGCCACCGCGGAGATTCAGGCAAGTAAAAAATTGTCAATACAAGATAAGCAATAGAAGGAATTGAAAGAACTCCAAGCATAACCCTCCACTTTGGTGAGTCCATTAATGACATACCAAAAACCATGCAATATGACACAAACATTCCACCAGAACCCATGAACTGTGGAAAAGTATTCAGTTGCCCTCTAATTTCTGATGGTGCAGTTTCAGATATATAAACAGGAACAATAGTAACAGCAAGACCAATCCCAAATCCATTCAGTAGCCTTCCCAAAAGGAGGACATAAACATTTGGAGCCCAAAACATCACCAGACCACTAAGAAAATACATAATTGCAGAAATTATCATCAATGGTCGCCTTCCATATATATCTGATACAGGTCCAGAGAATGTTGTTATAATTGTAGCTCCAATAAGTGACATGGCTGCAATTAGCCCTTCCATGGTTGGTTGTGTCTGCAGATTGAACTCCTTCTTGATATAAAGAAGGGATCCTGAAAAAGACATGTAAGGTATTACAATAGACTCAAATCTGGAACGAAGAATCGAATTTAAGTTTTCCTATTTACATATATAATCAAATAAACATACCTGCAATGGTGGAATTGTCCCATCCTTGTAACATATTTCCAACAGCAGCAGCAAGTGCCACAAGAACAGCTCCTCTCATTTTGAGGAATTGGAAAAAAACCCTTTTTTCCTACCCCGAAGGAGACTTTAATCTCACAACAATATATATAAATAGAACCTACTCTGAAAGAGAATTTTACTTCACAACAATGTGTTTTGAAGGTTGTGATACTGCAAACTCTTTTTCAGATCAAATAATTAAATGGGCTTGCTTTGTTTCTATAAAAGAACAATAAACTAGACATTTCAATTTAAAAAGAAAAACAAAAAAGATTTAACAATAACAATACCAAATAAAAGATTTAACAAAACTAGTATTGTGATCAGAAAAGGAAAGTAAAACAGAGCATGTGAGCGTTTTGGATTTTGTTTTAGAAAAATTAGAGAGTGAGTGAATAATAGGTGGAGAGTGAAGTTAAGATGATCGGATTACCCGTTCCAATTCTAAATCAAATACCATATATGGTTGCCAATACCGAATAACGTGCATTGCTCTTCATCACTTTTTTTTTTTTAAATAGAAAAAAATATAATTTCAATTCTTTTTTTTTTTTCTTTTCAATCACATTAATATATTTCCAAGAATTTCTTCCTGGTTTGGTAAGTCTATCTAGTTAATAAATGCTTTTTATATAATCTTTTTTTTTAAAATCACATTCATGAGTTTGCAGTAAAGGAAACCTTGTAGTGAATAGTGATGATTAAGCAATGAATAGGTTCTCTGGCTTCTGCTAAGATCCTTACTTCATGGCTAGTTGGCAAAGTTCTTGACTTCCCTGTATTTTCTCCTTCATTTTCTGCTTCAGATATGGAGTCTATTTTTAATCAGACATTCCTTGTTAATTTCGTTTTATTTTCATATAAGAAAGTATAATTTGAATCTATAAATTATGATTGAATTACTCCAACCACAACAAAAGAGAATTTTTCCCAAAAAGAAATTAAAATTTGATATAGTCAGACATTCCTAAAATCAAACATTCAAATATTTTCTTCATGCACCAGGATCAAACATTCAACCTCATCTTTTATTTAAGAGATTTGAGTCATTTTTACTAAAATCAATCCGTTGATAATTAAATTTGTTAAAATGAAATCACACAATTGAATTATATATATTATTGGTCAGGAAAATCCATACCACCCATTTTAATATTTGGTTGACATTTTATACAATGCCTCTAAAAAAATTAAATTATTTCTGCTACTATCATTAAATTAAATTCCTGCAAGTAAATTATGATAATACCAAATTATTAAACCAATATTACATTTGACAACCTAGTTTCCAATGCGGCAGCATTTAAATGTACTACCAGACAAGGAGCCTTCCTGAGAAAAGGGCAAAGGTACTACCTTTATAAATTCTGAAAGAAAGTCTTGTTATTTTCCTAGAAAATGGGAACTTTTTGTGCTGGTGAAAATGGATGTATGAGGTGAGAGAGCAAGAAAGTGGGTTTTCTTCTTATGTTAACAGAAGGGATAAGCAACTGAGCAAAGAAGACGGCCGCGGTTATGGTCGAAGCATCATTGAGAAATGGAGAAGAGTATAAAGCGGCTGCTGGATATTATGGGCTTTGCGCTGTTAGTGGAATGCTCAGTGCTGGCACAACCCATCTTGCAATCACTCCTCTTGATGTCTTGAAAGTCAATATGCAGGTTTTTCTCTATCGTTCTTGTTTCTATGGTTCTTTTTGGCTTGTTGTAATTCTAGTTGGGGACTTTTATCAAACACATGATCTTCGTTTACTTATAGGTGAATCCGGTCAAGTACAACAGCATATATGCTTGCTTTACCACTCTATTGAGAGAGCAAGGTCCTTCAGTGTTTTGGAGAGGATGGGCAGGCAAGTTATTTGGTTATGGTGTTCAAGGTGGTTGCAGATTTGGTTTGTATGAATACTTCAAGAATCTTTACTCAAATGTCTTGGTTGACCGCAACAGGAGTTTTGTCTTCTTTATGAGTAGTGCTTCAGCTGAAATGTTTGCCAATTTAGCTCTTTGTCCTTTTGAAGCTGTTAAAGTAAGGGTTCAAGCACAGCCCCATTTTGCCAAGGGATTGCTTGATGGATTTCCAAGGGTTTATGCATCAGAAGGGTTTACTGGGTAAAGGTTTCTTAACCATTATCTAGTTTTGATCTTCTTTATGAATTTATACGTGCGTTTATAGACCCTCTGAAATGGTTCTTTTTACTTCTTATTGTTGGCTGCAGCTTTTACAGAGGGCTTGTTCCACTTTTGGGTCGAAACCTTCCATGTAATTGCACAATCATGTAACTTCCATTATCTGGTTTTTCCTTTAAGAGATATTTGTGTAGTAAGCATTTAAAGAATGAAATATCCTTTTGGATTAAGGTGTTGATAGGGAGCAATTTATTACTGAATCTTTAGTTTGGATCTCACCAAATTACTTCCAAATTAGTTAGTTGAAAACTACAAGGAAAGTTTCCCTTTTCGTGTGATCAGTATGATTTGAAATGTAGGATCTCTATGCATTAAATATATAGAAACACAAAATTTACAGTACAAGTTGTTATATTTACGTATGAGCATAACTTCAATAATGACATACTGTGAAATTATTAATTTACAGTTGTTCAGTGCATGATTGATGCTAACACTTTCTTTGCAGTCTCAATGGTTATGTTCTCAACGTTCGAGCATTCTGTGGATTTTCTGTATCGTACTGTTGTTCAAAGAAGGAAGGAAGAGTGCTCAAAAGCTCAACAGCTTGGGGTGACATGTTTAGCTGGATATGCTGCTGGTTCTGTTGGTAGCTTTATTTCTAATCCTGCTGACAACATTGTTGCTTGCCTTTATAACAAAAAGGCCGATAGTCTTATACTGGTATCATCTATTACTGCATCATATTTTAGGATGCTTTCCTTAATTGTAGAAGGCCGTCTACTGAATTAAATTTGCCTTTTACATGAGCAGGCTGTCAAGAGAATTGGGGTTTTTAACTTATTTACAAGAAGCCTTCCTATAAGGATATTACTTGTTGGACCTGCTGTCACTTTACAGTGGTTATTCTATGACAGCATCAAAGTTTTAAGTGGATTGTGAGTGCTCATTCTTGCCCTTTGTTCCTGCTATTGAGTTGTTAATGCTGTTTATAAGGTTGCTTTCTTGAAAATAACAATGATAACCGAACTTATCCTAATAAACTAAAATTGAACTTCTTGGTTTTTTTTTTCCCAACTAACCAAGAAACTAAACAAGTTACAAGCAATAAGAGGATGAAAAAGAACTTTTACATTGGAGTAGGTTTGAAAGAAATGACTCTTATACCGTATGGGTAGACCAATATAACACAACTGAATAGAAATCTTCTAGATTCAATGGCCTTAGTACTGTTCAAGGCCAGTAATTGAAATCACTTAAAACTAAAATGACAGATTCACTGTTTAAGAGGACTGGTCATTAATGCAAATTTTGACATAGTTAGATCGCTGGAATACAAATATCAGGAACATATATTTCGTTGTTTGTGAAAGAAAGTTTGAGATGCACTGACACAGATCTACATAGAGGAAGGAATTTTCTCCCGAGATAAAGTGGCATGTGGTAGACAGAGGAAAGCATTACAGACATTGTTGTTTCCTTTTGAGGCTTAGACTTGTATCTTATTAGCGGTATAACACATTGTTGTTTTATTTTTGTTTCTAAGGCCTATAGTTCACTAGGAAAGGGTAGGGACTGGGATATGATAGACCTTTAATGGGTAAATATTGCCTTGTATCATGTATGATTATTTTCTCACATAAAATTGCTTAGCTCTCTGCCTTTTTTTTGAGATTCCTGTTCCATACTAATTCTCACAAATCCCTTATTTCCATTGCATCTTCATTTAAGACCTGGAATTGTTAGGTCCTCAGCTGCAATGAATTATATATTTCTGTTTCATATTGGGATACTTGAAATCCATTTGTCAATTAATATGGTCAACCATTAGAATCATTCAGATCAAGGACGTAAACAATATTAAGATAGCATGACCTTATCCATATTCATTATTTCTTTTTGTGAAATAATTTACATTTGGCAATGAAATTTTGCAGACCTACTAGTGGAGAAGTTAGAAAGAAGTAGGAGTAGATGGAGCAGACTAAATTCCTGGAAACAAGATATGCAGCTGATATAATTCTGAACCAAGTAACAATAATTTTTCCTATCAAAGAAACAATGAGAAACCAATTATTGTGCCTTTGTAGGTTGGATTCAAAGTCTTTTTGGATGGTAGCATTTTTATGTCCTACCATCGGCTTTTTACTGGCCGGGAAGTTTTCACTAACAGATTGCAGAACAACCATACGCACGCTGGAAGTTTTTCGCTATCTTTCAGAGTTAAAATCTCTCTTGAAGCTACTACATCAAGCTTTCTATCAATAGTTTATACATGTAAAGAGAATTGAAAAAATTATGGTGCCATCTTGTGCAATTGCTGTAATGTTTGGTCTTTCTTGATGTTGCAAGTGCAAACAATATTTTTTCATACAAATGACATAATAAAGATGGATGGGAATGACGTGGTGCGTTGAACATGAACAATTCATCCTTAGGGAAAGTTTTAACATCTCTCGATGAGAGCTTCATTTGAAGTATTTTGGTCTTTTTTTTTTTTTCTTTTGCCATCAAACACTATTACATGCATTCGTATTTAGAAATATTTTTTCTTAAAAAAAGTTTTCTTTTAAGGGGATGGAGGCTGTCAGGCTATAACCCTTGACCATCAAACTAACATAGGTTAATAGACTGCATATTTGGATAGATTGGAATTGGATAGATATGGATTTTCTTGTTATTTGCTTTTTAAACATTGAATTGAATTGCGAAGTCATTGAAAGCTTCCTAACTTGTCAATATAAATTGTTCTTAAACAGCAAGGTATATCATGAATCTCATCCCTATTACAAAAATCAATGAAAATAATTCAATTTTAAAACTTGTTTCACTCTCTTTGAAACAGAGAACATGTTTATCCCCAAAAAGTAAACATGCATAGAGAATATGGCCTGATACATAAACTTGAACATGAACTTCGGTCGATTATCCTTGTGGAGTTTCGAACTTTGTGAAAGTTCAATTACAATTCTACACTTTTATATTTCAGTAATAATTATGTTCTTGCCAAAATGAAATATCTTTGCTGGTGAGAGGCATAATTATTGTCCAAATGTGAAAATGTAAAGTCATATGATGATTTTCCCGCAAAGTTTAAAAGGACAACGAGAATAATCACTGTAGAGTTAAATTTATGTATTAGCCCTAAAAATAATTGATCACTTGAGCTTTATAAGACAAAAACAAGGTACCTTGGGAAATATGACCACTTGGACATATCTTCCCTCAACTTGAAAGTTGAGAACAATCTAAATGACAGAGAGCTCAGTAGCTCCTGTATTTAACTCACATAATGCATAATGTGGGATACATCAGTTAACAACCGTACACAATTAAACATCCTAAATGCAAATATCTATTTGATATGAAACCACAAGAATAGAAGAGATAAATTTCAAATGTTGAACACAGCAAAGTAGTCCAATATAACCAATTAGAACTGTCAAACATAAACTCTCATAGTAATCACAAATGGAAGAAGCAGAAGACACTTCAGTTTCAACATAGCCAGCAAGAAAGTCTAGCTAGTTACTGTTTTGGCCATATCTATAAGCAAAAGATCTAGTCCTAAAATAATCAACCTCTTCTTGTTGCCACTTTCCATCATCAAAGTTTTTTGAGTAGTTGTACATGTCATAATTCAAGAGTGATTGGCTGCCATTGCCATTTCTTGTCTGCAAGATCTTGAAAACCTTTCTCTTTAGTTGAACAGAAGCCAAGATCGCCCTCTTGGCCAACCCTACAACTAGTTTTCTTCTACTTCTCAAAAATCTTGTGGCCACCCTCTTGACGGATCTCCATGCCCTAATCTTGAAAGCATCAACCATCTCTATATTTTCCTCTTTCTGCTTTTTACTGATCACATTGTTGAAAAACAAGCAGCAAGGAGAGTAGGTTACTGGCTTATTGCCATCTCTTTCTTCCTTCTTGATAGTATGTTCATTGTTTATATGCACACACACACACATATATATAATTGAAATTTGATTTTCTAGTCCTTAGGTTTATAAATGCTTCACAAGTCAAATCATTTTTTTAGGGACACGGTACATTGTATTAAACTTGGTTGCGGCGCAAAAATTGCAGTTTCATTATTACTATAGGTTATGGAATTGTTGGTTAGGGCAGTTGTTTTTTTAATATATTTTGATAGTATGTTTCATTGTTTATATGCACACACACACACATATTATATAATTTGAAAATATTTTCTAGTCCTTAGGTTTATAAATGCTTCTCACAAGTCAAAATATTTTTTTAGGGACACGAGGGGGTACTTGTATTAAACTTGGTTGACCGGCGCAAAAATTATGCAGTTTTCATATTTACTATAGGTTATGGAATTGTTGGTTAGGGCAGTTTTTTTTGGGGGTTTTTTTAATATATATATATATATATATATATATATATATATACTACTATTATTATATACTATTATATGTATGTATTGTAGACCTGTACATCTAGGCCATCATTCATGGAGAACTCCAATGTGGGGCTCGAATAATATTACAGATTTTAGGCGATAAGAGAGAAGGAATTACCTTTCCAACCAATGTTAGTTATATATATGTATGTATGTAGACCTTACATCTAGGCATCATTCATGGAGAATCCAATGTTGGGGACTCGAATAATATTACAGATTTTAGGATAAGAAGAGAAGGAATTACCTCCAACCAATGTTAGTTTGGAGGGCATTGTTGTAATTTACTTGTATTACAATAAGATTTTCTAAAATGCAAAGTAATCAAAGTTGGTTATGTTCTTAGATGCAATTGTCTCTATCAAGTTTGTTTCTTGGAGCATATTTACGTTGACCCACATACACCTACCTCCAGAACTAATTAATTATTCATTTCTAATAACCCTAAATCAGATCATACAAAATTGAGGGGGAAAAGAAAAAAGATGCTTCTCTCTTTGTGATTCCTGTAATTAATAAGAGAACAAGTTTAATTAAATTTTAGAAGTATGGACAGAGTTTTCTTGTGGACCTTCCATTAATATTAAATTTGGAAGTTAAAAAATACCCATAAAGACTTAAGAGGGCCCAAATATTTGTGTTATTTTATCAGATGCCCAGTTCCTGTGACATTATTGAAGATTGCAAGATTTATCAACTTTCAAAAAGCATATTGGTAAGGCAGGGTATGGCTGAGTTGGACACAAGCAGAATGGCATTTAAAGTGTTGTCAACTATGGGTGTAAATTAGTCGAACCAGCTCGAAAATAGTTCCGCTTGAATTGAGCTCAAACTTGCTCGTTTAGCAAGTGAACTAGGCTCAAACCTAATGATATTCAACTTATTAGCTTATCGAACTTTATCAAACTTTTATATATACATATATAATATTATTTTAAATTACTTAAGCCTCGAGCTTCGAATTAAGCTCAATTTTAAAATTTTTCAGGTTAAGCTCGAGCCTAAAATTTTCAGGCTTGTTGAGTTTCGAGCCGAGCTAAATTGTACCCACTCAAGCTTCGAAATTGACAATTTCAAGCTTAGCTCCACTCATTTCCACCCATATTGTCAAGGACAATGTTCATCTAAATGAGTATATTCAAGTGAAAATATTAGTTAGTTTGAATGAAGGCAACTAAAATACAGTAAGTTAACTCCAATAACACATTTATGGAAAATTTCTATTACAAATATTAGCCTTTTCAGAAGAGTATAATCTAATGTTAAAACATGCTATCGACAAGAAGACAGTCACCAAACAAAGAAAACCTATAACAAAAATTCTGGTAACCCTGTCTCCTTTGTTAAAGTTCTAAGATTGCCAAATCACTTATGTTATACTCGATAAAAATATTACAGAAAAAGAAAAATCTCTTCAACTATGAAGACATTCATGGTAACATCTTAGAGTTATCAAAAGACATCATTTACCCTCTTCAGCCATCTTCTTACGGATTTCATGAGCTGTGTTGAAGATACCGAGCTTAGGTTGGTTGCACAAGAAACACTTTTTGTGCTTTGCATGGTGCTGTGAACCAGAAGGAGCAAAAAACAGATCAGATCACAATCACATGAAAAATATATAACACAATTCAAATGCAATATTAAATCAAACACAACAAAACAAAGACATAAATTATCGTATTGAATACTCTCTTTCCTCCGAAATGCACACATTAAGCACATACTAAGTCATCGCCATCAAAAGCACAAGCATTTACCTTCAAAGCACGATGTTCACAAAAGTAGTGCTTGCATTTAGTCACAACAGGATCTACAAAAGGCTTTCTGCAAATGATAATGAATCATCATCATCTTCATTGTCATCGCTCTCGCCCAAACCATCCTCATCCTCTCCCAAAGCCAAATTTCTCTTCCTTATCTTCTCTGCCTCTTCCCATTCTTTCTCTAGTTGCCAGCCAGGCTTATAATCCCCTCGATCATACATGAATTTACATGAATCTCCGTATCCACAGTAACCAGTTTCTTTATAATCCTTACATATGTCGGGCTGATAATCAAACCTTGCCGACACCCTAATGTGAGCAGAAGCCCTAAGGGGGCCATGAGAACCACCAGCTTTTTCACTTGAAATTGTTTGCTCCCTTCTAAAGCCAGCTTTATGATCAGTATAGCCATGAATTCCTTTGTACAACTTTTCATTCCCAGAGACTGGGTTTTTATCCTTCAAAGCCTACTCCGCTTGCTTAAGAGCCCTCTCATGAATGGCTCGAGCATCTTTTGAGAATTCAGTCTCAGTTTCCAGAGTTGTTGTTGTATCATGTTGAACTTGAATTTACTTTGAAGACTCAAATTGAAAGATTGGTCTATTAGATTCCACATTTAATTCAGTAGCCTTGCAATTCTCGGAAGGTTTAGAAGAAAAGTATAGCTTATTATTTTCAGATTTTGGAGCCTTTTTCTAATTGTGCAGCAAGGAGCTTTCTGAATCCTCATCTTCATCTTCCTCAATTGTTCTCTTCCTTATGTTCTTGTTCTTCAGTGGCTTTTTGAAGAAATTACACACTGCAAATGCCCAAGACATCAAAGGCAATACTTATATTATGATGCAAAAAAAAAAAAAAAAAAACTTTAAAAGTAAATCCTCATCTTCATCTTTCCTTTCAATTGTTTCTCTTTCCTTATGTTCTTGTTCTTCAGTGGCTTTTTTTGAAGAAATTACCACACTTGCAAATGCCCAAGACATCAAAGGCAAATATTATATTATTGATGCAAAAAAAAAAAAAAAAAAACTTTAAAAGAGGGAGAAACCAAAGGAGATAAAGTTCCAAGGGCATATACCTGGTTGAAAAAAAAAAAAAAAAAAACTTTAAAAGAGGGAGAAACCAAAGGAGATAAAGTTCCAAGGCATATACCTGGTGCAGGTTGTTGGGATTCACCTGAATCAGCCATCTTCAGATGTGGAAGGAAAATTATATGTAGGACTATATGAGATCTAGTGGAAAAAGCAATCCTTTATAGCTTTGAAAATAAACTGAGAAGATTACATCAACCCAAACACAATATAATCTCACGAAATGAGAAGACAATTGTAGTGCAAATAGATTCATTAAATAAAACAGCACCAACGAGCTTGATTGGATATATAATAAATCCATACTTTATATTCAGGAACTCTCACAATATAAAGTGCAAAAGCATGATAGTAATAGTGAATAAACCATCAACCATCTAAAGGTTTTTAAACAAGATATTTACACCATGCCTCAAATGGCTTAAACAATTTAAATGATTTTTCAGGATTAAGTCAAAATTTACACAACACTCATTGGTTGAAGATTGGGGATTAATAGAAAATCAATAAAAATAAGCAATTAAGGAAAAAGAAAAAAGAATGACTTAATCAAAGAGTGAAACGGGTACTAATCAATTGAAACAAATACAATCAAAATCAAAGTAGATATGCACCTGTATAACAGTGAAGCCAAATGTATATTAAAAATTGGAAAAGTGATGCAAGGGAGGAATATAGGCAATTAATTCTCAACAATTAAGCAAGAATAAGATGATTTTGGTTGGAACAAAATAACAATAATTGGTTTCAAAGAACCCCTAAAAGAATTAAAATTCTGAATTAATAAGGAAAAACACAATACATCAAACTGATTTCTGTTGTCCTATTTATATAAGTTAGGGCAAATCTTAATTCTATACTGAAAAGTATTCTTAATCAGTCAATAGTCTATTAAATTAGTTGAAACTCTAGGCGGTTTAGTGACAAAAATGATATCTAATAGATGCTTAGAAACTATGAATAGAATAGAGATAGTTCAGGTTTAAGCTAGCTATGAAAAGAGCATTTTGTCATGTGAACAGTGAATTATCCTAACTGAAAGCACATAAGCTGGTCAGTAATATACCTGTATGGAATACATGAAAGTTACTGTTCATTTCTACAAAAAAATCCAAAATTTTAACCCTTGCTTGTAATTTTCCTTTTACAGGACATGTTGCAAAATACAATTTTTCAGTTCAGCTCCAAATTGATAAGCCAATAATGAAGAAGAAATAAATTTCAAAACAAATTGACAACAAAAATTTTTTTGACAAGGAAACAAGTTGATAACATAAGTAGAAACGGAACTGCAAACAATGAATACTGCAAACAAGCAAGACTGACAATTAGCAAAGCAAAGATAATCAAATTCAACAACCAACAAGAAAATAAACAAGAACAACATTTCTTGCAATATAAGAGAGAATATAAGCAAATTAACCAAAACCAAACATCTTGCAACTGAGCTTCAGAAGGTAAGAATATATTGCAAAATAGAACTTTTCAGTTAAGTTAGTTATGAATTGTTAAGTCAACAATGAAGAAGAAATAAATTTCAAAACATCAACAATGCAAATGTTTTTTTTTTACAAGGGAGAAAATCAATAAAATAAGTAGAAACTGAACTGCAAACAACAAATACTGCAAATAAGCAAGACTAACCATGAAAAAAGCCATAGAAATAGTCAAAATTCAACAACCAACAAGATGAATAACAAGGGCAAAATTTCTTGCAATGCAAAATAGAATAAAAGCAAATTCAGCTCTTTCTCTCTCTCTCTCTCTCTCTCTAAAGAAGAATTTCAGAAAAAATTGGAGGAAGGAGAGATTTCCACCTTGTCCACATTGCAAAAAAACAAACCACACTGAGAACTACTGCTGGTTCAGACCTGGAGCTCAATGTAAGGTTTGTAAGCAATTTGAACCACACTGAGAAACTACTGCTGGTTCAGACCTGGAGCTCAATGTTAAGTTTGTTACAGCAATTTGGTCACACAAGAAAGTTTGTTACAAAACCAGAATCACACAAAGTGGTATCAGAGCAACCTTGATCTCCAAAGGGCTGTGTTGTGTTTTTGAGTGAAAATCATAGAGAAAGCCACCAATAAACCAGAATTTGTGAAGTTTTCTGTTTTATTTGCTTTCCCTCAAAATGGGCTTCTAGCAGGGCATGGTCTCTTTCACCACCTCATTTTAATGGGGAAAACTATCATGTTTGGTGGCTGTGAAGATGAGAGCTTATTTCAAGGAGCTTGGATTATGCAGTATGTGGGAGGAAAACAGCAAGTACCTTCCACCTCTTAATCCACCTCTTAATCAAAATCCAACCCTTCGGCAGATTAGACAACATGAAGAAGAGGTTGCTAAGGCTCCAAAAGCTCTGTCCTATATTCATGCAGCTGTTGCAGATTCTATCTTCACCAAGATTATGACATGTGAGACAGCACATGAAGCTTAGGAGAAGTTAAAAATTGAGTATCATAGATCTGAAAAAACTAGACAGATGTAGGTATTTAATTTAAGAAAAGAATTTGAAATATTGAAAATGAAGGACAATGAAAAGGTGAAAGATTATGTTGATAGAGTTATGAAAATTGTAAACCAAATTCGATTGTTGGGAGAAGAGTTAAAAGAGAAGAGAATTGTGGAGAAAGTTATGGTGACTCAAGTTATGGTGACTCTCCCTGAAAAATTTGAAGCTAAGATTTCTTCTGTTGAAGATACTTTGAGACATGTCACAAATATCATTGAATATGCTTTCAAATGCTCTACAAGTTGTGGAACAAAGAAAAGCCTATAGGGAAGAAGAAACCATCGTAGAGAAGGCTCTTGTTGTGACTCATAAAACAAAAATGCAAGAAGGAGGTTCAAGAGACCAGCAAACTGACAGAAAACCAAAAATGAAGAAGAATTTCAGAAAAAATTGAAGGAAGGGCAGATTTCCACCTTGTCCACATTGCAAAAAAACAAAAATTGAAGGAAGGGCAGATTTCCACCTTGTCCACATTGCAAAAAAACAAAGCATACTGAGAACTAATGCTGGTTCAGACCTGCAGCTCAATATAAGGTTTGTAAGCAATTTGGTCACACCGAGAAAGTTTGTTCTACAAACCAGAATCAACAAACACAAGCCCATCATGCACAAGTCACCAAAAATTCTGAAAACTCTGAAGAACAACTATTTGCTGCCATCATGCACAAGTCACCAAAAATTCTGAAAACTCTGAAGAACAACTATTTGCTGCAAATGAAATTGAAAAATGTGGTGTCTCAATTGAAGCTAAAGAAGCATGGCTTGTTGATAGTGGTTGCACTAACCACATGACACCAAACTTGGTGAATTTCGATAGCTTGGATACAAATTATTCTTCAAAAATTTCGATAGCTTGGATACAAACTATTCTTCAAAAGTCAGACTTGGAGATGGTAGGCTTGTTGATGTCAAAGGCAAAGGAGCTGTGATTGTACAAACTCCGTCAGGTACAAAGCTTGTTTCCGATGTTCTTTATGTACCTGAGCTAAATCAAAGCTTGTTTTCGGTTGGTCAATTGCTGGATAAGAATTACAGTTTGCTACTTAAAGATAAAATTTGTGAAATAAGTGATCCTTCTGGCTCAAAGTTATTTGTTGTCAAAATGAAAAGGAGAAGCTTTCCTCTAAATTTAAGAAACTTCGAAGAAGAATCTTGCTTGAGTCATAAAGAAGAATCTGATTTGTGGCATAAGAGATTTGGTCACACCAATCTCAATTCATTAAAATCATTAAAATTGCTGCAATCAAGAGTTAGTTGTTTGATTTGGCATCTGTAAGTTGAAAATCAACAGTGAATCCAAAGCCTAACAAGAATTTGTGAATCCTGTTTAAAACAAGTGTATGTCAGCAGGGAGTGGTCGAAATTCGATGAGAAAAGGTGAATGGGATTGGAGGTAGAATTGGAGCCAGGAAATTCTTAATCAGTTTTTTTTTTTGTTGTCTTTAACAAGATTCTTTCGTCAGCAGACAAGAACTTCCAGTTGACAATGAAAGAAGTCAGATGAAGATGATTATGCAATTAGGAGTGACTTAGATCCTAGAGGCAAATTTACAGCAGATGTAATGCCTGTTCTCACTTGAAACCAACTCAGATGAAGAAGCCTTAAAAATTGCCGAGTGGAGAGCTGCATGGAGGGAGAAGTTTGAAGAATAGTGTATGATATTTTTCATGCAAAGAGAAATCCAACTAAGAATACTTTGTGGACAACAAGATGCAGCTATTGCTATGGTAAGAATCCAATCTGCCGATGGAAAAAACCAAGCATGATAAAAATCAAGAACCAGCAATTCATGAAGCCAAAAGGAAAATGAAAATTTTAGATTGTTCATCTGCAATTCTGAAGACCAAAAAGCAGAATATTTCATCAAGGCATTGCAAAAAAAACCAAGATTTGGAATTTTTAGGAATAGATTTGGTGTTTGTCTCAAACTCCTTGCATCAAGAGGATGTGTTTAAAGTTATAGCTACAGCTCTTGAAGCTAAAATTGATGGCAGAGTGTCGTTGACAGTTTTTTAGAGAATTGTTGGTTAAAGTTTCATTTAGATTTTGTCTATCTTTTGTTGATAATGAAGAAGTAGGTGAACTACCTTGCTTTTAGGTAGGTTTGGTGAACAAACTTCCTTGACTTATAGAAGTTTGGTGAACAAAACTTCCTTGACTTATGGAAGGTTGGTGAACAGATTCTTGACTTATGGAAGGTTTGGTGAAGCAAACTTTAAAATACTCTAGTATAAATATTTACCATTATGCTGTAATGAAAAATGAGATGTGAATATTTGTTTCTCCACGACTTACAAAATCTGCAAGAAAATCATACAACCAACATAAAACCGTATACGTGAACAGTAGTTATACGCGAATAGTGACATGAATAGTAACTGTAACACGTGAAATAGTACTATGGCCGAATAAGTGCTGGGCCTTTACTTGAAACGACTCAGCCAACAAGTAACTCCAATTAGTACTGTTCACCATCAACCTTTAAGTTACTATTTACTAGTTAATTGTCACTTAAGGTCGATTTCTGCAACGTTTTCGAGCGACAGCACCAATGGACTCGTTGTAATTTTCCTCTCGTCGTGGTTATTTTTTTCAGAATAATCCACGGATCCGGTAACGCGACGTATCCTGACCGACTGGAGCCTACTGAAACCTTTGGCTTCTGATACCCAGTTGTTGGGCCATCAGCTCTGATACCAATTGTTTAGGCATCAACGTCTCATACCAGTTTTTTGGGCATCAGCTCTCATACCACTTGTTGGGGGCGGCCCTTTCAACTAATTAGAGAGAAATTTAAAAGCAGGGGAAAAGTAAACCTGTGACACACAGAAATTTAGTGGTTCACCCCTCAACTATTTAGGGCTACGTCCCACGGGACAACTCCGAATAATTCTTTCACTATTAAAAAATAGTAGTTACACCAGAGAGTAATACAAAATAGTGGCAAAAGTGTTCCCAAAAACACTTGTTTCCAAAATGAATTTTTTCAACTATTTTTCTCTCCCCTAGTTTAGAAAACCCTTCCTAAAACCTAGATAACTCTCTGCTCTACATGTTTGTTTTTCTTCTTTTGTTGATTGTGTATTGTGAGCTTGCAAACTTCTCCTATTATAGGAGAAGGAAACGCGTAAATTGAACGAGCTGTACAATACCAATGCAAAGATTGGCTACCAAACTTTCAATTTGCAACGTTCACGGCTGCGGGGGGGGGTGGGGTGGAGCCTGACTTCTTTATTTCCTCCTCTTTCCTGACTTTTCTTTCCCTTTTTTTCTTTATTGTACACCGTGGGTCCTATTTAAGTGGGCACAAACACAACAATTTGGTTTGGTGAAACAAAACTTCCTTGACTGTATGGAAGGTTAATGAACAAACTTTAGAATAACTCTAGTATAAATGTTTAAATTATCTGTATGGAATTAATGAGATTGTGAATATTTGTTTCTCCAGACTTAAACAAAATCTGCAGATTTTTTCCTTATCTTCCTTATTTTCTAAACTCTTCTAAAAACCGACAAGTGGGTATAGAGCTTGAAAAGGAATTTAGTTAGCTAACACAGTGAATCAAAGCCCTACAGAAATTTTGAATCCTGTTACTGAAACGGTTTGTAGGTCCAGCGAGAAGTGTCCCAATTCGATGAGAAAGGTTGAATGAGATTGGAGTAAATGGAGTCAGGAAATTCTAAAATCAGTTCTTGAACAAGATCTTTTTTCAGCAAGAGCAAAAATTCAATTGACAATGAAGAAGAATCAGATGAAGATGATTATGCAATTAGAGGAACCAGAATCCCTAAGAAGAATTTACAAAACAGATGTTAATGTTTATCTCACTTGAAGCCAACTAGGTGGGATGGAAGCGCGGTTAAAATTGGCCTGAGTGGAAGGCTGCCATGGAGGAGTGAAGATGATTATGAAGAACGACACATGGATTTTTAGTTCCTAGACCAATTGAATAGCCATGTAATTGGAAAACTAAATGGTATTCAAATTGAAAATTTAAATTCTGATGTCTCTTCAATAAGCACAAAAGCAAGATATGTTGTTAAAGGCTACGCTCAACAACAAAGGTTGATTTTACAAAAACCCTTCGCAACTAGTTGCAAGATTTGAACACTCATCAGATTGATTTGGCACTAACACAAGTGAAAGGTTGGCAAAGCCTTTCAATTGGATGTGATATACTTTCTTAAAATGGTTCTTTTTGAAAGGAGGAAGTGTATATTGAGTAGCCCATGAAGGTTTAATGAGGAACCAATAGAGTGTGTTTGTTGAAGAAAGCATTCTATGGTTTAAAACAGCACCAAGGGCCTGGTAATGCCAAGATTGATCATTACTTTGCTGAATTTGGGTTTTAACGCAGCTTGAATGAGCAACAAACTTTTGTAACTCCAAGAAATGATGTGCTTTTATCGCTTTCGGTATACATTGACGATCTACTTTATCACAGCAACAATTTACATTAATTCAAGAAATTCAGATTGAAGATTGCAGCCAGGTTTTTTGAAGATGAATGATCTTGGCTTAATGTGTTAATTTCTTGGGATTGAATTGTTCAAGATGAGCAAGGGATTTTTATTTCACAAAAGAAATTTGCTTGTAGCCTACTTAAAAAATTTTGAACTTAGCAAATGCAAACCGTGAGTACAACCTACGGCCAAGGAATAAAATTGCCAAAAGAATGATGGTTCTCACTCTGATAGATGCTTCACTTATAGGAGCATGTTGGTTCTTTGCTGTATTTATCTTGTAACAAGACCAGATTATCAATGTTTGCAAACAAATTTACTGTCGAGATTTCAATGAATTCTCCAACTGAAAACCATCTTTAAACAGCAGCTAAACGAGTTTTGAGATATGTGCAAGGGACTGTTGGACTTTGGTTTGTTTTTAGAAGATTAAATGGTGTGAAGTTGTTGGGGTTTGCTCAGACAGTGATTGGACTTGGTTCATTGGACGATATGAAGAGCACTACCATTTTGTTTTTTCACTTTGGTTCTTGTTGTCATTTGCTGGGAAACAAGAAAGCACAGCTTCAGTCGCTGTCAAGTCAACTGCAGAACGTAAGAGTATGTTGCCAGCAATCTGCTAACTGTAAACCAAGCTATTGTGAGAAAATGTTTAAGCTGATCTTAAAATTTTCATCCAAAAGAATCCAACTAAAATATATTGTGATAACCAAATCAGCTTTGTTTATGGTTAAGAGCCCGATCTACCATGAAAAAACCAAAGCATATAAAAATCAAGTATCATGCATCCGTGAAAGCTGAAAAGGAAAATGAACATTCAGATTGTTCATTACAGTTCTGAAGACCAAAAACAGCAGATATTTCACCAAGGCATTGCAAAAAACCAAAGATTTGATTTCTTAGGAATAGACTTGTGTTTTGTCTTACTCTTGCATTAAGGAGGAAGTGTTAAGGTTACAGCTACCGCTCTTGAAGCTCAAATTGAATGCAAGTGTTGTTGAGCAAAGTTTTTAGAGAAATTTTGTTTAAAGTCACTTAGATTTTGTTGTACTTTGTTGAAGTCAAGAAGTAGGTGACTAACCCTTGCTTTTAGGTAGATTTGGTGAAACAACTTCCTTGACTATAGAAGTTTGGTGATCAAACTTCTTGACTTATGGAAAGGTTAATGACCAAACTTTAGAATACCTAGTA